ACAGGGGCTTCTGCATCCTGCGGAAAAACACAAACTGCACCTCGCGTCCGCCTTAACACCGGATGCGGGCCCTTCCACTGTTTAGTTAACACATCCTTCCATATCACTTGTTCCTGAGTAATGCCGCAACCCAGGGCATGGCGTTCGGCAGCAGACCGGCCATCCAAATTTAACATAACTTGATCATGAACATCCCTGCAAATCTTTATCCATGTATCTAGATCTTTATGTTTCCAGGGACGGATGGCCTCACGGCACCATTTGTTAGCATTCTCGTAAGCCAGCTGCTTAACCAGAGGCATAGCCTGCTCTACATCGGGGAAAAGCTTTCCTGCTACCTCCATGAGGCGACTCACAAAATCAGCATAGGGTTCGTTAGACCCCTGAGTCACTTTAGAGATGGAAAAACGGAGGTCCCCTTTATTCTGTAGAGCTCGCCACGCAGTACGGCCTATTTGTTGAATCTGGCCATAAACTGGTTCAGGATACTCATGTTGATTATTGTTTCCTGCCCGAGCTCCCTCTCCCAGCAGCATATCGGCATTCCATTCCCTGTTTCCACCTTGTGCGTTACGCTGTGCCTGGTCCATGGCCAGTTCACGGTATGCGGCCCGCCAGACCAGATATTGGCCAGGGGAGAGAGTGGCTCTGGCCAACTGTTTCCAATCATCTGGGGGCAGGGCATTAAAACTAATCTGTTCTAGCAGCGCGATTGTAAAGGGGGCATGCACACCATAAGAATCGACGGCTGTTTTCAAATCCTTAATCACTTTGAAATCAAGAGGGAGGTAAAACCGCGGCCATGGAGGGCCCGCCCCAGCGTTCCGATCCTCATGAACAGGGAACACCTGGCCGGGCTCCACAAGGTCCCGCCAGCCAAATCCCACACCCCTCTCCGGCCACGCAGGCCAAGGAGGGGCGCTAGGGTTCACTGGTGGGTCACCCGTGCTATCTGCAAAAATGAAGTACTGTTTGTGCCTTTACCGGCGTTCCATTCCTCTTCAGTAGCTTCTGCAGTAAACACTGCATGTGTACTGAAGAATTTGAATTTCCCATATTGTTACCACTTTTGGTAAGCTTACTCTTGTCGCTATCCCGCGAACCTAGCGTACGCTTCCCGCTCAAGGCGGCTCCCTGAGTCTCTGCTCAGCTCCTTTTCAAATTCCCCGCTTCCGCGGCTCCCTGAGTCCCTGCTCAGCTCCCTTTCGCGCTCCCTGCTTCCGCAGCTCCCTGAGTCCCTGCTCAGCTCCCTTTCGCGTTCCCCGCTTCGCTTACCTGTAGTTCCGATCCGAGTCACGGCACCAGATGTCAGGGTCCCTTGACCAGCAAGTCAAACCCGGACACTTGTTGTCTTTGCGGAGCCTTTATTGTGGAGAAGACACAGCAAAACCGGCGCGCGGTGGGCGTGCGGCAGCCGCCGTGCAGCCGCGCAGCAGCCACACCATCACGAGGTGCGCTCTCTCTCCCCGAGGTGCGCGCTCTCTCCCCGCGGGGTGCGCTCTCTTCCCGCACGGGGGTGCGCTCCCTCCCCGCGCGGGGGTGTGCTCCCTCCCCGCGCGGGGGTGCGCTCTCTCCCCGCGAGGGGGTGCACCCCCGCGCGGGGGTGCGCTCTCTCTCCCGCTCTCTCCGCTCTTTCCGCTCTCTCCGCTCTCTCCGAGGCGCGCTCTCTCCTGCTCTCTCCGCGGTGCGCTCTCTCTCCCCCCCGCCCCAGTTCTCTGGCTCCTTTATATGCTGGGTAACCCGGCCAATCAAAGTAAAGGTCACCTGTGCACGCAGTGGGCAGGCCAATCATCATACAGATCACGCGCTGTCCACGCGCCATCCACGCACCCCTGGGCCAATCACAGCAGACTTCCTGTAGCTTGTTTTTTCTAGCACAGGAGGAAGCGGCAGTCTGGCGCCGTCCGTGTAGGGTGTAGGATGCAGGCTCCCTACAGCTCCCCACATGTGCACACCCAGAGGGGAAGAAAAGGTTTACTGTTTACATGATTGAGGTCTCTGGGAAGAGCAGGGACAGCCTCTCAAACAGGGCCTCTTAAGCAGGCCCCTAATGGCCCAAGAGATCCAGGAAAGGAGGGGGCCTGGTGGTTTGTGGTTAGGGGGTGAGTGTTCACATAAGAAAGGAAGTGGGGATTTCTCTTTCTCTCTGGGACACCGCGCGGGCTCTCTTGTCCAGATGTAGCTCACTAGGGCCAGGGAGTGAGTAGCGAGGCCTGAAAGCTGTTAGCAGGGACCAACACTGTGGTGTAGTGGGTAAAGCCACCACCTGTGGCTTTACCAACCAGCATCCCATATGAGTGCTGGTTCAAGTACTAGCTGCTTCACTCCCATCCAGCTCCCTGCCAAGGATCCTGGGAAGGCAATGGAAGATGGCCCCTATACTCCTGTGGGAGACCCGAAGAAAGTGCCTGGCTCTTGGCTTCAGACCAGCTCAACTCAGCTCCAGCCATTGCAATCATTTGAGGAGAAAACCAGTGGAAGGAAGATCTCTCTGTCTCTCCCTTTCTCTCTCTGCAACTCTGTCTTTCAACTAAATGAATAAATCTTTTTTTAAAAAAGTCACTAGCAAATATCAAAAGCTGGATGCAGACTCCCCATTCCACATGTCACACATATCCTTGTTCCTTTATGTCGGCATTTCTAGGTGGGTCCCAGCTCCGTGGGCAAGGGTTGCCAGATGAAGTCAGCTGAAAGAGAACATAAGGCCTTGAGTGATAATGTCACTAAAACCGGGGATTTCAGACCTCAATTGCATTTCTCTCCTCATCTCTCCAGCTCTGACTCTTGCAGATTCTGTATCTCCCCCATCCCCATTCTCCAGCTCCAGATCTGACACTCCCCCCCACATTCCTCAGCCCAGGCCCACCCATAGCGGTTGCCCCTGCTCTGGTTCCCACATTCCCTCAGGACACTCCCCCAGAGTGGAAAACCATCCGTCATCCCTTTCCTGCTCCCAGTCCCCGGCTCGGACATGCTGGTCGTTCCTGTTTGGGATGGCCATGGAGATAAGGCCTGGCAAAGACCCATTTGTCGTCACAAGACTTAGAGGGGTTGGGAGGGGGGAGGAATCCCGGCCCACTGCGCAGGGATTCCTAACTCTGGTCCTCATGACTCTTTCTGTGCCTCCTTCTGCAGAAGCAAAGTAGAGGATCAGAAGGATGGGGAAAGAAGGGCATTGCATCTGGTCAACCTCGCCATCCTGGTCCATATCCTGCAGCTCAGTCTGGATGTTTCCACAAGGCAGAGCATGAGAGAGGCTGAGTGGCTCTAGAAGTCACAGCTCAGGATCAAATGCTGTCTCAAGGGCAGTTGGGGACAAGTGTCCTCTTCCCAGCCACCGCAGAGAAAGCTGTTATCGCAGCTGCTTTTATTTACGCCCTTCTGTTGTTGACCAATATCTGTCTGCAGTCTTGACTCTTAAAGACACAGCTGTGATCTGTGGCTTCCAGCCAAGCTCGGCCTCCCATAGGCTGTATGACCTTGGCCGTCCAGGTAGCATCCTGGGCTGCATTTTTTGTAAGTCAGATGGGCAGGATGATCCTGACCCTTCAGGGAAGCTGGCTGAATGAAGCTAATGTGCCCAAGAGATGATTCGTAAACTGGAAAGTGGTGGTGATGGGGGATAATCCCAGCTCTGTCTCTAAACTTACTCCCGGACCTGTCAGAAAGATTGTCAAATGTTCACAGTTCGCATATGAAGTCATAAGAAACACTCCAGGTTTGAACACACAGGACTAAAATCCTAGCAAGGTGTCCTTAGTCACGTGGCTGTCCCTCCCCGGACCTCAGGTTGCTCACCCCCAAGCAGCAATAACACCTCCAGGATTGCCAGGAGCCTTTATTAATAGCTGCAAAGCCCGAGTTCATGCCACACGTGCGTTTAACATCTGTCCTGTTGTTGCAAGAAGATAGAATGCTCAGGAAAAAAACGGGTGATGTTTGCACTGCCATCAGACATTGAGTTGGCCTCCAAAAGTACATAGTGAGGTCTTGCTGTTCCTTTTCTGTCGGATTCTAATAGGGATAATGAATCCTCTGGGCCCCACCCACTGCACACCTGTGAGTGTAAGACATCTTGTCCAGCAACTTCCAAAATGGCACAGGCTGAGCCTTTGTGGTAGGAATGGGCCACTGCGATTCCGTGGGACTGGGTCCTGAGCAAGCGTGGAGAATAAAGAGCTCTTGGTGTCTGGGCCCAGGTCCCTGGCCACACAGTTGGCTAAGGACGGACTCACTTCCGCTGCCGCCAATACCGTCTGGAAGCAGAGGGCCCTAGGGGAAAATGTTATCTTTTTCGCCAATTACAATTAGCGATGTTTGATAATTACCACTGCTAAGTATCTGTCTGGTTTTGCTGTGAAGCCAGTCCCAGCTCGCATCGGGTGGGTGGGGGCAGGTAGATCGCAGAAGCAAACCTTCACAAAGACCGAGAATGGGAAAGCGCCCAGAGATAGCCAGCCACCTCTGCAGCGCACCCAGCGCTGCCCAGGCGAGCCAAGCCTTCCAGCCAGTCACGGTTCTCAGATGCGCCAACAGCCGGCCTCTCCAGCCCGGACGGCCGAGGTGGCAGCGCCTAGAACGGCCTTGCCAGCGGCGGCGGTTACCGCAGCCAAGAGGGGGTAAATCCCACCCCTGGTCCCGCCCGTCCAATCCATCTTGCTCTGAAGGCGACGCTCCTCCAGAGAAGCGAGGGGGCGGGGAGGGCAAAGCCAAGCTTTTAGGGGCTCCCGACAGGTGTCTGGGGAAGAGGGCGGAGCCAGGAAGGAAGGATGAGGCAGGAGGGGCGGTGCTGCCCCTTTAAGAGGCGGCGGCCGCGCGGGGACCTTTTCTCTTTCCCCGGAAGGAAAGCGGAGCACGGGCTGGGCGCACAAGGTGGGGAGGTGCGGGGCTGGGCGTGGGGAGGCGGGGCGCGCGCCGGGGGACCCCTCCCTCTCGGCCGCCCTGCGGTCTACTGGTCTCCCTGCCCAGATCCGCCACCCAGCCGTGATCGGAGGCGGCGACAGCGCTGCCGAGGGGGCGCGGTCGGCACAAGCCGGGGGGCTGGGGACCCGACTGCACGACCCGACTGAATAGACCCGCGGACCTCGGAAGGGGATCGGCGAGCGCAGACCTGGAGCAGTCGTGAAACCGAGCGGCGCTGAGGACAAGAACCCGATCTGCACTCCGGGGCGCGGCGGGCTCGGGTGACCTCGGGCGGCCAGGGAGCAGGTGAACAGGTCCTCGTTGCAAGCTCCGCACTCCCGCGCGCTCTCGCCCCAGGCCCTGCTCTGCTCCAGCTGGCGGCCATGGGCCCGGGCACCCGCCGCGTGCCCGCCGCCCCGCGCCCCATACTTTGTGCACTTGCTTTGATGGTGGCGGCAGGAGGCCGCCTTGCCTCTGCCTTCAACCTGGACACCCGATTCTTGGTGGTAAAGGAGGCCAGGAACCCGAGCAGCCTCTTCGGCTACTCGGTCGCCCTCCACCGGCAGACGGAACGGCAGCAGCGCTACCTGTAAGTCGAGCTGACTAGGGGCTGGGTTGGGACGGAGTGTACGGGGGTGTGCGGATCCGAAGCTAGGTCGCAGCCCTTAGGGCCCTTGCAAGCCCATATTAAGGGCCGGATATCCGAGCAGCCTTAGGGCTGCGGGAGCTTGGGCGGGAAGTGAAGGATTGGGTGTGGGATGGGAAGGCAGTCCTCACTGGCAAGTGCTGACCTGGCCAGAACCTGTCTAGACGCGACCCCTCCGCCCTTTAGACCTCGGCGAACGGAAGTGGAGTCCCTGTTGCCTGAGCCCCCTCCCACGCTGTGAACCGATCACCTAGCTCGGGCCTCTTCTCTCCAGGGCTGGGAGCTGGATAAACAAGATTAACACACCTAGTGTTCCTTCTCCTCCTCCTCCTCCTCCTCACCCCGCCCCCCAAAACCCACAGCACGTGCATGTTAGCTCCCCCTGCACCTCACACTTAGTCTGCGGCCACGCCGGCCACGCCCTCTGCCGTGCTAGACAAGGGGTAGCTTCCTTCGGCCCTGCGGGTGCAGGGGGAGCTGCCTGCCGGGTGAGTCCCGCCGGCTGGCTGCGTGGAGCTGTCCAGAGGTGCCTTAAGATCTCTTGGGGTGGGGGATGGGAGAGAGGAGCTGTCCCTGTTGATGCTGCATCTCCTACCGTCCACCCCCCTACGCAGTGGCCGGCTCCCACCAGACCTCATCCCTGCATTCCACAGATTCATGTTGAATCGCAGCCCTGAGTGTGTTTGTTTTGGTTTGAAGAGGGAAATGCTGTTTTCCTTCTGTTCTCCTTCCCCAACAGCTGCAAGGAGAAGGAGCGGGAAGGGCTTAGGGGAGGAGGGAAAGAGCGCATCCAGCTGCCTTCCCCCTCGCTCTGCAACTACCATCACACCTACCCATGTCCAGGGGTCTCTCTGCTATGAACTTGGATTGGCAGTTGGGGACAGAGGGCACCTGCGGGCGAGTGAGGCTGCCCAGGCTGGGCCAGTGGTTAAGACAGTGGCAGACCAGCCAGGCTGTGTTGGCCTCTGTGAGCTGAGTGACCTGCCAGATGTCTGCCTTCCCCTGGCCCCTAACCCTGCTGAGCTAGACGACGTGGTCAGATGGAGCATGCACAGAAACCTCTCCCAGCTCCGACTAGGGCCTGCAGAAACTTGAGGAAGTTGGGAATGGTCAAAGTCCCAACTCTGTCCCAGCTCTGGCCCCTGCCCTATTGGCCCAGCCCCTATGCTTCCTGCCTACCTGGACTTAGCCTGGACTCCATCTGACGTCCGTGGCAGAGGAGGGACACCACACCCTTCCTGGCCTGTCTCCTGCTGCCAACCATTCATCTTTTGGATATCCCAAATGCCCATCAGTGCAAAGTGTATGCGTGTGTGTGTGTGAGTGCAGGATTTTGCAGCCCAGTCTGCTTAGATAGAACTGTGTGAAGAGATCACACTGGGGCATAAGCACAAGGAATGACTCTGCTGCCCTTCCCCCTTTGCCAAGTCTGCCTGACCAAACTTTCTTTCCCTGGGACAATTTTTCCCAAAAAGGGCTTGGAGCTGAATCCCTGTCTCCTGCCCAGCTCCTGTGAGCGGAGGCTTGGCATTGTCTGGGGGAAAAGAACTCAGAAGGGCGCCTGCCGTGCGCTGTCCTGGGTCTCTCGCTAATACCGGAGACTTGATTTCCTCTTACGCTAAGACCTTTTACGTGGTCCTGTGCGCTGTCGGAATAGGCGTGGGGGCTGGTGGTAAAGGCAACCCTCATCAGAACGCTTGGAGCCATCCCCACCCCGCTGTCTAATGTAAACCCTGGTGGGGTGAGGGGCGGGCAGCTCAAATAGTTGAGTCCCTGTCAACCACCTGGGAAACCTGGATTGAATTCTTGGCTTCCAGCTTTAGTGCTCAGTCTGTTAAGGGTATTTGGGGGAATGAAATAGTGGATGGAAGCTCTGTTTTCTGAAGCCAATTAATTACAATTATTTATAAAAAGTACCCAACATATATCCATCCTGCCCAGGCGTGGCTGCAGGCTCCTGTCCTGCAGCCAGGACCTGGATATGCCCCTAGCACCCGCGAATGCCTCCCAAGATGGCCGCACTCCGGGGTTCTGCCTGGGCAGCTCGAGGTGGCTTTCACCTTCTGGGACTGACAGGCCACCTCCAAGAGGTACATCGTTCAGGGGCTCCCCTGTGGGTATCCTCAAGCTTTCTCCAGGAGTGGAGCTGTCTCTAGGCACATCTCCTCACTGATATCTCCACTGCTGGCCCTGTGACAGAGCCAAGTGGGCCAGCTGGGCTTGGCTGCAGGCAGCTGTGTGGCCAGATGTGAACAGCTGCCTGGGTACACCACTCAGGGGAACCAACCAGTCGAACTGTGGCTTTGTGCTCTGCTGCTCTCTAAGTCCCTTTGAAAAAAGGGGAACAGGCTTGGAGACTGTGGTTCAGAGATGTTTTTTAGGAAATGAGGATTCCTTAAAAGTAGAAGCAAAATCCTGAATGTTGGTTCGTTGTCCTGGGGGTAGGAGCAAGGGGATAGAGTGGCTTTCCCATTCTCAGAGAAGGTCTTGTTCCAGAAATGGCTTAAATCCCCAGAAGTGGACCCTCCCTGCCACCCCTCACCCTCTCCCCAGCCCAGTTGTCCAATGCAAGCCCCAGTCTCCCAGTCTCTGGAAATGAAAGACACAGCAGGTGTCCGGCTTCTTGGAGACATGCATGAAGTCTCCTTGGAGGGGGAGGCGGCACCTGCTCTGTGGTTCCCTCTTGGGAATTCCTGGGAGCCACGAGGGCAGCCTCCATGTGCCTCTGCCTTTAGCCTCTGCCTGGAAATGAGCAAGTCTGGGAAATGACGTCATGGGTCACGGGGCAGGCAGGAGCCCAGCTCACCTGCTCTGCTCTCCTAAAGCATCTTCTGCTGGGCAGGGCAGGTGGTTGGAGGCTCATGCCAGGAGACAAAGGCACAGCAGCTGTGCCTGCAGGCACACCTGCACCTGGGGTAACCCTTCCCTCCGGCTCTCTCCTATGAACAGTGGCAGCCCAGGGGGTTTAATGTAGATGGGCACTGGGGGAAGCCTGAGCTCATAGAGAAAGCAGCAGCAACTGGGCTTGGTTAGGGCTAAGAATAGGAAGAAGAGGATATCCTTGTGGTAGGAAGGCCTGAAGTTAGGTGACAGCGAGAGTGCCCCAAGGGGTCAAATTCAGGGGGAAAAAAAAACACTAAACAGCCAGAAAAAGGGAAAGGAAATGAGAAAAACAGGCTTTTTTTTTTTTTTTTAGCCGAGGTTTGCTAGAGGCCTCCAGCTTGTTGCTCTCTTGGGCTGAGTCACCAGTGGGGGGAGAGGGGGCTGGGTGGGCAGCTGAGGAAGAGGGGGAGGAGGAAGATGGGGCCGGCTGCAGCTTCAGCTACTGCAGGAGCAGCCTCTGGGGAGATGGTTAATTTGGGCAGCAGTGCTGGCACTGAGCTGGGATCCAGGCATCTGATAAGTGCCCCCCCTTACCCCCTGGGGATCAGAACTGGAGCAGGCCCCCTCCCCTCCTGCTTCCTGCCTGGAGTTGGCGTGAGTGCTGAATCCCCTGGCCCGCCCTCCCCCCTTTACCCCTGGAGCCACCAGGGAAGTTGAATGTTATAGATTTTTTCTCTGAACATCACCACACCCTGTGTCCCCTGGGGGAGCTTCTCTTTGGGGTGCGCCAACCTGGTTCCTGATCTCTCCAGGGCCCCATTCCTCAGCCTTCTTTGATTCCACTGCTTTCTACTTGACTCTTCCATTAGCTTTGAACTGCCCTGGGAGGAGAGACTGGGCAGAGGTGAGCAATAGCTTTCCGGAGCTTAGAGCTCAGGGGGCTCCCCAGAGGCAGCAGGGGTGGTCTGCCTGGAGCCAGATGAAAGCCGGAGGAGGCAGCTGTCCAAAATCTCACCTCCTTCACCCTCTGCCTCTAGGGGGCTCCCTGCTCCCCCACCCCAACCTGATGGCCTTCTCCTATCTTCCGAGTTCTACCAGCTCCATCCCTCCATCCCTCCATCTGGTCTCATCTTCAAACTGGAGTGGGAGGACAGGTGTGCTGGTGGCTTGGGAGGGGTCAGCTTTTGGACTCTGCTCTGGACCACACCCAGCAACAAGTAGTTCATGTGTGTAGAAGTTGTATTTTCTTTTTTTTTTTTAAGTGATTTATTTTTATTTGAAAGATCGACTTACAGAGAGGAGAGACAAAGAGCTCTTCATCCACTGGTTCACTCTCCAAATAGTCTCAGTGACCAGGACTGGACCAGGCTGAAGCCTGGAGCCTAGAATTCTTTCAGGGTCTTCCATGTGGGGGCCCAAACACTTGTACCACATCCGCTGCTTTCCCAGGAGGTTTAGCAGGAAGTTGGTTGGGAAGAGGAGCAGCTGTGACTCAAATTGACATTCATATGGGATGGCGGTGTCACAGGTGGCGGCTTAATCCGCTGCACCACTAGAAGTTGTGTTTTCAATTACATGTCAGTAGAGTCCCTTCCATCCTGTGGATTCTCTAGCCCTGACTGCACACACCTGGATGTGGCTGGAGGAAGCTGGACCTGAACCTCTGTTCATTGCCTTCCCCCATCCATGCACAGGCCCCTGGCTTTAGACCCATTGGATCCTGGGCCAAGAGCCAAAAAGGCCTTATGGGGCCTCCGAGCGGGCCAAGCAGGAGCTAAAAATACTGCAGGGAGGAGGTGGAGGGGGGGCTCCCTGTGGAATCTCTGGGGAGGGTGGGGCGTGGGATTTGGAGCTGGGATTAGGGCACTGGCCCTGCCCCTTCTCACCAGCAGGCACACAGCTGGGTGGAACTGGGGGCACAAGCACCAGCAGGGCCGCACTTCCACTACACCACATGCGGGACTGCAACCTGGCACCCACTGCCCTGCCCCACTTCTCACTAAGGCTTGAACTAGATCCTCATTGTAACCACCTTCCAGCCGACTCTCAGGTCCCATCCGAGGTTGACTGTAGCTGCCAGTGTCCCCATCCCCCATCTCAATCACGGGCTGGCATCCTTAGACCCTTGAAGTCCCACTTGTATCCTGGTCCCTGCCCCTTCTGGGCAACCACAGCAATTTGTTTTTGATCCACTATTCCAGGTTCATGCACCTGGCAGAGCAGAAATTCAGGGTCCCTTGGGAGAGAGAGGCCTGGGATCATGCCAGGCCAGTCCTGGTACCACGAGGTTTTTATTGGTTATGGCTTCAAAGCCAAGAACAAATCTGTGTGTCCTTCCAGCGACCCCATGGTCATGGTCAGCAGAACTGCTGCTGCTGTCCCCATTTTTCAGACCAGGCTGTCAAGGCCTCAGTGACAGAAAGATTTTTCCCCTTGAGGCAGAACCAATTCTAGAACCAGACCCTTCGCCTTCCAGGCTGCATGGTTCCTTTCCCATGGGCATGGCTTCCTTGGCTCATCTGTCAGGCACGCCGGGGAGCGGATGTCCATGGGTGGCCGGGCAGTGGACTCACCGAGGCGCCCTCCTCGGCCCAGACAGAAGGTGACTAACTGGGCCCGGCTGCCATGCTGGCCTCTGGCCAGCTCTCCTGCTTGGGAGCACTGCGGAGTGAGGTCCCGCCCCCCTCTTCCTGGGCACCCCCAGGCAGTGCATTCTTGAGTCCCAGCAGGCGGGCGGAGGCACCCCACAGGCCTCAGCATGCCCGGGCCCTGTCCTACCCACTCCCTGCCGCCCTCAAGGCTGTGCGCACACACATGGGTCCCAGGCAGGGGGTGCTAACTCTGGCAGGAAGTTCAGAGCTGGGAGTGTCTGGGTGGGGGTGGGAGTAACAGGATGGCTGGGGCTGTTGGAAGAGGCATCTTCCAAGGTTTGCAAGATTGCACCCAGTTGCTGTGGGGTGCGCTGAGCTGTGTACATGTCTCACAGATGACCCAAGCGTTTCTGTGGTTGACAAGCCACAGGCGCTGTGGCCTCTATGCTCCAGTCACCCACTCTGGCCTGTTGTTCAGGCTGATGAAGGCGGGTTCTGGGGAAGTTGATGGTCCTTGCCCTTCCCCATGAACTCCACCCTCTAGGGCACATTGTCCAAAGTGGGCATTCCTCAGTCCCTTGGGTGCCTGTTTCTGGGTAACAGTAGGGATACTGGACATGGCCCAGGGGCCCTAAGGGCCCAGGCTTCCTAAATCTAAGATCCTTTCTGTCATGGCTGTAAGAGGTAGGGTTCTGGCTTCTGTCTTCCCTCCCCACCCTCTGGCAAACCATTCTCTTTTCCCCCCTACCCCACGGCCGTTGCCGCCACCACCTGAGATAAAACCCAGTGCCAGGATTCCTCCAGTCTCCTCAGAGGTTAGTGGGGTGGATAACGCCCGGCCCACAGGCCATATAAGGCCAGCTGCAACATCATTTGGCTGGCCTTGCCAAAGTAACCGCAGGTGGGACTCAAAACTCAATAAATCTATAGCAGGCTAATTTTTAAGTTGATGATTTCGTTTGGCCTGTGAAGGATGTTGTAGAGATAGAAATGGCCCCCCGGGCAGGATAGAAAGAAAATCAATCCTTTCCAACAGGGATGGGACCAGACCCCTCCCCTCCCTCACACCTCTAGGTGGCTCCCTCCAGGCTGCACCCCACTTCTCTCTGTGCCCCACCCAGAGGTTGCTGGGCTGCATCTGTCCCAAGGGCTTTGCATAGCCCTGAATGAGTCTCCCTGCTTGCTCATGCTTGCTGGCCCCGTGCACATGCCACACCTTGTCTCAAGCACTCCCCCACCCCTCGTTCACCTGGTGACTCTGGGCAGCGTCCTCAGAGTGGCTTCTGAGAGCCTCCCTGCCTGCCCAGCCCCAGCTGTGTGCAGGTGACCCTCCTGTCCTGAGGTGGCGCCAATGCCCGCTTCCCTACTGCCTTCTCCCATAGGTAGTGGAATGGGTCATAAGACACTATAAATGCTTGTTGAAAAGTTAAGTTGTTCATAGCAATATTTGGGAGATCTGAGTCTGGGCCCACCTGCCTCCCTATCTCCAGGCTCCTGGCTGGTGCCCCCCAGGACCTTGCTGTCCCCGCTGATGGCTACACCAACCGGACCGGTGCTGTGTACTTGTGCCCACTCACTGCCCAAAAGGATGACTGCGAGCGGATGGACATCACGGAGAAAAGTGAGGGGAAGGGACTGGGTCAGCTGGGTGGGGAGCCTGGCAAAGGGGCAGGGAGGGTGTCCTAGGGGACCTGCAGGAGCTACTTCGTGCCCAGCTAGGAAGAGGAGGAGCAGGCCACAGGGGGATTGGTGAAGTGCAGAATAATGGGAGTGGGGAAAGCTGCCCTGCTGAGGTGGGGCATCCAGGAGGGACCCACCTCTGCCTACTGGAGGCTCTGGGTACTGCAGTGTGGATAGTGGGGGAGGGGCCCAGGCTCACACACTGTCCCATGCCCACAGGTGACCCTGACCATCACATTATTGAGGACATGTGGCTTGGGGTGACTGTGGCCAGCCAGGGCCCTGCAGGAAGAGTTCTGGTAAGTGAACATTCAGTGTCGGCTCCTCCCAGTCCTCTCCCCTGGGGGTTGGGGAGGGGGAGAAGGACAGTATCAAGCTCCTCTGTGTGTGCATGTGCTGGGTGCCTGGTGGTTAGGTGTCTCTGCAACAAACGGTTCCCCCACTTCCTGCCCCCTGGGGAGGAGGCGTGTGACAGTGTCCTGAGGATTCTGTCTGATCTCCCACTTCCTCCCTGCACCCACTATGGATACTTACCCTCCATGGAAACCCCAGGAAATTAGGAAGAGGAGAGGGTAGAGAGGGTCCCTGCTGGCTGGCACTGGCTGCCTTGCCTTCCTGGGACCCTGACTCCTGGAAGAACCACAACCCCGCTGGCCCTGCTCACTCGACCCACTCTGACTCAGGGCCCCTCCCTGCTAGCCGTTGTTACCTCCTGCCCACATTCCTCAGTGCTGGCCGCCGGCCACTAGGCTAGCAATTTCTGAGTTTTAGAAAGACAGGTATTTTTCCTCACTATTATTTAGATTAATGTAAACTTTACATCCAGTGAAATGGATGAATTTTATGTTTCAACGAATCTTTCACAAACAGGTAGTTGTGTAACAGATACCCACGAAGCGTAGAACTTTGGACATCTTTTTAGAGCGTTTCCCCTTGTCCCCTTCCAATCAGCCACCACCCCCAAACTCATCACTGTCAAGGTCCCTATCACCTTTGAGCTTGGGGTTTGTGTCAGTTCACTGAACCCCTCTTTGAGAATCTACTGAAAGCGATGTCAGGGGCTCTCTGCATTGACTGGGTCCTGCAGTAGCTGTCTGCTCAGCTAGCCAGACAGCCAGCCAGACAGTAGCTACTGTGCGCCGAGCCCTGTACTAGCCCTAGGAAGGCAGCAGTGATCCGGGCCAAGCTGGGGCACACTGGGCCATCAGGTCTCCCAACCGGAAGGTGATAAAGAATGAATAAACAAGCACTGGGTCTATTTGTGGTGTTTGGCCCCAGGCTGTTTTCAGAGCCCCTTCTTCGGATTCATTGATTTGCCCCATAAATACATTTGTACCCTGGGCACCAAGCATGTGCGGCGAGTCCTGCCTTTGTGAGGCAGCACAGCCCAGGGGCTGGGGAGTGAAGTCTGTGGAGCCACAGAGGCTCGGTTAGAGCCATCTCCCCCTCTCTCTAGATGTGGCATCTTGAGTAGGTCATTGAGCTCCCTGTGGCTCAGTTTCTTGGTCTGTAAGCTAGAGAGGATAACTTCCTGTACCACTACAGAGATGTTAGCAGGCTTAAAAGAGTCAGTGAGCACATGGCCAGAGCTTAAAATTGTGTCTGGCATATAGTAAGTCTGCAGTGAGTGTGCAGTGGCTGCAGCCACTGTTGTTTTAATAATGGTCCTTTTAGTGAAAGGACAGGGACATCCAGGGTCAGCAGGGAAGCAAACACCTTAATCACTTGGTCAATGGCCTCTTTTAGACTTGAGAACCTGAACCCCACATTGCCTCACCCTGTCTCCCTTTGCATTGGCCAACTTCTCCAAGCTACACACCCCCCTCCCAAACTTTCTCAAAAGTGCTCCTGCCCTTGAGAGTAGCCTTATGCATTCTGGAAAGGAGATGCAGGTTTTGGGGTCACTGTGGGATGGTTGGGGGGTCATTGGGCCAAGGGGATACCTGGGTCCCCACTCCTGGCTAAGCCTGAGTGCGTTGGGGTTGGGGTCCCCAGGTCTGCGCCCACCGCTACACTCAGGTGCTGTGGTCAGGATTAGAGGACCAGCGGCGCATGGTTGGCAAGTGCTATGTGCGTGGCAATGACCTCGAGCTGGACCCCAGCGATGACTGGCAGACCTACCACAATGAGATGTGCAACAGCAATACCGACTACTTGGAGACGGGCATGTGCCAGCTGGGTACCAGTGGCGGCTTCACCCAGAACACTGTGTACTTCGGAGCCCCAGGAGCCTACAACTGGAAAGGTGGGGCTTGTGGGGTGGGGCTGGGTGGGAAGAGATCACCCACCCTGTAAGTCACTGGGACAGCCAGCTCAAACCATCCACAGTAGGGGATGGGAGACATACCTTTCATGGGAGCCTTTCGCCCTCTTAATGATTCTTAAAACTTTTGTGAAAAGAGTCTTACGCTCATTTACAGGAAAGAAAACCAGAGAGGTAAAGTCAGTTAGTTGCTCAAGGCCAATGTTGTGAAACGTGAATCGGAACGCAGGGCTGGCTGACTCCAGATTAACCATCTGAAATATATCTTAGAAAGCACTTGCTTGACAGAACCACCAGGCAGTGCCTTGCGATGTGCTTAAATAAAGAGTAAAAGTTCCCCTCCGCTCAGCTCCTCGTCTCCTCCCTCTCCCCGGTGTGAACAGGACCTTGGGCTGCTTCCAGATTTGTTTTATGATCTGTAGGTGCCTTAAAAACAAAAGAAAACAACCAGAAGCATACTTTACATTCTCTTCTGTTACTCTCTCTTTCTGTCTTCACTCATCAAAATCTGTTAGCATGGTTCATGTCAACACACAGGATCCCGCTCTCAGGGGCTACAGGGTGGTAGACCCCACGTGTGGGGACAGTGTTGTGGCACAGCAAGTTAAGCCCCCAGTAGGGATGCCTGCATCCCATATTGAAAACTGGTCTGAGCCCCAGTTATTCCATTTCTGATCCAGCTCCCTGCTAATGCACCTGGAAAAGCAGTGGAGGATGACTCAAGTAGTTGGACCTCTGCCATCCATGCGAGAGACCAGGATGGAGTTCTAGGCTCTTAAGGCTTTAGTCTCCCCTATTCCTGGCCATTGCTGCTATTTAGGGAGTAAACCTGTAGATGGATGATCTATCTGTCACTCTGCCTTTACATAAATAAATATTTTTTGAAAAGAATAGAAAACTAAAAGACACACACTTTTAACCACCACACTTACCCATTGTCTCCTCGCCAGTTCTCTGCCTGTCTCTGTCACAAAGATTGCAGCAATAGCAACCCCTTACAGCACCCCTGTGTTAGCAGAGTCAACAAGAGGAGAGAACCCTGTAGCCCCTCCTAATAAACAAGTGGTCCAGGTTCTGAGCTTACCTGAGGTTGAGACCCTGCCCTGGCTCCCCCAAACTCACCCAACCCTTGCTACCCACCCGCCACTGATCCTAATGACCCCTGGCAGGGGCACGGGTACTCTGCCAGCAGCATCCATGTTTGAGGACAGGAACGGAAGGAGATGCAGGTGTAGAGTCTGATCCTAGTATCTAGAGGGTGGGAAGATAACCCATCTTTATCTGATAACAGCTGGGAGTCTGGATGCCAGCAGGGGCATTTCCCACAACCAGCTCCGATGGGACTGTGAGCAGGCCAGTCTCTTTCCTTCAGCCTCACTTTTCTCATCCACAAAGTGGGGGTTCATCATTGCACCTGGCAGAGTGGGTGGTGGCATTTAGCCTGGAGATGAAGTAGCTAGTTAAGCTGCCCTGCAGCCACATTGGAGTCCCTGGGTTGGCTGGCCTGACTCAGTCCCTAATGCAGAGCCTGGGAAGCAGCCCTGATGGTGATGGTAATTGGGTTCCTGCCTATACTCCCTCCTGCCACCGCCACCCCACCTCAGGAGACCTGGATTGCATCCCCATTTCTTGGCTTCAGCCAAAGGGACATTGCGGGCATCCGGGGAGTGAGTCGGAGGATGGGAGCTCTCTTTCTTGTCTGTTTCTCTACTCCTCCTATAAATCATTTTCCCCCAAAGATATAAAATAAAGAGGTAGTGCTTTACAAAAGGTCGAGTGATCCTAACTCGTTACTCAGAGGGGTGCTGTTATCCTTATCTTGCAGGGGGTGGGGAGCTGGACATGGTGTAGGGTGGGGGTGGTGACCAATGCAGCTTCTGTTCTTTCCCAAATCCTTGTGAAGGAAACAGCTACATGATCCAGCGGAAGGAGTGGGATTTGTCTGAGTACAGTTACAAGGACCCTGAGGACGAAGGGAACTTCTATATTGGTATGTGCAGCTGTGGGCCCCATTTGGTAATGGAGGCAGCCCGGACTGTGGCATACTGACCCATTTGCCTTCAGTGCCTGGTGGGAGAGTGAGGGTGGAATGCGGTGGAACCAGTGGCATTCAGTTCGGTGAGCGCACACTTAGTAAGCAGTAAGCCTGAGTATGCCAGGCCCTGCTCTGAACTTAAAAATGCAAAGCTCCCAGCACACAGGCAGAACTGGGGACTAGAGGTGGGGGCACACGGCTGCTGGGCATCCAGGGTCCACTTTCTTGCCCATATTAGAATAAAGGGTAATAGGGGATAGGCCATTCTATGGGGCCAGAGTAATAGGGGACAAAGCTTCCTTGGGCGTGGATTAAACAAACTTCTTTCCCTTATCCCAGGGTACACAGTGCAGGTTGGCAGTGCCATCCTAAACCCCACGAACATCACCATTGTAACAGGTGCCCCGCGGCACCGACATATGGGTGCTGTCTTCTTGCTGAGCCAGGAGGTAGGCGGAGATCTGCGCAGGAGGCAGGTGCTAGAAGGCACCCAGGTGGGCGCCTATTTTGGCAGTGCCATTGCCCTGGCAGACCTGAACAATGATGGGTGAGAATCTGAGGACAACCTGTGGGGCCAGGGAGAGAGGTGGGGGAGGGCGGACTTGTGTGAGCCGGCTGAGGGACTCGGAGGTTTTGCAATTGTGCATTTGTTTGCCCGCTGTTTGCAGAGTAGTGACTGGAAGTCTGGGTATTTGCATGTCATTTGCATGAAACCTGCATTTGTTTACGCTCCCGTGGATGTGGGGTGCTTGGGGTGATCTCTGCCTGCATTGTATTTGCCACTTGGGGGAGAAGGTTCTATTAGCCTTGCCATGTTCTCATACCTATGGCTGGGTACTGCTTGCACAGCCACATGCCTTAGCACAGTCATGCCTGTTCAATGGAGGTGATGCTGTTCCTTCTCACATTGCTGTTCCTTCTCCTCTCCTGTGCAGGTGGCAGGACCTCTTGGTGGGTGCTCCCTACTACTTCGAGCGGAAGGAGGAGATAGGGGGAGCCGTCTATGTTTTCATGAACCAGGCAGGCACTTCCTTCTCTGCCCAGCCTTCTCTCCTTCTTCACGGCCCCAGTCGCTCTGCCTTTGGCTTCTCTGTGGCCAGCATCGGTGACATCAACCAAGATGGATTCCAGGGTAAGAGCCAGCGCCCCTCCCCCAGCCTCCCCACTGACCTAATGCCAGCGGCATTCCAGGATTGACAGGGCTCACAGAGGCAACCGGGCTGCGGAGCCTAGAGCAATGCTAGAGAGGAAGGGATAGAGAGCAGCAGAGGCAAGCCCAGTGTACCTCCTGGAGGAGGGGATGTGTGGCTGGTCAGCAGAGGCTGGACTGAGTACATACTAGAGGGGAGCTGAAGGGAGAGACACAAGATGGGGAAAGTTTGGAAGCCTGGCAGGGGAAGTGGGAGCTTGGGATTTGAGCCTTGGTGGGGGAGGGAGAAGGGAATCTGGAGAAAACTATGAGGCAGGACAGTGATAGAAAGCGTGGTACCTTGAACTGATAATTCAGGAAGGGGCTAAGAGATGGTTAGGAGGTGAGTAGCAAGGCTGGGGGCACTAAGTTCAAGAATGTAGTATAGCAGGTGCACGGATGGGGGAGCTCTTGATAAGGGTCATCTTTAGTGCTATGGAGAAATTGAGATCAACCAATCAAAAGCAGAGTGTCCGAGAGAGATCACCCGGTTGAGTCTGGTTGCCAAGTTTCCCAGGACATTGCTGAAGGGAGAGAGACCTCCAAGGAGCTAAGAAGTGGCCAGAGTACCTGCTGGGAAGACATGTAGGAGCAGCTTACTGTTCCCTTCCCGGCTTCACTCACAAGCTTGGCTTTCTGGTCACCCAGGCCTGTTCAGAGCAAAACAGCAATGAGAAAGAGCTTGGGAAAACTGAAGATAATAAAATGTCTGCGGTGCAATTGCAGCAACAATGGTTGAACTTTTTAAAGTCTTTTTAAATATTTTATTTGAAAAGCAGAGTGGCAGAAACTGGAGGAGAGAGAGAAAAGATAATATGCACCATCTGGGTTCCCCACATGGATGCAGGGGCACAGGCACTTGGGCCGTCCTCTACTGTTTTCCCAGGTGCATTAGCAGGGAGCTGCATCAGAAGTGGAGCTCACTTTGGCATGGCAGTGTCACAGATGGTGGCTTCTTAGCTGGCCTAAAGTTTTAAGTTCTGACACTTCAAGTCCTCTAAGTGTCACTATTTTAATTTCTACCTTGGTATAAGACAGACATGCTTAAATATCCTGGACTCGTTGTTCATGGGCCTCTGGGTTTTCTGAGTCTGTGGGGACAAGAGCACACATCCTGCAGCATTCTTGGGGTGTTAAATAGTTGACAGCATCCTGGCAGAGTCCCCAGCAGGGACCGTATCACCTGGCTGGAAGCTGCCATTAGAAGAGCTAGGGTGGGTGTTGGATGCAGCCATTGGGCTGCTGCTTCTCAACGCCCATATCCTGTGTCAGAGTATGCTCTGCTTCTGATTCCAGCTTCCTGCTAATGTGCACCCTTGGAAGCAGTGGATGATGGCTTAGGTACTTGGATCCCTGCCACCAGCATGGGAGACACAGACTGTTTCTAGCTTCAGCCTTCCACCTGGACCGGCACCACCTGCTGGGAATTTAGGAAGAGAACCAGCCAATACAAGATCTTGTCTTTGTCTCTCTTCCTTTGCAATAAAAAAGTGAAGAGACTGAGCTAGGGTGTTGGGGGTGGTGGTAAAGGCATTTTGCTTTCTCTGCCTGCCTGGGTTACTCGGAATACTGCCTGGCAGGGCGAGGTCAGTGTCAGGCTGAAGGACCGGCAGGAGGAGCTGTGAGCCCTCAAGGACCCACGTGACCATCTCCTTTCCTCTTCCCCAGACATTGCCGTGGGAGCTCCGTTCGAGGGCTTGGGCAAAGTATACATCTACCACAGCAGCTCCGGAGGCCTTCTCAGACAGCCCCAACAGGTACGGATGGACGGGAATGCACCTGCTGTCCATGCAGGTATTCCCTCCCTCACCCCTTCCTTGTTGTCCCTGGGCCTCCCCCACCACTTTCCCTTGCCCTCCACCACAGGTAATTGACGGAGAGAAGCTGGGACTGCCTGGCCTGTCCACCTTTGGCTACTCCCTGAGTGGGCAGATGGATGTGGATGAGAACTTCTACCCTGACCTACTGGTCGGGAGCCTGTCGGACCGCATTGTGCTGCTGCGGTGAGCCTGGGGCTGGTGGACAGGCTCTTTTCTCACCTCTCCCTGTTTGCACAGAGACCTGTGCCTGTCCATCATGGGTGGCAGGCTCTCGGAAGCCCAGAGCTGTGGCTTTGGGCATGAGGGAAGTACTGATATCTGCCTGGTTCTGTCATCTGTGCAGGGCCCGGCCTGTTATCAACATCCTTCATCGGACCTTGGTGGCCAGGCCAGCGGTATTGGACCCCACACTTTGCACAGCAACCTCCTGGTGAGCTCCTTGGGACCCCACTGTGCCTGCTCCTCCTCCTCATGTATTGCAGGCTTGAGAAGAGGGCCCAGTTTCCTCGAAACTTGCCTTCTGCGGTGTGGTTCCGAGGTCAGCCTAGCTTTCCCTTGCTAAAAAGTAAATGTTTTTTTGTAGGAGGCAGCAGATGAATCGAAAGAGGGGGACAGGCAGGCAGTAGGGCATGGTGGTTGGGGTGGGTGCTGTGGACTGCCCAGTCCAAATCCCAGCTATGCCATTGCAGGCACAGCACTGGACTGTGGGTTGTGAGGTCCTGGAGGAAGAGGGACTAGGGGAACACTAAAGTGGCTGGATGTGAGGAAGGCAGGAGAGTCACCTTGGGCAACTTATCGACCTCTGGGTCTCAGATTTCCTTGCCTGTAAAGCAAAGTTCATAACTAATTTACAGGGCCGCTGACATAATTAAATGAGATTATTTACCAAAAGTCCTTCATGCGGCACTCCAAACACCCCACCTGCTCAGAAATGTTAGTGGCTCAGAAAGTGATGATATTGACAGCTGTGACCCCGGTGGGGCTGTACTGAGATTAGGATGCTGGGGCAAAAGGCAAACAGAGCTGGGGGTGGAGCAGCAGGGGGTGGAGAGTGGCAGGAGACCCAGGGCTCCAGAGTGGGCAGGGCCACGTGCCTCCTGATGGCTCCAGACAAGGTCCTCTGCTCGTGGGGCCTCAGTTTCCCCTTTGTGACCTCTCACCCTGCTTCCGACCCTCCTGTAAACCCCATCCCCTCTCCCTTCCCAGTGTGCAGGTGGAGCTGTGCTTTGCTTACAACCAGAGTGCCGGGAACCCCAACTACAGGCGAAACATCAGTGAGTGCTGGGGTGCAGGGAGAGGGGAAGCGCGTGCAGCCAGCTGCCGGCTGACCACCACCCTGTGTGCCTGCAGCCCTGGCCTACACGCTGGAGGCTGACCGTGACCGACGCCCGCCCCGCCTCCGCTTTGTGCGCAGCCAGTCGGCCGTCTTCCATGGTTTCTTCTCCATGCCAGAGATGCGCTGCCAGACGTTGGAACTGCTCCTGATGGTGAGGCAGGAGAGTGGGGGCTGGAGCGGACTTCTGGATTCCTAGGGGAGGGGAGAGGGGCCTCTGCAGCCACAGAAGCGAGGGACATTGGTGTGGAAGGCTGCAGTTTCTAGGGACACAGCAAGCAGTACACAGTAGAGGGGAAGCCCAAAAGGACTTAGCATCTCTCAGGAGCTCCTAACTCAGTTCGGGGAGAAGCGGGGACACCAGGGCTGAAGGGGAGAGAGCTCTGCCTGGGGACTCCTTAGGACCACTAGGGACAACTGAGGAAAAGGAGTCCCAGTTCCATCTTGGTGAATGGCATCGAGAGATCAGGGGGTTTCAGTCACACCATGGGACAGATTTGGGGGGCAGTTCCCATTCGGGTTCAGTGAGACCTCCCTCCCCAGGACAACGTCCGTGACAAGCTCCGCCCCATCGTCATCTCCATAAACTACTCTTTACCCCTGCGCTTGCCCGAGCGTCCCCGCTTGGGGCTGCGATCCCTGGACGCTTACCCGGTCCTCAACCAGGCGCAGGCTTTGGAGAACCACACGGAGGTGCGCGGGGGGGGGGGGGGGGGGGTAGGGGGGCTGGGAGGGGTGCGGGGAGAAGGGGCGCTGTGCTGGGCGTTAGGGGCGAGGGAGTGTGCTTCCCTTCATGCCCCGGCCACTCCCAGGTCCAGTTCCAGAAGGAGTGCGGGCCGGACAACAAGTGCGACAGCAACCTGCAGATGCGGGCGGCCTTCGTTTCCGAGCAGGGGCAGCAGCTGAGCAGGTGGGGCCTCACGGATTGGCTAAGAGCCGGTTGGGGCCTCATTGGCCAACAAGGCTTGGGGGACGGGGCTCGCCAGCTAAGGCGGGGTCGCCACTAAGGTGGATGTCCACAAAGGTGATTTTCTTTAGACAAGAGGGCAGGGTCTAGCCCGTGCAGGCCCAGGAAGTTTTCCTCCCCGGGGTTGGGGTGATCTACTCCCTCTGGTCGGGCCCGGGGAGTGGGGCCTCGCGAGCTGGGGTGGGCAGGAGGCGGGGCACTGGGCTGAGGCAGGGTCCCCTCCTCTCAGGCTGCAGTACAGCAGAGACGTCCGTAGACTGCTCCTGAGCATCAACGTGACCAACATCCCCAGCCGGGAGCGCGCCGGGGAGGACGCACACGAGGCCTTGCTCACTCTGGAAGTGCCGCCCGCCCTGTTGCTGTCCTCAGTGCGCCCGGTGAGCGTTCACACTTGCACCCCCTTATATGCATGCCCTTTGCTGCTCTCCTTGGGCAGGGGCCGCCCAGCCCTGGGCTGTGCCTCTTGGCTTGCTGCAGCTTCTCAAGTCTCGGTGCGAGGTGGGGGTGGTGAGGGGTAAGGGGGTTGAACCCTGCGTTCCGGGAAGACCGAGGACAGCCCCTAACCCGAGCCCACTTCTTTTCTTTCCTCAGGCGGGGACCTGTCAAGCTAATGAGACCATCCTTTGCGAGCTGGGGAACCCCTTCAAGCGCAACCAGAGGGTGAGCCGGGGCCACATCCTCCCAACCCAGGCTGGCTGCCAAGCTGGTGCTCTGTATCACTTCCCGTCCTTGTTCCTGTCCCACCTGCTTCACAGGCTTCCTTGAAGCCAAGAGCCCCCGCCCTTCCCCTGCCCCCATCAGGGTGGAGACCCAAGAGGAGGCAGGAAGAGACTCTAGGTCTGAGATAAAAACGAGTGAGCTGCTGGCGAACTGTGCACACAGCTGCAACAGGTGGAGGGGAGGAAGCCATTGTGGCTGTGCACCTGCCTCAAGCCCTGAGCAGCCACCTGCCCCAGCCAGCCGTGAACGCCTACCCCAAACAGGTGAGCCTGACCTGTTTCTGCTGATTCTCTCCCCCTGCATCTGGCCCTGTGACAGATGGAGCTACTCATTGCCTTCGAAGTTATCGGGGTGACATTGCACACAAGGGACCTTGAGATCCAACTGCAGCTCTCCACGTGAGTGACCCAAAGAAGTGAGACTGGGGGCTGGGCTGTGGGGTCCTGGGCTTCCTGCCTAGCTCCTACCTTCCTTCCCCAGGTCAAGTCACCAGGACAACCTGCAGCCTGTGACCTTGAGTCTGCTGGTGGACTACACACTCCAGGCCTCACTCAGCATGTGGGTACTGCTCCCCTGTGTCCACTCCCAGCCTGCTGGCCCAGGCCAGACTCTCCTGGTCCCCAGAGTGTCCCCTCAGCTCCTCTGCCCCTTCTCTTGGTCTGATACCCTCTGTTTGCTGTTAGAGGGGGCTGCAGTGAGCCAGACTTGGCACCTGCCCCGCCACCCTCTGCCCAGCCTCCTGTGCCCTGTGACTCTTGCATCTCTCTTACTCTCAGGGTAAATCACCGGCTACAAAGCTTCTTTGGGGGGACAGTAATGGGAGAGGCTGCTATGAAAACCACGGAGGATGTGGGAAGCCCCCTCAAGTATGAATTTCAGGTATGGGGACCTCTGGAGTTCTGGTCTGGGCACCCCTGGGGAAGTCAAGGGGAGAGGGGTTCCTTTGGGGGCTGGAGCTTGAAGGAGAGTGGACTGCAGAAATGGAAGTGGTTTGCAAGGTGATAATGACCGTACCTCTTGTGCCAACAGGTGGGCCCCATGGGAGAGGGCCTGACTGCGCTGGGGACCCTCATTCTAGGTCTGGAGTGGCCTTATGAAGTTGCCAATGGCAAGTGGCTGCTGTACCCTGCCGAGATCACCATCCATGGCAATGGGTCGTGGCCCTGCCAACCACCTGGGGATCTTGTTAATCCTCTGAATCTTACTCTCTCTGTAAGTTCACCATCAGGGTCTTCCCTTTGCATCTCATTTGCATTGCACCTCATTTGCATTGCATGAACTTGGCAGGCTGCAGGACAAAAAGGCCCCTCTCTCCTCTCACAGCCCCTACCCCACCCTTAGAGAATGACAGCTGTCTGTCCCGCCCCTTCTCCCTGCCCCCTCTCCTTTTCTTCCTCTGCCTTTCCAGCAAAAATCTCTTCCCCCTTCAGGACCCTGGGGACAAGCCACCATCCCCACAGCGCAGACGGCGCCAGCTGGACCAAGGAGATCAGACCTTGCCGCCTGTCACTCTTGCTGCTGCTAAAAAAGCCAAGTCTGAGACTGTGCTGGTGAGAGGATGGCACCTCCCTGTCCTGGGATATGGGGCACCAAGGGACGTGTAGAGCAGGGCAGAGAGGGCCCCCATTCAGAAGAGCCCCAACTGATGAGACCACATGGCACCTGCCCTTGGGAGCTTCCGGGGGGGGGATGCACCTCCTGTCCATAGAGGGCACCCTACTCTGATGGGGGCCCAAAGGAGGAGATACTGGCTGCAGCCCAGGGGCTCCAACTGTTGGGAGCCACAGGGCTGCTCCAAGCCTGTGGTTTGGGGAGGTGGTAGAGCAGGATAGGATAGGACAAGGAGGAGGAGGCCTGGTAGGGGATGGGGGAAGCTGAGGCTCACCATGGGAGGGGCTTGGAAAGAGGATGGGTATCAGGGTCTGGTTGATGCAAGCAGGGACTAGACTTTATTCGATCCATGTTCCTGGCATGCTAGGAGCTTGCCCTGAAGAATGTATAAACCTGTAAGTGTGAGGATCAGGGCAGTGTGAAGGGATGAGGGCTGATTCCTGCGGGGTAGCCCTGTGGGGCGCCACCTGGCAGGGGTGGAAGGTGAGGGGGCAGATCTGTGAGGTGAGGCCCACACTGTGTTCCCCCTCCCTGCTCGCCTCAGACCTGTGCCAATGGCCGTGCCCGCTGTGTGTGGCTGGAGTGCCACATTCCTGATGCCCCCTCTATCACCAATGTGACTGTGAAGGCACGTGTGTGGAACAGCACCTTCATTGAGGTCAGTGTTTGGATCTGGGCATTCCCGCTGCTGCCTGACTGGGTGGGGTGGCCAACAGGAAGCGGGTGAGGCCAGGGTCACAGCATGTGTGTGTGTGTGTGTGTGTGTGTGTGTGTGTGTGAGAGAGACAGCATCAGGTTGCATGTACAGGTGTATGGCTGTTACTGTCCCTGTGGCAGTGTTGGATTGGTGTGTCTGGCTGTGGACACATCCTTGATGTTTGCCTCCAGCCAACTCCAATGTCCCCCACATGTCCATGTTTGGTCCTTGTGGCTATTACTTTCAGTCTCTGGACCTTGGCCTATGTGGCGCCTCCTGCCGGGAGCGTCTGGGTCCCTTTTGTTGTGTCTGTGTGCAGACCCCTCTCCCACCCTCTAGGTCCCCGTCAGCTCCTGCACCCAATTCCCATGCGATCTTTTCTGACTTAGCCATGTGCAGAACTCACTTCCTTGAACACTCACAAAAATCTCTCAGGAGCATATACCCTGCTTATCACCTGTGCCTTGGAGTACAGTAGCTCAGAGCTAGATATCCCAGGGCACCGAGATCAAATGTTTTCTGTGACAGATCCACGTGGCCCCATGGGTCATAGGGCTTCTGTTGCAACTGTGCAGTACCAAGTGGCTGATACATCACCGTGGACACACAAATGGACATGCCTGTGCTCCCCAAATATTTGGCACAATAAGCAGGTGCTAGACCAGATTTGGCCCATAAGCCTGACCTTGACCCTGACCTTCACTGTGTCTTCTAGGACCTGATGCACAAAGGAGTATACAATGTGTGTACACACATGTGTACATGTATGTACACACGTGCATGTATGTACTTTACTGTGTGCATATGCATGTGTGTGGATGCAGGATGGACCTGGCTGATAAGCTAAGGGTGATAAGCTTGAGAGTGCTGCCCTGTGCAAAAGGAACTTATGGTCAGGAGGGTGGCTCCAAGGGCCTTCAGCTGTCACTTCATACCTGGCCTCCCCCTCCAGGATTACAGAGACTTTGACCGGGTCAGGGTAGATGGCTGGGCCACACTGTTCCTGCGAACCAGTGTCGCTTCCATCAACATGGACAACAAGACGACGTGGGTAAGTGAGCCTGCAGGACCCCACAGCCTGCTTAGGGCACCCTGACCTGAACTGTCTGTGTGGTTCTCGATTTTGACAACATTTGGGATCTTGTGGGGGACATCTGGTGTCTGGACCATACCCCAAGCAATGACTTCTGACCCTGCCCCTGGCAGTGGTATGTCAAGTACTAAGGGGGGCACAGATGTGTGCCCAAAGTGGAAAACTGCTGCTGTGGCTTCCTCTGTCTGCACAACAGCTCTGTGAAGGGCAGAGCTATGGCTAACTCTGTTTTCTGGGCTAGGAAAACTGAGGCCAGAAAAATGGAGCAACCTGGCCAAAGGGGCCCAGCACCTCCTGACCACAGGCTATAATGAATGAGGAGCTGAATACTCAGGCACAAGTGGAGGTCCAGTCATGAGACCCCCCCCCACATTTACAGGTGAAGTGATTGCCTATACAACAGAGAAGACAAGGGCCTTCAAAAAAAAACGGTTAGACCCTGCAGAAGTGGGAAAGCTCAGGAGCTTCAAGCTTGAAGAAGATACTGAAGTTCCTGGGTTTCCTGTATGCTAACAACAGCTAATCCAGCTGTGGCTGATACGTCACCAGGAGGTAGACAGCACTTAGGAGTAAACATTTCAACAAATGTGCCCCAACAAGTGGGTGAAAAAAATGTCAGTCTCATCAAGTTGTCCCAGCCCTTTCTCTTTTTAAAAAAATTTGTCTTATTTATTTAAAAAGGCAGAGTGGCACAGAGAAAATGAGAGATTTTCTGTGTGCTAGCTCATTCCCAAAATGACCAAAATGGCTGGGTCGGGGCAGGGTCCCGCGGGATTGGGCTCCCTTCTGCTGCGTTTCCAGGTGCGTTAGCAGGGATCTAGGTTGGAAGTGGAGCAGCCGGAGCTTTAATGAGCACTCATATGAGATGCTGGTGCCACAGGTGGTGGCTTCACTGGCTGCACCACCAGACCAGCCCCAGATTGTCACATCTTCCCAAGTATTTCCAGGCCTAGTAGGAATTAAGCTTCTACAGGAAGCTTAAACAAAACTTAATTCCAAGCTAAATCTGGAAGAATAAGCCTGACAAAATTGCTGCTAATATTTGGAAATGATAGAACTAGGGATAATGATAGATGATGAAGGGTTTCTTGGTTAAGTACCCTTTTGGAACGTTTTCTAAGATAAACGAATGAATAAGAAGAGATGAGACAAGGGCCCAAAAGGCCAAAGAAACAGAGTGGGAATGCACTGAGTGATACAAATCTTCAATCAGTGGAGAAAGGTGGATTGATAGATAGAAGATGCAGACCCATCTCTACCTCACGCTGTAAACACAGGTACCTTTGAATCAGGTGAAATAGTTAAATGGTCAGTTAAAGCCTAATGTGCCAGGATAAAATACAGAGCACAATTGAGTAGTAATGTTTAATTGTGGAAGAGTGAGCAATGTTATTAAACCCAGGAGTCACAGAGGGGAATTTCCACACATTGGACTCTATGAAAACTTAACAAGTGCCTATGAGGAATGAACTAGCAAGGAAACAGAAAGCCACCGTAGTGTGACAAGTCTAGCACGTATGACAAAGCCTTGATCCACATTAATACATCAAGCTACAACGTGTAAGTAGGCAGTGTACCAAGGCTGAAATGCGCATGGCCAACATTCTCAAAAACAAGATACCAGAAATTCAATTTTGTGTTGCCTGTCGGATTGGAAAATACTAAAAAGAATAGGGCTGGTTGGTGCTGCTGAAGTGGAGAGAAATGCCATTGATTGGGGCACACATTGGTGGATTCTTTTGGAAGATGAAGTGGTCGATGGCTATTAAAATTTTAAAAGGCCATTTCTTTGGATCCAGCCCCTAGAGGAGGTAACAGGACAGGCATGCCAAGGCAGGGCTGGGAGGGTATGTGAGAGCATCAGAAACAGCCTAAATGCCTCTCAAGAGGAGATGCTTCCAATCATTGGGGTGCATTTCCGGTGGTGACAGTCCTCAGAGGGGATGGAGGCTAAGGTTTGTCACCAAACACGGAAAGACAATGAGCCAGAGTGGAAAAAGAAGCCGGGTGCAGCGGAGGGTGACTGGAGTGAGCCCATCTGTGTGCTTGCTTGATGAGTAAAATACTGGAAGAGGCTCGCCAGAGAGCCCCGGCAGAGCTATTTCCAGACATTCAAACCGCTGAGGGCCTCTCATTGTCACCATAGCCTCTGCAATTAAAACATCGTCAGGATCATTTTAAAAGACACAAAATGATGCATAGTCAGAGAAAAGCTCAGATGCAAAGACACTTCAAAGGGTTCGTGGAAAATGGGATTAAAAGCTAGGTCTGTTTTGAAGCTCCAGTGTTTGAAATCCATGCATCGCTTTCGTAATTTTCGTTTTCCAGGAGGTGCTTGAAGACTTGTCATAGGCATGGGTTTCAAATTTTTGTGTCAGAATAAACTTACATTTGGTTTTGAAAGAACCTCTTGAAGTATCCTCATATACACAAGGAGGGCTTCAAAGCATTCATGAGAAACACACGTTATGAGAAAGCTATGCATGGATTAAAATTCTTTTGCACCCAAACTCATAATTGCTTTTCCACGAACGTCCTGAAGTAACTTTGTGTACACACACACACACTGTAGGAAAGGAGAATGGATGATCCTTTATATTGTACATTCTTCTTGGGGATAAATGTTTATGGAGTTGTTCCGCGAGTGTGGCTTTCTGGGGTTAATTTATATTAAACGCCTCTAACCATCCCCAGCCACCTGTGAAGTAGATATTCTTGGAGTTCCTTTTCAACACGCGAGCCACGGACAGGTGAAGCAACTGGCGCCAGGTCACACTGCCCTTGAATTGCTCAGCTAGACTCAAACTCTGGCACCAGAACCCATGCTTTTGGCCGCTGTGCCTATGAGGTGGGCATTGTGACCCCCTTATCAGAGAGTAACTGGGACCCAGAGAGGTCAAATTACTCGCCCTAGGCCACAAGGCTGGGCTTGATGGGAATGGAGCTAGCACACAGTCCCTGAGGTGTCAGCCCAGCCTTCCAGGGTCAGGTGTCCGAGGGGCTGGGATGTGGGGTGGGGCGGGCGGCGGCCTTTCCCAGTCCCTAGCTGCCCCCTAGTGGCAGCAGATCAAGCAGCAGGGTCCTAGGCCCGAGGCTGAGTCCGGGTTTCCCCACGACCCCCACAGTTCTCCGTGGACATCGACTCGGAGCTGGTGGAGGAGCTGCCGGCCGAGATCGAACTATGGGTGGTGCTTGTGGCCGTGGGCGCGGGGATGCTCCTGCTCGGACTGATCATCCTGTTACTGTGGAAGGTTCGGACCCCAGCCCAGCACCTGACCCCCGCCCCGACCCTCCCTCATCCCACCGTGCCCCTCCACATCCCCATCTCACCGCACTCCTCTCCAAGGCCCCGCTGCTCCCCGGCTGCCAGTCACACCCGCTGCAGAGGCTGGGACCCAGGCATCCAAGCTCCCCCGCGTCCCCACCAGCCTTGAGCCCCGGGCCCCAGCGCGCCCCTGATGGCTCCTCCCGCCTCCTCCCTGCAGTGCGGCTTCTTCAAGCGAGCCCGCACTCGCGCCCTGTATGAAGCTAAGAGTCAGAAGGCGGAGATGAAGAGCCAGCCGTCAGAGACGGAGAGGCTGACTGACGACTACTGAGGGGGCATCCCCCCGCCCCCGGCCCACCCGGGTAACGCGGCTCGCCTCCCTCCTCCCCGAGCCCCACAGCGGGCCGGGGCCTCTCGCTGTCTTCTTTCTGTACTTCCTCCCCTTGGGGCCTGGCTCCCTTGCTAGCCTCTATCCTCTTCATGGAGCCCTTAAGGCACCTGGTATCCCACTGAGCAAAGATCACTGCCAAGACCAGGTCCCTATCTCGGTATGCTACAGCACCAGCCCAGATAATCCTACACCCCCTTTGCTTCTCCCCACCTCCCAGGCCTGTCGAGGACCAGCAGTCTCCATCCTACGCGCCCTCTGGTTCCTGGGTGGACACCCACCCTCCCCACTCCCACCCCCTTGATGGCCATCCCATCAGCAACCCCAGCAGCTGCCTGTCCCCACTTCCATTCTCCATCTGCCTCCACCTTTCCTCTCTGCCTTCCTCAACTCCTCCTCCTTCCTCTGGGTCTGGGGTGAGGAAGCTCGCCCTTCCTGTCCGGGTGCAGGGAGATGCGGTGTGTGAGTTGGGGGTCGTGGGCTCATCCCCCTCACCTCCGAAGGCTGCCAGCTGACTCCCCGTGTCTTCCCCGTTCACCCCCAGTGTGACTTCTTCAAGCGGACGCGCTACTACCGGATCATGCCCAAGTACCACGCTGTGCGTATTCCGGAGGAGGAGCGCTACCCACCCCCCGGGAGCACCCTGCCCACCAAGAAGCACTGGGTGACCAGCTGGCAGACCCGGGACCGATACTACTGACAAACTCCTCGGCCCCGCCCTCCTCCCCAGGGCCCTTACCCTCCTATTTATCGTTAAGTTATGCCCCTGCGGGTGCGCAGGCTCAGGCACCTCCACAGGCGCTGGCCTGGGCTGTTTGTGGCTGTGGCCATCTCTCCCGCAGGAAGATTGAGCCATGGGGACTCTGCAACTGCAAGCAGCCTGCAGCCCAGCGCCCTGGACACCCAGGGACGGTGTCTTTGTGCCCCACAGTGTGCGCTGAGCACCAGCGAGGACCAAACTATGGCGCCCCCCGCCCCGCCCGCGTAGGGCGAGAAAGGTCCCCCTTCCCGGTTCACACTGGATCCACCCTGAGCCATGGTCACTGGAGGGACTCGACTGTCCAGAGGAAGACTACTGAGAGGAACCTGCCCGCTGGGATCCACTGCCAGAGGTGGCTGGGGGAACCCGCAGGACCTGCCATTGCTCAGACTCCAGCAAGGGAACTAAGGGCCAGCCATATCTCCCAGCCACACGATGGACTAGCCAGGGAGGTGGACCAGGACCATGCTGCTGTGCCAGGATCTCCCAGAGGGCCACAGGCTAGGCAAGAGGACAGAAGAGATGCCACTTGTGACCCTGCAGTCCAGTCCCAGGCACACATGGCCCAGAGAGAGACCCTGCAATCCTCTAGGGAGGAAACGATGCCTGGTATAGAAGAGGGCCAGGGTCCGAAGCCACTGTGTTGTCTCCCTCCCTGCTGATGACAACAGCCATGTTCCTGGCTGCCATTGGCCTTCAGAGCCAACCTGACTCTGCCTCAGTGGGCTGCAGCCCAAGGCCTATTCCCAGAGTTGAGGCTGGGAAATCTCCCGCCCTCTGCCCATGGGCAGGCACCCACCCAGCCCCTCTCCCAGTCCACGGTACTGTAGCAGGGGAGCTGCTCCCCCATCCTTGTGCCTTCTTTGTACAGAGGCTTCTCATGGCAACCAATAAAGAGCTCCCAGTTTATACACGTGGTCTCTGCCTCTCCCAGCTGGCCTACGTGGACAGCTGGTGCCAGGTGTGTGAGAGGGTGGGAGCAGAGAGGTGCTGGAGGGCTCTATAATTAAAACCCAGAACTTAATGACAGAGAAGACCAGGAGGGGTGTGGAGCAACTGGTGCTGGGAGAGTGCATTGGTCGAGGCTGGAGGAGGAGGCCCTGGGTGTTACTGAACTGGGTCAGGAGGAAGCTGAAGCTGAAGCTACTTGGCTGCCAAGGGAACAGGCAGGACCACCGACCTGTGGCAGAATTGAGTGGAGAGCCTGCCTTTCTGCATTACTTTCTCCACCACTACCCCAGAAGGCCCCAAGGTCCAGCCATAAGGTGTCTAGGGAGTCTGAGCCCTTTGTGGGGTGCCACAGTGGCCCCCTCCCCTGTGGAGTCCCATCCTTTGTACCCATCCCAAGTAGATGTTACTTCCCAGCATTCCCTGGGGGTCCCGGTGCACCTGCTGTGTGTGAAGTTGTCCCTCAACCATGCAGGCCTGAGGAAAGGAACAAGGCCTCTCTCCGAAGCATGGTGGCTCCTTGCTGCTGCTATTAACTTGTTTGTTTGCAAGGGAGGCAGAAAGATCTGATATCCACTAATTCATTTCCCCAAATGCTTACAACAGCTGGGGGCTGGGCCAAGCTGAAACCAGGGGCCCACAACTTATCCCAGGTCTCACGCATGGGTGGCAGAGATCCAAGTCCTTGAGCTCTCATCTGCTACTGCCCCAGGGTGTGCATTAGCAGAAAGTTGGAGTCAGAAGTGCAGCTGGGACTCCAACCCAGGCACTTAACTGTGGGATGTGAGTTGCCCAAGCTGCATATCTTTAAATATATGTATATTTAAATATATATATATATTTATTTGGAAAGCAATAGTGACACATAGAGAAAAAAAAAGATAGCTCTTCCATCGGCTGGTTTACTGGTCAAATGGCCACATTGACTGGGACTGGGCCAGGTCAAAGCCAAGAGCTCCAAAATCCATCTGGGACTCCAACATGGGTGGCCGGGGACCAAGCAGTTGGGCCATCTTGTGATGCTCTTCCAGGTCATTAGCAGGAAGCTGGACCGGAAGTCAAGCAGCCAGGGCTCTCATGGCACTCAGATGTGGGCCAGCAGCATCACAGACAGCGACTTAACTTACTACACCACAATGTGGGACTCCAGCTGCCATGACAACCACTACTCCAAACACCTGCCCCACAGGCTTCTTCGGCCTGAACTATGGCACCGATCCCTCCACTAGTTTCTCCCTGAGGCTTTGAACTTTGGCAGGACATCTCTGAGGTTGACAGTGAGTCCCCAAAGGAGCCCTGGGGCAAACCCAAGATTCACTCACTCTCAGAGCCCATATCCCCCACACCTCCCACCCTCAGCTTGAGTGTCCTCTTCCCAGCAGGGGCCCAGGGCTCAGGGCCCTCTCACCTCCTGCCACCTTACCTCGCCCATGCTGGGTTGCCATCTGCCCCCTCCCAGCATGACTGATAGACAGTGGGATGTCTGTCTTTCTCCCAGAAAAGCTCCACCTTTACCCAGAGCTGCCAAGGATCGGAAGCTTGACTTTGCTTTCCAGAATGTGGGATTCACTTTTAGGGACTGACATGCTATGTGGGTTGTCAAAGTCCAGCTAAGTCCTTCTAGCCACTTCCTGTTTTGGGCCACAGGGTTTATCACAGCTTCTGGAACCAGGGTTCCAGTTGCACTGGCCCAGGGTTCCCCGGTCTGCTGGGAGCTGCTGCTTGGACAAGGCACACACACATAGACACAGGCACATGCTACATGTAGGCATGCTACAAACACACCTACACATGCGTGCAATACAGTCCTGCTGTTTTCTGGGTCTCTGAAACACAACTGGCAGAGCTACAGCAGGGCCCACTCTAGAAGGGCCTGTTCAGGACCAAGCATCTTGGACCCCACGCAGCTGCCACACCTCCAAACTCGACCCCTGAGAGGATTCCGGGCCATGCAGCACTTCAAGGTCCCATCAAGCTAACAGGTGGTAGGACTGGAAGCAGACACCCATGTAATTCGTTATTTCTTTTATTTGAAAGGCAAAGTTATACAGAGAGGAGACAGAGATCTTCCATCCATGTATATATTCTCTAAATGGTCACAGTGGCCAGAGCTGAGATGGTCCAAAGCCAGGAGCTTCTTCCAGGTCTCCCACATAGGTGCAGGGACACAAGACTTGGACACTCTTCTGCTACTTTCCCAGGTGCATTAGCAGAGAGCTGGATCACAAGTGGAGCAACTAGGACTCAAACCAGTGCCCACATGGCGTGCTGGCACCACAGGCAGAGGCCTAACCTGATATGACACAGCACCAGCTCGATTCATGCTTAATATTCATTTCTATGTACTTGAATGGCAGAGTGACAGGGGGTGTTGGCAGTGGCAGGGAGGTGGGGCTGAGGTGAGAGAAGCAGAGATCTTCCATGTGTTGGTTTATTCCTCAATACCCTCGATCGTCAGGGCTGGACCAGGCCAAAGCCAGAAACTGGGAATCCTGCCCTGGCTCTCACGGGGTGGCAGCAGTTCTATCCATGAGCCGTCACCTGCACCTCCCAGATGCCCTAGGCAGGAGGTCAGATCAGAAGCCGAGGTGGAGGTGGAACTCCTTTATGGGACTCCTTTACAGGCTGTTCCAAGCAGCAGCATAAGCAACTGTCCCCAGTGCCCACCAAGCCATGGGGTTAATTCTTGCCAGGAGGGCAATGGATTACTCCAGGGCTGAATCACCTCCAGCTCCCTGTCCTGGCCAGCTGCCGAGCTGGGGGCTGCAGTGTTTCTTGGGTTCCCTGACTTAGCCTAGTCAATGCACCACAGTACCCGAGCCTTAGCTGGTAACACACTCTGTGGAAGGCATTTCTTGCTCAGCACACAGCTCATGTGTGCCAGGGCGGCACTAAAGTGAGGATCCTGGAACATCGCTTGTCCCTCTTCCACACCAAGTCTCAGACAGCCCGGCCTTTTCCTGGTTACTTTCACTTTGGTATTCATCACAACAGCTGGTATTTCTTTTATCAGTGCCTGCAGTGACCCTGGGATGTTCCAGACCAAAGCCAGGAACCAGAAGACCTATCTGGATCTCCTGCATGAGTGGCAAGGAGCCCAGGCATCCGGACCATCCTCCATTGCTTCCCCAGGTACATAAGCAGGAGGCTGGACTGGAAGCGGAGTAGCCAGCATTCGAACCAGTACCCCTATGGGACGCAAATGTTGTAAGCAGTGACTTCACCTGCTGCTCCCTAACACCAAGGCGCAGTGTATAATCCCCCATGTCATGACACCCTGGATCTTCCTAACTGCTAGCCCAGTGGTGGGGCTGTCCCCTCCGGTCACCTCACCTTGGATTTCTCCCTGTCCTCCATGCTGGGTGCCTGGTGCTGAGAGAGAGCAGTGAGTCACACGGGGCAACCTCTGTCCTCCGACTTGCAAGAGGTGGGGGAGGCTTTCAGGAGGAGAGGATGACTAAGCAGACCTGAGTGGGTGAGACTGAGATCAAAGCGGGATCCAACGGCTCAGAAATTAGAGGCAGTTCAAGGCCGTGAAGGTGTGGCTGGGAGCTGAGCAGGAGCAGGTGGCAATAACAGTCTGCGGAGAGCTAAGCTGAAACAAATCATGAGACTGCTGGGAAGGTGCCAGGAAGAGGCGGGGGGCAGCTAAGAGGCCGTGTGTAGAAGTAACAAGGGCACATTTATAATTGAAGAGGTTCCCAACCTCAGTTTTCTTGTCTATGAAATGGGCATCTCAGGACACAACGGCTATCTTGAGAATGAAGTGCCCAGCACTCAGCTACACAGTTCAGAGTTCCTTCCACTGTGTTCCACCATGACGCCCTGCTCTGTGCTTGCTATGCAGCTGTCCCTCTTGGGCCACACAATTTCACTTTCCATGGGTTGAGTCACCCAGTCAACCATGGTCTGAAAATACTCAATGGAAAGTTCCAGAAGTAAACAATCCGTGCATTTGCAATGCCATGCCATTCTGGTAGCATGATGAAATCGTGTGCTGTTCCTGTTCTGTCCCACTTGGGATGTGAGCCAGCCCTTTGTCCAGTGTGCCCACACCTGTTAGTCCCTAGCCAGCTGTGGCATCACAGTCCTTGTGTTTGGGAACCCTTGGTTTACTCACTCACTCTCTCTCTCTCTCTCTCTCTCTCTCTCTGTATATCACTCTGCCTTTCACATAAATATCAGGCCCATGCTGTGGCATAGAGAGTAAAACCATTGCTTGCAGCACTGGCATTCCCCTTGGGCACCTGTTTCCTTATCCAGGTCTCAAGTTCCAGTTGCTTGACACTTGCTAATGTGCCTAGGAAGCCAGCAGAAGGTGGCCCAAGTGCTGGGCCCCCGGCATCCCCATGAGAGAAGCTCCTGGCTCCTGGCTTTAGATCAGCTCAGCTCTGGCTATTGCAGGCATTTGAGGAGTGAACCACCAGGATGGGAGATTGCCCTGTCTCAGCATTTCTCTCTGTGTAACTCTGCTTTTCAAATAACTAATAAAAAAATTCTAAAAACAAATCTAAAAAAGAATAGCGGTGCTAACCAATTCTATTACAGCATATTGTTAAAATTGGTTTGTTTTACTATTATTAATTGTTAATTTCTTATTGTGTCTGATCTTTGTTTAGAAATTGTTATTTTTATGGAAAGGCAGATTTTCAGAGCAAAGGAGAGACAGAGAGAAAGATCTTCCATCTGCTCACTCCCCAAATGGCTGCAAGCTGAGCCAATCCAAAGCTAGGAGCCAGAAGTCAGGAGCCTCCGCTGGATCTCCCACGCGGGTGCAGGGTCCCAAGGACTAGGGCCATCCTTCACTGCCTTACCAGGCTTCAAGCGGGGAGCTGTAGGGGAAATGGAGTCGCCAGGACGTAAACTGGTGCTCACATGGGATGCCAACACTTGTCAGTGGGAGATTAGCCCGTTGAGCCACGGCAGCAGCTCCTATGCCTGATCATCAAGTTAAACTTTATTTTAGGTATGTGTGTGAAGGGGGGAACATGTGCCTAGACTTTGTGGTGCCCGCCTCTTAGCAGCTACTGAGGCTTTGGGGAGCCCAACCCCGTGTGTAAGGGTAGAGACTGGTAGTCGTCTTGTTATAATGGTTTCCTTACGCAGCTATTCTCTGAAAAAGCAAACAATCTGAAAGAGAAGGCTTTATCTTGCGCTGTCTGTATTTCGTCGATGGACAAAGACTAACACCTGTGAGGCGTTTGGTGCGCACCAGCGGAGGACTGACCGGTCCGAGGTGAAACACCCAGGCAGAATAAGTTCTTTGGCGGAACACACTCTTCCGGCCACGAGAGGGCGCGCGATGGGCCCACGGGAGGGGAAGGTTCTCCCCAAAACAGCCCCGGGCGTGGGGGTCGGAGGGTGGCGCCGCAAAGCCGAGACTTTGGTTATTCATACAGAAACAGAAACAGAAACAAAAACAAAAGCAAAACAAACAAACCCCCAGATGCTCTTTCTGTAAAGGTGCAGCGAGGGTTCAGCCTGCCGGTGGAGACGCGTCTCCCATCCCGGGCACCTGGTTCGACTCCAGGCTTGCACGCAGTGCACCAAGCGGCTGGGAGCTCGCTTTCTGCACCTGCCTGTCCACCTCTCAAACTAGAAAACAAAAAGGAAATTGCACTGGTGGTACCTGCTGCCTCCTTTGCCGCTGGCCCGAAGGCCACCCCTTCCTGGGCCACTTGGGTCTCTGTGGCAGCGGGTGGTGGGTTGCCCGTGGACCGGACGGGTTGGTGCAGGCCTGCAGACCAGTTTGGGGCACTGGGAACCTGCAAAACCCCGCAGAGTGAAAGCAGGTGGAGATGGGGGCGGGTAAAATAGACATCGTGGAAAGCCATCCGGTCAAGTCAGGAAATGGAAGGTTCATCGGTCCTCCCCCCCAGTAAGTGATGGAGACATGGGGAGGAAGCCTGGCAGAAAGGCACCCTCGGTGGCCGAGCGAGAGGGCTTCGGGGAGGAAGGCGTTAACCCCGAGGAGGAAAAGGAGGGACCGGAGGCCGGGAGGCCGGACCTCGGCGCAGCCTCCCGAAAACAACAGGCCGTCCCGGGCGAGGACGGGTTAAGGGGGCGTGCCCCGAGGAAAGCCACGTGCCGAGGCGGAAGCCCATTGGCTCTCCCGAAGTTGTTTGTGAGCAGCCATTGGCGACGTCGGGGCTCTGCGGCCAGCCGATTGGCTGAGCCTGGCAGGACCCGCCGGGGTCAGGGTAGGGAGGAGGAGGCAGCAGCCGAACCGCGTCTCCGGGCCGGGCAGAGCCGAGCGCCACCCGCGCCGGGACCGCAGCCCGAACCGCGGCCGCCGCCATGCGCTGGGTCCGGGCTCTGCTCAAGAATGCGTCCCTGGCCGGGGCGCCCAAGTACATCGAGCATTTCAGCAAGTTCTCCCCGTCCCCGCTGTCCATGAAGCAGTTTCTGGACTTCGGTACGGAGGGGACTGGGGGCGGGAGCGCTGAAGGAGACCTCTCCAGGAGGGGTCAGCGCGGAGGCCGGCAGAGGCTCTGAGTGACAGGGAAGGGCTGTCTGGAAGAGCACAGGAAGCAAAGGGTTAACGGTGATGGACGCCCCTGCTGGAGGGACACGGCTGTTCAGGGGGTGGGGGCCCTGAGATGGAGGGTTTCCCCGTGGCCATCAAGAGGGCAGGGAGCAGAGGTGATGTGGGAGTAGAGAGAGCAGCCAGGGACGGAAAGCCAGGGGGCAATGGGGCCAGAGGTGCTTGGGAAGAAGACTGCGCACCTGTAGCCACTCAAGGGGCTGCACCCCTGCTGCCTCAGTGGGCAAGGACGCTTGAAGATCAAACTGGTTCCGGCCTGGCAACCTGTCTTGCCCGGGCAGGGGCCCAGGGTGCCATGAGATGGAATCAGGCCGCTCGTCCCCTCCCTGGACTGGCCCTGGGCTCCTGGGTCAGGATCGCTCCCTGCCCCCCATCCCCAGCCTTCTTGGGGTGACTCCCCGGGATCGGAGCGGAGGAAGGATGTGCCAGCCTGGCAGCTGAAGCCAGCATTGTGTGGGTCTCTTTTGTCTCCACAGTGCTTCCCTGGTGCCAGCTGGAGCCTGGAGGTGGGAGGACAGGCCAGGCCTCTTAGGAGCCCAGTTGACCTGCGCTGCTTCCTTCCGTTATAGCTGCGTCACTCACAGGAGCAGGCAGGGGGTGGCAGCCAACACCTAGGGCACCTTTGCCCCAGGGACACATCTACCACCCCCTTGGCCTGTTTGACTCCTGAGCTTCCCCAAGGCAGACAAGCCTCTGGGCTGCCCTCCCAGCCCCTAGCAGCTCTCCAGACAAATTGCACCCTGCTATAGAGCCATTACAAGTGGCATGGCTGCACAGCGGAGTGTGGGTCACAACTACAGTGGAATAAGCAATGTCCGAAGGACAGGGCCATGCCCAGGGTGACAGAAAGAACACAGATCCCCTGCCTCCAGGCTGGCCTTACTGGGCCCAGCACCTCCACTTTATCTTCTAACCAGCCTGTACAGCCTCTGGCCCCATTTGCACACAGGGGAGCCTGAGTGGAGGGGTGGCACTGGCCCTTCAGCCATAGGGGTGCAGGCATACCCCTTCCCACAACCAGGGTCCGGCCCAAACTCCTCTGCTCACCCAGCCCAGCCCCCCAAGTCAGTCTACCAGGAGGAAAAGGGAAAAGTGCGGTGGCTTGGGCCATAGGCAGCATCAGAAAGGCTGGAGCTTGGTGGTGTAGGGGGCAAGCCCTGCTGGCTTTGCAGTGTGCCAGTCAGTCAGTGAAGGGTTCGCCTGGCTACCCAAGCTGTGCCTGGCCACTATGGTTTCCAGTTTAGGGGGCTTACTGCTGTCTCTCCCCTCAGGCTCCAGCAATGCCTGTGAGAAAACCTCCTTCACGTTCCTCAGACAGGAATTGCCAGTGCGCCTGGCCAACATCATGAAAGAGATCAACCTGCTTCCGGACCGTGTGCTCGGCACGCCCTCGGTGCAGCTGGTGCAGAGCTGGTGAGACCCCCAGCTGGCTCCCTGCACTTCCCACTCTACCACCAAGGTGTCCCCGGGGGACCCACTGGGGGAGGTTAGGAGGAGACCACAGGGGAAGTTCCCTACCCCACTCTGGGGACTTTGAGAGGCTAATGAGTTGCCCTAGGTCATGGGGACTCCTGGGCCAACGCAGGAGCAAAGGTCAGGCTCCCAGCCTCCCTGTTCAATCCTTACCCAATTCCTTCACTGTCGTTGACACAGCCAGGGCCCATGGCAAGCTAATGTCAGCATTAGCTGGGAGCCCTCTGAGGCAATGTTTACTTGGAGTAACCAGGAAACACAGAAATGAACACTCAATTTCTTTTTTTTTAAAGATTTATTTTTATTATTTTTTCATTGGAAAGGCAGATATACAGAGAGGAGAGACAGAGAGGAAGATCTTCCGTCCGATGATTCACTCCCCAAGTGAGCGCAACGGGCCGATACTATGCCGATCCGAAGCCAGGACTCCCACGGGTCCCAAGGCTTTGGGCCGTCCTCGACTGCTTTCCCAGGCCACAAGCAGGGAGCTGGAAGGGAAGCGGGGCTGCCGGGATTAGAACCGGCGCCCATATGGGATCCCGGGGGTGCAAGGCGAGGACCTTTAACCACTTGCGCCACCACGCCGGGCCCTGAACACTCAATTTCATCCAAGATGCCAGTCAGACTCTCAGAGACTTGGGGATGGCACAGCCCCTGCCCTAAGAGCCCTGGAAAGGCAAAGGCCAAACATATTGTGCGGAGTGACAGGCGCCGAGGGGAAGCCTTGGCCAAGTTCACTCTAGACCTCTTACCAAGGTCAGGGAGCTGGAGAACCTCAGCCAGCAGCCAGTCATGTGACAGACCAGGCTGTGTCCAGCCTGCCACTGGTATGCCAGTGAATAATCATGGGCCTTTCATGGCTCTGGGCAACCCTGTGCTGGGTCTTTTGGATTTGCCCCATGCTATGGGCTGGGGTGTCCTGCTGGACTTAGGAGCAGGTGTCACACCTGGTCTGATCTTGGCCCCCATACTGCTATAAGGAAGCAGCAGCCGCTGCCTCCAGGAAGCCCACAGTACTGAAGGAAATTAGGCACTCTTTGCCAAGGCTGGGTAAACTCCATGCTACATAGATCGGGGGAAGGAGCTGTGGACTGCCACAGTTAGTTTTACCTAAGACTCAAAATATTATTTAAGAGTAACACTGATTAAAAAAAAAAGTAATAATGTTTTATTCCCTCATTGCAGAAGTAGGACAAGTTCACTTTGACATTTGCATAACACAGGAAAGGAGATAGAAGAGAATGCCAACCACTGATCTCCACTGCATAACCAAACACTGCTCAGGTCTCCCAAGGCTTGCGGTGCCCTCCCAGCTTAGCTTCTGTGCACCAGGCATGTACAGACAGGGCTTGCTCTGATTGAATGAGCTCCAGTGAAAGAATATTGTCCACAAAGGCCAGGTGTGCATATAGCAGGTGCATATGGACACTCACTGAGCCAGAGATTGTCGGGGAGTTGAAATGGACACACAGGATGTGCCTTTGCCACTGGGCCCGGCCAGGACAACCCAGAGTGGGAAAGAAGGGAAAGGTGCCCCAGGCTGCAGGAACAGCTTGGGCAAGGATATGGCTTGAGAAAATGGCTGGCATGGACATCCTGGGCTCTGCGGATACTGTGCTACTAGAGCAAGGTGTGAAAGGGGAGTTGGCGGGGTGGAGGAGGAGCTGATTTCCACACAGTCTAACCAGGTCACCCCTGGCTGTGGCCTGTCTCTTGGAGACCCAGGGCCTCTGTGCCATCCAGCATGTACCACTGTGGGGTGGAGGGGAGGAGACAGAAGGCACCATCTGTTTTCCCAGCCCTCCTCCGGTTTTGTCCAGCTGGCTGAGCTAGCTGCCAATCCAGCTAGTCCCGGCTCCACGACAGGGCTCTGGAGGTGCCTCCCTGTACACTGTGTTCCTTGGAGAGCTAGGCGACGCAGGAGCAGGGCAGGGGAGCTGCTGACCTGCCTCTCCAGGGTCCCTTCCCAAAACACCAGCCAGCCGGGTATTGGAGCTTAGCCCAACTTACTCTTTTGTTGGTTTGTTTTAAGATTTATGTTTTTATTTTTTAATCACAAAGTCAGATATACAGAGAGAGGGATAGACAGAGAATATCTTCCATCCAATGATTCACTCTCCAAGTGACCGCAACAGCTGGTGCTGCGCCAATCTGAAGCCAGGAGCTAGGAATCTCCTCCAGGTCTCCTGTGTAGGTGCAGGATTCCAAGGCTTTGGGCCGTCCTCGACTGCTTTCCCAGGCCACAAGCAGAGAGCTGGATGGGAAGCGGGGCTGCCAGGATTAGAACCGGCACCAATATGGGATCCCAGCATGTTCAAGGTGGGGACTTGAGCTGCTAGGCCACCGTGCCAGGCCTAGCCTGGCTTACTCTTCCTGGACACTATGTCAAGTAACAGCAGGAAAGAGTAGAGTTAGATAAAAAAGGACACTTCTTTAGTGGCTGATTCCAAAACTGTCTCCAATGAGAATGCCTGTGCAAGAGTATAGATCTTCCTTCTCTATAAGCCCCTGTCAGTCGGGATGGAGGGTGTAGATATGAACAGGGTCTGCAGGTGCCAGGGGGGGGTCTCTGGCCTGTGTCTCCCCTGAGGAAACAAAGCAGGTCCTGTACAAACACAGTTGTTAGAAGTAGTGATGCTTGCTACGTGGTAACAGCCAAAGGGGAGTTTCTGCTGAGCTGGTGGGGGGGGCCACTGTGGCCAAGGTGTGAATTCCTGGTTCCCAAAGTGGGGGAAGTGCTCTGTTTCTAAGGGCGAGAGGCCAGCACTACTGGGGAGAAGGCACAGCTCTCTGCCAGCATCAGGCCTGTGCACCTGCAGCCAAACATGATGTCATGATGGCAGAGGGTTCTGGACCAGGCAGTAATGAGTCATGGTGAGGAAGACAAATACACCTGGAGGGCTTGCTGTGTGCCCAGAGTTATTTAAATGTCCCGGGTTTGATTCCCCAATCCTCCATTACCACCTCACTAAGTCGGTCTTGTTGTTATCCCCACTTCAAGCTGAGAAGCTGGGGTTCAGAGAGGTGAAGAAAATTGACACTTGGGGAGCAGGTAGTAATGCTAGCATTGAATCCCGGGCTTTGGGGCCTGGGGCCTGGAGCCTGCACTCCTGATGGGAGAGGATGGCTGTGCTCTGGGGCCATGACAGAGCTGAGGATCTTCAAGTCCACAGGCAAGTTGGTGGGAAAGTAGGGTGACATGCAGAAATCCTTTGGTCGCTGGTGCTGCCGGAGCCCAGAGGGGGCACCCTGGGCTTCTCCCAAGCAGGATCCTGAGGATGGGTGGTGGGCTGACCCAGATGTGCTTCCAGTAAAGGTCGGTCACACAGTAGACTCAAATGACAGTCAGCCCTGTCACTAACAGGCAGAGGCTCCATGCGAGCAGCTGGGAAGGGGTGCGAGGCAGTCATCTCACACCAAGCCTTCTTGCCTCTCAGCAAGGTGTGTGTTCCCCAGGCCCTGCTTGGTGGTACCCCCACCCTCACCCCAAGGAACCTTCAGCTCCTGGCCCTTAGAAGAGCAGCTGTGGGCCCGGTGCCGTGGCCTAGCAGCTAAAGTCCTTGCTTTGAACGCGCTAGGATCCCATATGGGTGCTGATTCTAATCCCGGCAGCTCCCTGCTTGTGGCCTGGGAAAGCAGTTGAGGAAGGCCCAAAGCCTTGGGACCCTACACCCATGGGAGACCTGGAGGAAATTCCTGGCTGTTGGCTCCAGATTGGCTCAGCAGCGGCCATTGTGCTCACTTGGGGAGTGAACCATCAGATGGAAGAGCTTCCTCTCTGTATCTATCCTCCTCTCTGTAAATCTGACTTTGTAATGAAAATAAATAAATCTTTAAACAAACAAAAAGAGCAGCTCCTCCAAGCAGAATGGCTGGGGTCTGCCCTGCTGGGCCTGAGGAGAGCTCCAGCTGGATCCCTCAGCAACCACCCCAACCCTGTCCCCAGTGATGGAAAGAGAACCTGCGTGCTGACAGCCACCTGGCAAGTACCATCCCCTGCCTCATCCCCAGCCCAGGAGCATCTGCAGCTGCTGGGATCCATCCTGCAGAGACCCACGCAGCCCAGTGGCCTCCATAGGACATGGGCAGCAGCAGAACCCAAGCTTGGCATGTCCGTTCCATGGAAGGGCCCCAGACATAGGAGACTGTCCCCCAATCTCTATGCAGTGAGCACCCTCTTAATCTGGTCGCCTTGCTCACGTGCCTGTCCCCAGGAGCTGTGGGCACAAGTGCATGATCACACGCACCACAGGCATACACACATTCACAAACTTACCCGCCCCTGCATACTTAGTGCTGCATTCTGGAACCCACATGTGCCTGCAGGTCCCCTCCCCCTTTCCACCACCTTCGCTCACCCCTTTCCCTCTGCCTGCGTCCCAAACCCTCCCTTGACCCTTCTGCCTCTAAGATCCATAGCCCCAAGAGGAGGACGCTCCCATAGGCAGGGGAACACCAAGGCATAACCAGGAGGCCACAGGTGCAGAGACCCCCAGGCCTAGGGCCGGGCCCCCACTAATCAGATCTCTCATTGTAGTCCTGCTTGCCTTCTCAGGTCCTTGGGGAGGGTGGCCCAGGAGCTACTGAGGTTCGATACCCAGTGTTGGTTCCTCTAGGACCAGGATCTGGCCCAAGGGTGACATCTGATGTGCCAAGCCCCTAGGGTCTTCATTGCAGGGCCAAGGGCCCTCTGGGAAAATCTTTCCCCTCTGCCTTTCCTGCTCAGGAGTGTCCCTGAGGGAGTTTGGGGGTGGCAGCAGGGTTCCGAAGCCCTACAGTGCAGGAAACAGGCCACAGGCTTGGGTCTGCTACTTGGCTGCCATCCACTGCCTGGACACTGTCTGGCCTTGTGCCTTTTGCTCTGTTCTGCTTCAGTGGCCATGGGACCACATCCCCTTTCTGTCTTTTAGGGTTCACTGGGTTCACTACTCCAGGGCTGGGGGACCCTGACCCCTCCACACACCCCCCCCTCGTCCCCACTGGCCCAGCCTCCTCACTGGGAACTGCCAACCACCTGGATTCTAGGAGGCATCCAGCTGTCCCTCCCCGCCTCCACTGCAGGCCTACTGGTTCTCTCCCAAGTTCCTCTCCCGCCAAGAATGAGAGGAGTGCAAAGTTGTGTCCTGCACATACTTTGGACACAAGGGAGTTGGAATCACAGCCAGGCCTCCCCAGGAGGATGAGCTGCCGTCTGGGTGTGTTAGCAAGAAAATGGGAGTCAGGCCCCAGACAACTCCTGATTGGCACCAGCAGCTCCCACAGGTTGCCCCTGCTCCCCCAGGAACCCAGGGTTCTTTTGATTTCTCAGTTCTTTCTATGGTCCTGGGGAAACTGGCCTCTCTCTCCCAGGCCTGCAGAGGTGAGGGTTACTCCATGCCTGAGGCCTCTTGGGATCAGAGTGAGTCTCTCTGGGCACTGCAGGGACAGAGCTGGCTTGCCCCCACCATGCCTAGGTCCTTGGCCACCTGCCAGTTCCCTAGGTAGGTGTTTTATCTGCGAGTTGCTCTGAGAGAAGCCCTATGCTGGTCACCCTGCACACTGTATACTCCGGAAGCAACAGCCACCCCACAGGAGACATATTAGAAGGCGCTCACAGGGTGGTGGGTGCTACTGCTGGAGGAAAATCGCTCCGCACTCTGAGCCTGGGTCTGCCAGGCTGCCAGGATGGGGTGATCCCCAATCCCTCCTTGTCCAGGATCCCCCAGCAAAGGCACCTTAAAGGGGTCCAGGGCAGGAGAGGTGGGGAAGCAGGGTGCTGTGGCTCACCCTCACCAGTGCTGGCCTGGAGCTGAGACCATGGCCTGCCCTGCCCCCTGCACACAGGTACGTCCAGAGTCTTCTGGACATCATGGACTTCCTGGACAAAGACCCTGAGGACCAGCGGACACTGAACCAGTGAGTGACGGTCCTGGCTGGGGTCTGGAAGCAGGGGGAATCGGGGACACAATCAAGGGCCAGAATTGCAAGCAGGATAAAAGACCCTGCCTTCAGCATTGATCCAGTGTGAGGGGGGGCTGCTCTCAGTGGAAAGCCCCCAGACCCTGCTCAGGGGGCGCTTCCAGGCTACCCAGCAGGATCCTGTGTGGGTTCCAGGAGGAGGGTTTCTGGTGTCCATCCCAGTGAGCAATGTGGAGCTGCAGGGTCTGAGGGTATTTCCGGGCCAGGCTAAAGCCGTGTCCTCCCTCGGCGCAGGTTCACGGATGCCCTGGTCACCATCCGTAACCGGCACAACGACGTGGTACCCACCATGGCGCAGGGGGTGCTCGAGTACAAGGACACCTATGGCGACGACCCGGTCTCCAACCAGAACATTCAGTACTTCCTGGACCGCTTCTACCTCAGCCGCATCTCCATCCGCATGCTCATCAACCAGCACAGTGAGCCCCTGCGCAGGGCGCTGTGAGGGGGCGGTCCCTTAGGGTGGGCGGGGCCACGCTACTGCGCAGCGCAACAGGTGCAAGGCTGGAGAGAGAGGGACGGGTCCCTTTATTTTAAACATTTACAGAGTGTAAACTTAGCTCAACGCCTTTTTTTTTTTTAAATTACATTCTCATTTCATTCAAAAAAATGTTTTTTCCTGGAGGACGGACTATAATTTGTAGCTAACCATAAGTTAAACAATTTCCTCATGTGCAAATAATTCCAACAGCCAGATGGTAAATGCTATGATAGTCTAACAAGAGAAAACAATCACTAATAATGCTAGTGGGGTGGGAAGAGGGAGGGCGTGGTTTGGGGGTGAGACTTCAGAAAGGATAGGTACTGAGGCCTGCACAGATCCCAAACTGCCTTAATCCAGGGATGGAGGGGGCAGGGAACAGGACAGGGAGAGTAGCTTTGGGATCAGAGCCTCCTGCAACCTCAGAGTCAAAAGCAGGGAGTGGGAGACAGGGCAAGGGGTTGCTGGGCATGCTGCATGGCCCTGCGGCAGCACCCTGCCTTCCCACCCGCAGCTCTCATCTTTGACGGCAGCACCAACCCAGCCCACCCCAAACACATCGGGAGCATTGACCCCAACTGCAACGTCTCTGAGGTGGTCAAAGGTGAGCCCCGCCACCACTGTGCCTAGCCCACGGGGGAGTCCACCTGGCCAGAGTGATCCATTCATTCCCTAGTATCTGTGCATGGGGGGAGGGGAAGCATGTCAGTGTTTGGGGTTTAGTGTTGGGGAAACCCAGTCAGTGTTGATGCAAAGTGGCCTGGCTGCCCAGCGGGCTTGTGCCCTGAGGGGGTATCTCCTCTCTCAGATGCCTACGACATGGCCAAGCTGCTGTGTGACAAGTACTACATGGCCTCGCCTGACCTGGACATCCAAGAGGTCAATGGTAAGTGCACGTGGCTCTGTGTGCACATGCGTGTGTGTGTCAGGCTGGGGCCAAGACGAGGCCAGGCAAGGTGAGATGAGGAGTCAGGATTCGGGCAGTTTCCAAGACTGGGGTAAGGCAAAGCTCGTTCTGGAGAGTGTCATAGTATTAGTCTTATTACCAAGGGCTGAGCATTCCCCAGATCTGAACATCTGAGATCTTTGGTGCTCTCAAATCAGATGTTTTGAACACCAGCGTGATGCCACAAGTGGAAAATTCCACCCCTACCCTCCTGTAACAAGTCGCAGTCAAAATGCCAGCCGCGAAAAATACCACCCAAAATTGCCTTTAGGCCAGGTGTGTATATGTGAAATACAAAATGTGATGTTCAAGCTTGGCTCCCAGCCCTAAGTGTCTCATTATGGGAACGTAGATATTGCACAAGCTGAAAAAACCTGGGCTCCAAAATGCCACTGATTCCACTCAGGTTGCAGGACGCTGGGCCCATAGAGATGGGTTTGCTAAACGCTGTGAAGGTATAAATAAGACAGGGAAGGACCTTGCTCACGTGCAGCTTGCATTTTTGATGTCGGGAATGCAGGGAGTGGGGTCTTCCACATGTGAGCAGATAAACAAGCAAGAGAATCTCCAAGTGTGGGGAGCCACAGGAGGGAAGCGGGCAAGGATCCAGGCGAGCCGCAGGTAGAGCGCTGTGGTGTGCTTGGCGGGGCTGTGGTTGGTCAGTTGCCTTCCCGGGTTCCAGAGGTTTCCTCTCATGCATCAACCCCTGGGAGGGGTGGTCAGAGTGAGCTCCTAGTTTCACTGCCTCCCTTCTCGGTCCCAGCAGAGGAAGGGGCAGTGGAGTAAGGCCGGAAGTTGAGCCTGTGCCTTCCCCAAGTCTTCAGAACAGCCACCCTCAGCTTGGGGCAAAGCCTGGAGCTCAGGCTCCCTCTGGGTGTCCGTGAGCCCAGTGACCCCTCTGGGAACTGGTGGGCTGGGGGCTGTGCATTCGTGGGAGAAGAAAGCTACTGGGTGGGTGAGCCAGTGGAATGGTGAGCTCCTGCAATCTCCTGGTCTTTGGCTTCGCTGTCCCTTGCAGCAGCCAACTCCAAACAGCCGATCCACATGGTCTACGTGCCCTCCCACCTCTACCACATGCTCTTTGAGCTCTTCAAGGTGAGCAGACCAGCCAGCCCATTGTCAGGAAGTGTGGCGTTCAGGACCAGCTTCTTCCACTCATCTCCTGCCCCTCTCCCACCACAGAATGCCATGCGTGCCACGGTGGAAAGCCACGAGTCCAGCCTTGTGCTCCCACCCATCAAAGTCATGGTGGCCTTAGGCGAGGAAGATCTGTCCATCAAGGTTATGGCCCTTGACCCTGGGGGACGGGGAAAGGGTGGGGAAGAGAACATGCCTCCTCCCTTGGGACAGATCCTGGGGTGGGGAAGGGCTAACCATGGAGATGTCATAGAGTGCCAGGGCACAGGCAGGAGGAATGAACTGTGTCCCCTGTCTCCCAGATGAGTGACCGAGGTGGAGGTGTCCCCCAGAGGAAGATCGAGCGACTCTTCAGCTATATGTACTCAACAGCACCTACCCCCCAGCCAGGAACTGGGGGCACCCCACTGGTGAGATGGCATCACCTGGTCCCCCCTCTCACCTCCTTAAACATCCAGTTTCTGTTTTCATCCCTCCTCATCCCGCTTCCCCATGCACTGTGTCCATGGCTGTCCTGTGGTGCTGTGGATGGTGTCGGTCACCTTCCTCCTCTGTGTCCCCTACTTGCCATGTTCCTCTGGCAGCATCTACCTGTCACCTTTCTTTAGGCTTCCCTCCTTTCTGTCCCCCACCCCCAAGTCCCCACCTTTCACCTGGCTTTGATAAACTTGCTGCCAACACCATTTTATCAACTCCATGGAATGGAAATGACCAGGCTTGGGATCCACTCAGACCTTACAGCCACATGGGTACACTGCTTCTCCCAGCTCCAGCCTTGCTCCCTCCGTAGTGCCTGTATCCGTCTCAAAGCACTGCCAGTCTGACCGTAGAGCCCTGTCTCTTGAGTGTCTTCCCCTCTGTGACAGCCCAGGCCCTGGAGCACATCAAGGCCTGAACTGCAGCAGCCAGGGACCGGCACCATCCCTCACCCTGCCCCATGTGCCTGTTGCAGGCTGGCTTTGGTTATGGGCTCCCCATTTCCCGCCTCTACGCCAAGTACTTCCAGGGAGACCTACAGCTCTTCTCCATGGAGGGCTTTGGGACTGACGCCGTCATCTATCTCAAGGTGAGGCCTGCCTGTTAAGCCCACCATGGCCCTCCCATTGTCCCTCCAACCACTCCTGAATGGCCAAACCAAACTGCAGCATAACCACTGTGCAACCTGCCTCCCCAGTCCCCCACAACCCCATAGCTGCTTGAGGCCTCTGTCCTGACAGGAGGGTGCAGGGGTGGAGAAGCAGTTTCTGACCCTGGCACCCCACAGGCCCTGTCCACGGACTCAGTGGAGCGCCTGCCTGTCTACAACAAGTCAGCCTGGCGCCACTACCAGACCATCCAGGAGGCCGGCGACTGGTGTGTGCCCAGCACGGAGCCCAAGAACACGTCTACGTACCGGGTCAGCTAGGGGCCACCATCCCCTTACCCAGGAGGATACATGACCATCTCTGGTTCCAGCCAACCATACTGACCCCTCCCTGTTCAGGGCCAGGGACCAGGGCGGGTGGTGGGCTCTCCCTGATGGCCAGGCTCATCTCTGGGGACATCACTGGTGGCCAGGCCACAGTGGTCCCAAAGTGCCAATCTGTCTCAGGCGGGACACCCCGTCTCTGTGGGCCATGCCTGAGGATTGAGATGGCCCACCCCAGGGGCTATCCCAGGGCATTCCTCTGTGTCACCAGACCTGTCCCGGGTCTCATGCACTGTCCCTTGACACTGGTCCCCATGTGGCTGCCCCTACTCGCCTTATGCCCTAGTGCCATGGCCCACCATCAGTGTTGAGAAGGGACCCAGGGCTCCTGGACCTGGAAAGTGGGCAGCAAAGGGCTTGCAAGTCCGCTCTCTGGTCCCGACCTGGTCCTATAGTTTCCCTCTCCATGCTGGGTCTGAAGATCAAGCTTGGCCAGAGCTGGAGGGGCGTGGGGCTCCCTCAGAGCCCACTCTAAAGTGTAAGATCCCAGGAAGACCCTGATGTCACCACTCAGCCACGCTGCTCGAGGCCCTACAGGTGGCCTTGGTAATGTGTGCATGGCCTCTGGAGCCTACCACGCATGGCCTGTCACCCACATCCCTCCCTCACCTGCCACACCGCTGTGGGTTCCCGCTCCTGCAGGTGGCCATGCTCAGGCGGCTCCCTACCCCTCCACCCCTCGTCTGTGTACATAGCTAGTTTTATAGCCTTGAATACCCCACCCTTCCCCATAGCACACAGGGGGTTAAAGTTGTGTGCCCCTCCCTGAAGCTGTGACAGTGACATCTATAGTAAAAAGACTGAATGAGAGTATAGGCTGGCTGTGTTGTTGGGGTATGTGGGACAGGCAGGGTGGCCTGCAGTGCCCATGACTGCCCATGATTCAATCATCCCACCCATTCCCACTGGGACCTGTCAAGGGCACCCCCCACACCGTGGGCAGACAGAAAGGGCACTGGCACATGATAAGTGTTTATTGGAGTAAATTCAGAACCGCCTGCCCCTTGCATGCAGGTGGGCACCCATTCCTTCTAGCTTCTGCCAGCCCTCCATACTCCCCCCTGACCCCTCTACCAGGCTTCGGGAACACGTGTCCCCATCCCTGTTCCTCCCACAGCTCCTCTGGCAGAGGAGAGGGCAGTGCTGAGTTCCAGTGACAGGGCCTTGAGTGTGAGCTGCAGCCCTTGCCCAGGAGAGGGTTGGCATACTTGGGTCCTATCCACCATTTCAGGCAGATGGTCCTACAGGTAATTCTGACCATCACCTGAGAAACTGGGCTCATTGCTATGCTACATGTGGACACCGCCTCTCTGCATGTTTCCTAAAAGGGGCAAGTGCCATCCCTGGACTACTCAGAATCCACTGCAAACCATCCTTGTGGCCTACTCAGCCACAGCCTGCACTGCCTGCCCATTCCAGAGCTTGCTATGACCCACCAACAATGACCAGAGCCCTTCCAAGCCCAGAAGCCCCCAGATACTATCTCCTGCTTGGCTGGGGTGCAGCTTTACCATTGAGACACTGTGGGGTGGGAAAAGGGTTAGTTGTCCATCCCCATCATCCCCCAGAGGGCTTAGGTGGCCTGTGCAAGCTCCAGGAGGGGCAGAGCCGCATGGCTCCAGGACAGGAAGGGAAAGAATAGGGGTCATCACCTCCTGTCTCCTTCATTCCCTGCAGAGCACCTGACCCTGCTGCTTTTCAGGTCCTCGGCTAGGGCTGGGACCAGGAGTCTACCCTGAGTGTAGCTTGCTGCACTTGCCCACCAGCCTCCCTGGGGAGTGGCACACAGCTTAGGCAATGCTGAGAGCAAGCAAGGAGTAGTGCTGTCTACCACTGCCCACCCACATAGATGCCTAGCCCAGCTCTCAACACTGGGCCCTCCTAGGGTTCCTCTCAGGGCTGTGGCCAGCAGCCACTATAGCCCTACCCAGCCCCAAGGACAGAGGGGCAGGCCACCGTTGGCTCCTCCCCACTCCCATACTTGCTGCAGCCCTGCCTTACTGCCCCTTCACTACACCTGCCACCCATCTCCCCAGGAACTTGGTGCCCCAAAAGTCCTTGAAATAGGGTTTATTACAGGGCCCACTCCCAGAGGATCTCTGTTGCTGAGGCCTCTGGTCCCAGACCCAGTGATGCGGGGCTAGAGGATGTGGAGCCAGGTCCAGGTTCCCCTGGAGAGGCACCGCAGTGCCCCTGCCCCTCCCCTAGCTCCGCTTGGCCTCCTGCTCCCGGCGCCGCAGCTTCTCCCGCTGCCTAGCTGCCTTCTCCTGCGCCTTGCGCTCCTTCTCTGCAGCCGCCACCAGCTCCTTCAGCTTCCGCTTCACCAGCGCCCGGTCGTGCGAGTTGCTGAGCCCCAGGCTCTGCGGAAGGAAGCCAGAGAGCTAGATGGAGGATCTGGTCCTGCTCACCCGCTGACCCCTGGCTCTGGCTCTGTCTGCCCAGGTATCTTCTGGGGTGGAAGGGGAGATATTTCCCTCCCTGTAACTTCTAGCCAGGGGAATGGGTCAGAATCTCATGGACAGAACTTGGAATGGGGGGGGGGGGACAAAACCAGGGATAGGGACTCCAGGGCACAGTGCTCCTCCCATCTCCACCCTTAGCTCATCCTTATCTTTCTCTAAAAATGTCAGCCTTAGCCAGACTGTACTCCCACCCAAAGCTCCTGAGGCCCAGAGATGGGATACCCCACTTCAAGAGGCTTTCCAGGCCCCTTGCACCATCCCTGCCTCAAACAACTCATTAGAGAGCAGGAGACAGACCAGGAACCTCCCACCACCCACTCTTCCCTGTCCCCCACCAAGGCCACCAGTATCCAAGGCTGGTATTCCCACAGACCCAACCAGGGAGGTGGGGGTGGGACATCCGGAAAACTCAGAAGTGTCCAGGGTCAGGTCAGTGTAGAGACAAGCTGTAGCTTGAAGGTCAATCTCAAGAACTGGGCTCAAGTTTCAAGTCGGCCTAGGAATCCATGCTAGCAGGCCAAGGTAAACTAAGGCTTGCAATAGAGGTCTGAGGTCAAGGCAGTGGCTTTGGCATGAAAGGGTTCATCTTAAAAACTGGGCTTGAGGGCCTACATTTAAGATGAAAGTTCCCATATCTTTGGATGTGACCCCAGGTGCCCACTAGATGACTGCCCCTCCTCTAGACCCACCTTCAGTCGGCTGCCATCTAGCTGCAGCAGCTGTGGCCCGTCCACCTGCCGGGCAGCGAACTCGGCGGCATACTGCTCCAGGTTGAGGCTGTGCAGCCACTGGCCCACCTGCTGACTGGTCCAGTGGTGGACAGTAGGTAGGGGTTCATCCAGGAACTGGGGCAGAGACCACAGAACATGAGTGGAAGTCCTGGCCTGCAGCCTGCACCCCTGGGTCCCGGGGTAGTCGTTAGGGGCCAGCCTCACTCACCTCATCTGAAGACTGGGATAGTGTGTGGTAGGGGTAGGAACACTTGGCCTCCTGCCGGGGACCACTTGGGATCTTGGGGCTGCTGCTCGGGGGCGTGGAGTCATCACTCAAGGTAGATTCCTAGACAGGAAGGGGCGCACACGGCTGAGGACAGCTTCATCTCTAGCCTTCTACCCCTGTCCTGTCCAGAGGCGGTCAAAGTCCTCAGCCAGAGCTGAGCAGGCACACACCATGTGACACAGGACACGGCTCACATGAGACATGCATGCTAAGCTTGGCACAATTAGAAAAGAAGGAGGTACCAGGCTCGGTGTCACTTCCTACAGGCAGCCTACCCACAGGATTTCCTGTGAGCTAGGACAGGTGTCTTGTTATTGCCTCCCTCCCAGCTGGCCTTGAGGTATGAGCTTTGTCCTTGCTAACCTAGCAGCCCCAAGAAGTTACCGTGTACATGGTCCAGAGAGAGGAGCAGAGGGAGGGTGAGCAGAGAAGGACAAAAAGAAGGAAGTCCCATGTTGGACAGAACTCTCCCCTATGGTCCCCTTTACCCTGGTTTTGCATGAGGAACAGATGCTATGCTGAGCTGGGGATCAATAGTTTTGCCAAGCAAACCTGGCTGAGGATGAGAATGAGCCCACAGCTGCCCATCAGTGCAGTGGGATGTCCCCGCTGTCCTCCCTACTTTCCTCCTGCTCTGTCACTGGGTCACACCTTTCTCACAGGGTTCTGGGCCTTCAGCACACTGGGCTGGAGTCCTCCTCAGCTTTTGGGCCCCAAGCCCCACCCATCAAGCAATTGTCCCTGCTGCAGGCAAACTCAGGCTCATGAATGGAGGAGACCTCTGGGTGAACAGCAGGGGAAGACTGGCTGTGGGTACCAATATGTCAAGTGTAGGAAACCATGAATGAAGCTTCGAGTGACCTATTCAGCATCGGAATAAATGAATGAAGCCAAGGGATACTGAGGGATGCTGCAGCTGGACATGCTTTAGCAAGGCCTGACACCCAGCCTGCGCTGCACGTGGCTGCAGGATGACCTCAAGTGCCCCAGAGACTAAGGCAGTCAGGCACTTACCTGGGAAGCTGATTTCTTAGGGCTGAAGCCCTCGTGCTTAGGGGAGCAGGTGGGGGAGGTGGTGCTGCCGGAGGATGCTGAGCCCTTGCCACTGTCTGTGAACCAGGAAAAGGGCAGGAACGGCGAGCCCCCTGACCTGCCAGACCCTTCCACCGACTCCCTGTGGAGAGAGGGTGCATCGTGGGGATGGGCCCGGGGTGGAGGGCGGCCGTGGTTTGTAGCAGTGGCTGGCGTGCCCTTTACCTGCTGCCCATGGACAGGCGGTTGCTCCCCTTATCTTTCCGGCTCTTGCCAGTGGATGCCCGGCGTAAGGTGACCCTGCAGGGAAGTGACGAGGGGAGCGGAGCATTGCTGGGATCCCCTGACCCCCATAGTGCCCAGCCCTGCACCAAGGCCCTGGGCATCTCCGGCCCTCACCCCAGGTCCAGGAACTTCCGGCGAGTCTTCTTGTCCAGCCCGATCGTCGGGCTCGCCGGCTCAGGAGGGCTGGCATCCCGGCTGTCATCTTTCATGGGGAGAGGGAGGAAGGGGAAATTACGGGGTTGGTGGCTGCATCAGCTGTGTGACTCAAGACAGGTGGCTTCACCTCACTGGGCTTGCTTCACGGCACATATTGGGATAGTGACACCTATCTGTTTTGTGGGACTTCATGGCTTGTTTAGAAAAACTTTGCACAAACCACAAAGCACTTGACAAGCTGAAAAGCTAGGAACCACCAGGTTTGTTGTTCATTTTATCCTGGCCAACTTCCCACCAGCCCTCCAATCTCAGATGTCATTGTCCAACCAGGTCAGGCACAATTCCTACATAGCACTTAATAGTTTGTAAGCTAATATTTAATCACTTCATTAAGGAATGATTTGACTCTCTCCAGCAGCTCACCTCCCCTGTCTGTCCCAGAGCCCAACAGTGTCTTGGCACATAGTGGGCGCTCAGTAAATGAGTGAAGGAACCCAGAACCGAAGGGTTGAGCCCCCATTCCTGCAGTCCCCCTGTCCCACCTACTGTGGCCAGGCCAGGGGGAGACGCTGTGGTCCCAGTGCCCACCGGCAGGGGGAGCCGCGCCGGCCGCGCTCACCTTCGCTGTGCGGCTCCGCGCGAAGGTAGCGGCGCACGAAGCTGGGCGAGCTGTCGGAGGAGGGCGCCGAGCGCGGTGGCGAGCAGGAGGCGGCGGCCAGACCCTCGTGCGAGGCGGCGTTGTGCAGGGGCCGGTAGCGTGTAAGCGGAGAGGGGGGCGGCTCGTCCTCGTCCAGGCTGCGCCGCAGCCCCGGAGGCTCCAGACAGAAAGAGCCCCCTGCCGGGGACCCCGGGCCAGAGTGTAGAGGCGAGCGCAGCCGGTGCAAGGGGCTCCCGCAGCCGTCCGTCACCTGCGGGAGGGGACAGCCGCTCATCACAAGAGTTCTACTGCCTTCCAAAAGAGGCTTGGAGACGCCCTCATCCCGGAACCTGCCACCAGAGAGGGGCCGGAACTTCTGGGAAGGTTCACTTGTGCCATGTGGCTAGTCGGTGAGAGGGGGGAGGACGGGCATTGAGTCACAAAGACCCAAGTTTTAATTGCACTTCCTTTATTTGGTAAGTTGATGTGTTTGCTACTGAATCGCTCAGGAGCTTAGTCTTCCCATCTGTAAAAGGGGGCAATATGTTACTAATCTCTTTGAAAGGAGGAAATAAGCCAGGAGTGACTGCAACTAGAATTTGTTAATACAATAATGTTGACGTCTGATGGTGCAGATTTTCCTAGAGGGGTTATCCAGGGGCAAGAAGGGCAGGCAACTCATGTGTGTGTGTGTGTGTGTGTGTGTGTGTGTGTGCAGCTAGCGCCAACCTTGCCTCCTGGCCCATCGGAGCCTTCACCATCCTCAGCAGAGCTGGCACTGTCGCGAAGCCTCGAGCGGGATGGCCGATGCCTCCGGCCCTTGGCCAGCAGTTGGGCCCGGGCCTTGTGTAAGCTGCTGTCCAGCCTGGCGGTCTCAGGCACAGCCAGGTCCAGGTCTGTAAAGTTGAATGAGCGGGGTAGACAGAGATGAGACACATGAAACAGCCAGCCCAGTGGCCTCCCTCCCTCACACCTGCCGTTCATGGGGTATTTCCAAGGGCAAGGCACCGGTGGTTTGACAGAGAAGAAGGCTGGGGGGCCGTACTTGTCTCAGGCGAGAGCCAGTCACTGCAGCACACACAGGCAGACCCACTCCGAGGGCTGAGGGTAGAGGGCTGAATGGGAGTTGGCAAGAATGACATTGACGTGCCTGGCATGTGCAATGCCGGGCAGGCGGGGAGGAAGCAAGGGCAATGGCTCCAGGGACAGTGGGAGCTGCTCTGTGGAGAGAAGGGCTGGGGCAGGGGGCAATGTAGAGATGACCCTGGTGACAGTGAATACCAATTTAAGAGCACCAACCTTCATTGCTCAGGCCAACCTGATGACATTAGGCCAACTTTCAGGCACATCTTACAGCTGAATAAACAGGCTCCACGAGGCCCAAGACACTGGACTGAAGTTACTATCTAGCACTGGTCCAGGATATGAGCCTGGCTAGGCTGGCTCTATGGAATAGTCCTTGCTGGTTGGGCAAAGCTCAGGTCTCACACACACACACACACACACACACACACTTCATCGCTGAGTATCTGGAGGGCTCACAGCTGGAGCCTGGCAGAAGGACTGCCCCTCACTACCTCCCAGCCAGGAGCAATGGCCAGGAAAGCCCAACAGTGCCCGTCTCTCCTGCTCTGTGACCTGGAGAAGGGCAGGCAAGCCCAGCAGCCCCTGCAGAGAAATGTAGATCGTTCTGTCTCATTTTTCACGTTTTCCATCCTCATTCTGTTCTGGCCATGACTATGGCACTGGGGGTCCCCAAATGAAAGACTCTATCCAGGCCCGAGGATGACTCACAGCCATCCTCCCAGTCCCTAGGGTCTCAGGGACCCTCATTCCATCCCATACCCACCCTGCCTTGCCTTCTCCTCTCTCTTGTCTGCAGATACCTCCCCAGCCACCCTCACCACTTTGCTGTCTTCATGACCACCTAAATCAACCTCCAGCCTTGACCTGGAATTCCAAGCCCAGGCACCTGCTAGGACACTTGCCACATTAATGCCACTCGACCCACCGAAATGAAGCCCTTCTCACGGCTCAATCTGTCTCCTTATTTTCCTGGCTCAGTGGGAGACTGCTGGGGACACCCACATCAGAAAGCTCTGGGCTCGCCTTCTACCTCAGCCCCATTATAATTCATGAGTCCACCTGGCTCCTGGACACCCCCATTTGAATAAGAGTGGGCATCCCTGATGTCTATGCCAGTGAGAGGCAGCTCCATCCTTCTTATTACTCCAACTGTACCCCGGAGTCACCCAACTCCCGCCCTGTGAACCAGCCCAACCACTGTCCCTGCCAGTGCCACTTTCACAACACACAAACATTGGAAATCCTCTGATGGAGCAGCATGAACCTTTGGGCCATGGGGGTGGAGAGAGGAAGGGGATGTGTGGGGGGGATGGGGCTGGCTGGAGCTCACCATTTTCATGGAGGACCTTGTGCTGTTCTTGCCCCTTTAGAATATGGAAGGTCCCCCAAGTGTATGCACTAGAGACACAGCTGAATGGAGTAGAGGGTGACCGGCTGCTCTAGGCTATGGCTCTCTCTTGCCCCTGTTATTGCAGGAAAACTCTAGCCGGCCTCCCCTCTGCTCCCCCTCCTATTTTCAGCCTACACAATGAGCAGAGTGACCCTAATGAAACATGTCAGTTCGTGTCACTGCTGTGCTCCCAACACCCTGGTCACTTCCCTCCCACACAGGGTTGCAGCCACAGTCCTTTCAACGGCCTCCCACACTCAGCCCGCGCTCCCACCATCTCCCTGAGCCGCCGTGTCTCTCCCCTGTCTCTGGCCACCCTGGTCTTCTGGCTGTTTTTCACACACCAGCCTAGCATGCACCTCGGGGCCTGTGCACGTCTCCTCCTCCTTCCTACAAGGTTCCAGCTCCCGAGCCCTGCACATTGTTTGTGCTGACGCATCTCATGGAAGCCCATCCCGACCATCCACTCTGAAACAACCTCTCTGCCCCAAGGCCCAACTCCTGCTCTCTCCCTACATCACTGATTCACTTGATGCTCTCTCCCATCCATTAGAATGGGCTGATTTTTCTATTTGGTTCACTGCTCTGGCACAAGTGGTGGACAGTGCCTGGCACAGAGCAGGTGCATTGTGAATAGGGTTTTAATGATCAGAACAAAATTCTGTGCCCTGCACATGCTTGTAATGGCCAGACTCTCTTCCTCCTTTGCACACATATGTTTTAGCCTGGGCATGCACCAGCTGCCACCTCCTCTACCCCTGGCACCCTAGGTGTGACCTCAGCATCCACCCCTCTCTCCATCCCTGCCTGTGTTCAGCTCTCCCCCGACACATGTACCTTCTATAGGCCAGAGGGAGCTTTCTAAAGCACATCTCTATGGCCATGGCATGTACTCGGGTTTTGGAATCCTAGGCAGGGTAGCAGGCAGGGGATGGACAGGGGTCTGGATCCCCAAGCCAAGGCTGTGAAAAGTGTGTTCCCAGGCTCTCAGTCAAGGCCCAGCCAGCACGCTCTCCCTGTCTCTTAAACCCTTCCCTCCTTCATTCCCATGTGACACTGCTGTTATCAGCACAGGCTGCAGGCTCCATAGCTTGATGGTTCAGGCCAAATCCAGTCCTGTCCTTGGCTGGCTGGAGGACCTTGAGCAAGCTACTCAAATGTAGTTTTTAACTGCCTCATCTGTATGATGGGATCATCCCAGCAGGGCCCTTCCTTAGTGGGTGGTGGTGGCGCTCAAGTAACCTGCATTCAGAGCCCCACTCTAACGCCTATGACTTTGTGAGAATTCAGCAGACACTAACAGGTGTTAGCTGGAGTGATGCTGAATTGCTTATACTCACTCTGGCAATAGAAAGCTGTTTCTCTTCCTTTTGCTCCTCCATCCCTAGGCTTTCTTTTTGTGTTTATTTGAAAGACAGTTAGAGACAGAAGGCAGATCTATTCATTGGTTCATACCCACATGATCACAATGGCCAAGGCCACACTAGGCCAAAGCCAGGAGCCTAGAACTCCATCCAGGGGCCCAGACACTTGGGCCATCTTCTGTTTCCTTCCCAGGTGCACTAGCAAGAAGCTAGATCAGAAGCAGAGCAGCCAGGACTTGAACTAACTCTCCAGTATGGAATGCTGGCATCACAACTGGTGACTTAGCCCTCTGTGCCATAACCCGAGCCCCCAACACTATACTGTTGCTTCCTGCTCTCTGCTCTATCACATACACACACACACACACACACACCCCTTCTTTGGTCAATCTCTGTATTATCACCTCACCCATCCCCAAGGACAGCTGCACCTGCTCAGGCCTAGGCTCAATGACAGGCCAAGGGATGACCAGGAATGACACCTCCCCATGCCAGGCTGACAGTAGCAAGGGGCAGAGCTTTCCCCATCCACTGTGTTTCTTGAGAGTCTAATGTAGTACCTGGCAAGGAAGAGGGGCCTGGTCAGTGCTGAAAGGAGGTCATTTCTGTGCATCACCATGTGCTGTGGCAGAAGTGGCCTCTGTTTTCTCCCCTTTGCTCCTGTGTGTGCCCCTGCACTGCACTCCCAGCCCCACGGAGACCATGACCTTGGCGGCCTATTTATGGCTCTCTGCCTGACCCTGGCACAAAATAGGAGCTATGGGGAATGGATGAAAAGCCAGTGGGTGACTGACTGGGAAGGTGCTAACTTAGGCAGCAGCCAGATGTCTGTGTGATCATAAAGAACTGAGGCTGGGCCTGATGTGGTGGCCTAGTAACTAAATACCTGCCTTGCAAACACCAGGATTCCATATGGGCGCTGGTTCATGTCTTGGCTGCTCCAATTCCCATCCAGCTCCCTGCTTATGGTCTGGGAAAGTAGTGAAGGATGGCCAAAAGTCTTGGGCCCCTGCACCTGTGTGGGAGACCCGGAAGAAGCTCCTGGCTTCAGATCGGCTCAGCCCTGACCCTTGCAGCCATTTGGGAAGTGAACCAGCTGATCTTTCTGTCTCTCCTTCTCTCTGTAAAACTGCCTTTGCAATAAAACATAAATCTTAAAATAAAGAAATAAAGAACTGAAGCTGCACAAAGACCAAGACAGAAATTCCTAAGGAGAGAAAGTGGTGTAGACCTGGGCTGGCCAAGTCTGAGGGGCAGTCCAGGGCTTGTACAATTGCGAAGAGCAAGGAAGAAGATACTTCAGGGGGGAAGGGAGCCCTCTCTCCCCCAAGCCCCCCATCTCCAGACAGTGTCTGGAAGCAGCCAAGCTGGAGGACTGGGCCTCAGAATAATAACAGCTAATGCTCTGTGAGCTCTTACTGTTCTGGGCACCGTTTTGAGTGCTTGGCAATTACTAGTTCATTTAGCCCTCCCCACAACTCCCAAGAATCCCTAGGGCATAGAGCTGGTGCTGAGTGGGCCAGGGCTGCAGACAGGCAGTCTGGCTCCATGGGAACCCCCAATCATGCTCTACCTGGCCCCCTCTCAAAAATACATCAGCACTCTGGAAGTCCAATTACCCACTCAGTGAGTGGGGAAACTGAGGCTCCGAGAGACCAGGTTTGACCAAGAGTGTATGGGGGTGGGAGGAGGATGGCATCTAGGTGTCTGGGTTCCTGTATCAGGTATCCATCTGGAACTCAGCTGGTGCTCACCCAGCCTGTGCCGGGGAAAAGGGCCTTAGATTCTGACTTGTGGGCCGCATGAGCACCAGCCCCATGGTCCTTGCCAGCCAGAAGCTCCAGGGAGCTGAGGCTCTGTGAGGAGCTAGGTGAGGCAAGGTTGAGCTGGCCGCTCCTCATCCCTTGTCCCAACAGATCTCCACCCCTTCGCTATCTCTCCTCTTTCCTCTGCCTCTCTACCTACTTCCCCCTTCTTATTCCTCCTCCACCCTGGTCAGTGGGAGAAATGAATATATTTATTGACTTTCATTCCAAGAGAAGGCCAGGAAAGGCCCTGCTACCTTAGCAGAGAGGAGGCAAAGCATAGAGAGAGCTTGTCTGTGCTGGCCATAGGTTAGGCCAAGTCTGAGTGCAGAGACTCAAGGACTGGAGCCTCCAGGCAGTCAGAAGGTGTGAGAGAGTGTAAGGGAGTGGGCAGCAGCCTTCCTGGCATGGCAAAGGCCTTCAGCAGTGGCACTGAGTGAGGTGCAGGCGGGAGCAGAGACGGGGAGCAGGCAGGGAAAGAGAAACTGGGAAGCCTGTGGGATGTGGGAACTTCCCTCTAGGCCATACACACCTCAAACAAACCCTATTGCAGCTGTTCCACCCAGCTGGTCTCTTTCTCCAGCCCCCACATAGGGAGCCGGAGGGTAAGGGTAGGAGGTAGACTTGCAGAGCAGGGCACTGTTCTACAGGTACGGAGGCTAAGTGTGCTGTGCCTTGCATTCTGAACGGGACCTGGAGGCAGGTGGGTCATAGGGCTAGGGTGTGCAGCTGGCACACAGCACAAGCACTAGGTTGTCCTAAACTCTCTTCCTAGCAAATGGGCCTCTGTCTCAGCATCATCATGAGCAGGTAACAATACATCACTTGAGAAACCAAGGGCTGAGCCAAGTATCTGGCTTAGACCCAACACTTCAGAAATATGGACCACATGTCCACTAAGACAGTGGTGACACACCCAGGCTCTGATGTATGTGCACGCGTGCACACACACACACATGCCTGCAAACATGCACAGTGATGCCTCCCAGGGCTTCATTCCCCTCTGAGAAGGAAGTGATCCACAGCTGGGACCATTATCACAGAAACAGTCACACTGAACTTACCAAAAACTTCATCTGCAGATTCTCGGAGCTTTGAAGAAGCCATGGCTCGAGAGAACTGGGAAGGACAGGAGGGAAAAGAGAAAGACAAAAAGAGTCTGGGTAACAGGTTCATGGAGAGGAGACACCAATGACTGCCTGCTCCTGTCCTGCTGGCCCTCTCCACACACCCCTCTCTCCCCCCAACACACACACCCACTCTTCCCCTAGCTCCCAGGATCCAGACCCAGCTGTAGGCCTGAGGATAGAAGGCTCATCAGAAGGCGCAGGGAACCTCCCCTCCCAGCATACGTAGGCTGAGCCCCATGGTCTGGTCCCTCAGTGCAGTGGAGTTTGCCCTTACTCAATCCTCAGCCTTTCCATCATTACCATCCCCTAGAAGGATTCTGTGATCATTGGCTATCCAACTTCAAGTTTGGTAGAAGTCATGGCAACAAAATCTAATTCTTTCATTTTGCAACAGCAACAACAAAATCAGTAGGAATAATGAATCCAAAATCATACAGCAAATGTATGGCCAAAGCAGGGACCCAGGGTCCCTCTTACTTCTACCAGCTACCTTCCTAGTCATCTGCCCACTCACTCTCCATCACCCATACATGCATGTGTGCATCCATCATCCACCACTAAGCATCTATTCACCTGTCCATCTTGGCACTCATCAATTTTCTGCCCATCTCTCATCCATCATCTGGTCCTGCCTCCCCTCTCCCTACCCTCACCCCCAACACTGGTGCCTTCCCACTTGCCTTTGAACAGGAGCTATACAGGAAACTGGCATCATCTACCAGGTCCCAGTTCTAAACAAATCCACAGTCCTCACAGTTTGTGACAGACTGGCAGAAGTAGGAGGACTTATCGCAGAACAGTGGACAGCCAAATCGCTGCTACACCCAATGTGTTCTGGGCAGAAGTGTGGACGGGTGGGGTTTGGCTGGGGTTGGGTTTTCTGTGGCAGATGCAAGAAGGGAGAACAGGTAGGGAGAAGCTTTCTGGGCAGGTTTCCCAGCAGGTGTAAGGTAGCCCTTTTGCCCTGGGTGGAAGAGTGCTTAGGGGCCATGGGTAGTTCAGGGCAGAGGAAATACACAGCTGAGGCATGGTCTGCACTTACTGCTAACACTGCCAGCCCCAGGGGAAGGTCAGGGCTCTGCGCTAACCGCACCCTTGGCAAGTAGAGGAAAAGCTACACATGTGCCTACTGGGGTTGGGGTCCTTTACAACGTTCCTCTTTCATGGCTGCCTAGACATCATCTTGCTGCATGCTGGCAAGGCTGGAGGATGTGTCCCCACAAACAGATGTGAAAACCCACAGTGAGATGAAAGGCAGAACTTGGGCTGGGGGTTGGTCTCCTGCCCCTTAGCCCTGCTCTGGGTGATGACCATAGTTTTGGGGATGCTCATGAGAAAAGAACACTGCTGGTCAAATGACCAAGGGCAGAGGTGGGAGAACACTGGGGGGCAGCAGCAAAACCACCTTGCTGGAGCTAACATTGAAACATAGTAGGTAAAGCCTCCACCTGCAAAATGCTGATATCCCATATGGCCACTGGTTCAAGTCCCGGTTGTTCCACGTCTCTCTCATCTAGCTCCCTGCTGATGGTCTGGGAAAAACAAGAAGTGCTTAGGCCCCTGCTACCCACGTGGGAGACCCAAAAGCAGTGCAGGGTTTCTGGCTTTAGCTTGCCCTAGTGCTGGCCATTGTGATCATCTGGGAAGTAAAGCAATAAATGGAAGATCTCTTTCTCTCTCTCTCTTCCTCTGACTTTCAAATAAATAAATTAATTATTAAAAAACAAAACCAAACCTTCCTTCCAGACTCCATGGAAGTTTGGTTCTGAACACAGGAAATTAGGTATGGGAGATGCATTATTCCAGGAACGGAACCCTCATGCCATTCTAGAATGAGGCAGGGGGGAGAGGGAGGGAATAGTGCACAGATACAGAGCATTCCTTCCTGTCCCGAGGGGCCAGATGGAAATGGAGGCCTCCTCCAAGGCCACATCGAAGCTGCTCGCTCAATTAGAAAGCTTGGTCTGGCTGGGACCTGGCTCCCATCTCCTCCAGTTTTCCTGGGTGCCTCCCTTCCATCTGTGGTCCTAATTTCTGGATCCACCCTTCTTCAGTCACTGGGAAAGGGAGCTACTGCTACACCTTACAGACTCCCTACATGGGTCTTTTCTCCCCTACACCTGCTTGGGAAGGGGTCTCTGAGCAGGGCGACCATATATTCCCCCATCAGATAGGGGTGCTGAGAAGGTAGGAATGGAGGCAGAGCCCCTCTTGTAGCTGGAGTCCTATTCTATCACCCCTAGCCACTAAGTGTGGGCTGGACACTCCAGCTCACACCCACCTGCAATGCAAACTGCTTTCTCTCCCTCCCTTCAACAGCTAGCTCCCAGGATTAGGTCAGAGAGTCCTGTGGACACTGTCCCAGCAGGAGCTCTGAGGAAGCTCCCACCTAACTCTCTCCTTCCCAAACGGAACCTTGGTAAATCACACACACACACACACACACACACACACACACACACACACACACACACACCCATACACCCTCCAGCAGGTAGATGCACAGGGTGGAAATGAGCCTATCCCTCAGCGACACCTGCAGACCACTTGCCCAATCAAGGCTTTCAATTCTCAGAGAAGGAGCATCATCAGGACTCCTGCAATTCCTGGGGAGAGCTGGAGACCGGATGAGCTCTAAACTTCCTGGGGCACAAGAGATGGCAGAGAGGAAGAAAGTGCCCAAGCCCTAGGGCAGAAGCAGGAGAGGCAGTGGGGAGCAGGATGTGGCTCAAGCCTGGAGATCTGCCCAGAGAAGACTTCTGAGAAGGCCAGAGATACTGGACAGAGGAGCAGGCCTGGGAAGGCAGGTGGTGGAAGAGACCCTGGGCTCCAGGGCCCTGAGAGAGGCCCAAGGGTGGGTACAAGAAAGTCAGAGGGGAGGAGAGTGCCCCAAGAATGAACGGGAAGGGCTGGCCCGCCCGGAGACTGGGTGGGAGAGGCGGTAGTGGAGCCCTTGGGACCAGTGTTGGGGGTCCTAGGCCTGGAGAAGGCGGCTGAAGTCCCACAGCCTCCCCAAGGCCAGAAGGCGAGGTGGGGAGATGGGACATCTCCTCCGCTCACCGTGTCCCCTGCCCAACAAGAGCCCCGAGGCTCTCCCATTCCTCTCCAATCCCTCAGGCCAACTCCAAGCCGAGCAAGAAGGAGTTAAGTCCTCTCTCCCTCCCCCCACATCAGTTTTTTATTAATTTCTCTCGGAGCGTTGGGCAAGAGGGAGGGAGGGGATTAGGGACACAAATCCTATCTCCGCCCCCTCCCCTGACAGCTCGGCGCCCCAGCCCCGGGCCGTGCCCCTAGGGAGAGCACGAAAGGCCCCAGCTGCTCGGCCCCACGCAAGCCCCCTCGGGGTCCCACAGCCAGCCCGACTTGCTTCGTTGGGGGCCGGGGCCTCACCTGCAGCATCGGTCATCTTTAGCGTGCGACGCCCCGGGAACCCCTCCGGCCCATGGTGCTCGAGGCGCGAGCCCGGTGGCGGAGGGGGGTCTCAAGACTGGCTCTTCACCCCGGCCGCGGGGGGCTCCGAGCTGGCTCAAGCCGCTCCATCCCGGAGGTGGGGGTGGGAGGTCGGCGGGAAGGGTCCGGGAGCCGGAGGGAGGGGCGGGCGGAGGAAGGTCTGGGATGGGGGGCGCGGCGGTGCGGGGAGAAGGAGGTCTGCGGGCAGCCGGAGGCGCGGGCGGGGCTGCACCGGAGACCTGCCGGGAGGATGCTCCGTGTGTGCGTGCGTGCGCGCGTGTGTGTGCGTGTGTGTGAGCGGGGGAGAGAGGGCGAGGGGAGCGCGCCACCTCGCGCCCCGCCCCCGCCCGCCCCCCGTCCGATGCGCGGTGCCGCGCGGGCCTCGGTGCGCGCGGGTCCCCGGGGGAAGGGGCGATGCGGGGGGCGCGGGGCGGGGAGGCTTGGCGCCCAGGAGACAAAGAGCGGGAGGGAGAGACGGAGGAGGGGAAGCAGGCAGGGGGCGGAGGCGGCGCGAGGACCCGGCGGAGGAGGCGGCCGGGCCGGTGAGCGGAGTTGCTCGACTTCTGGGCCGGCGAGGGGAGTGTACGCGGTCCCGCCTTGGGACCCAAGGGGCTTCCCCTTCCTCGACGAGGGGCGTCCTGAATCACTCACTCATTCATTCAACAAACATGCAGCTAGCAGGCGCATGCCGACTGGAGATGGAGGAGTGGGGAGGTTCCCTAAGCCCGCTAGCTGGAAGGTGGGCAAGGGCGATTTCTGGAGGAGTTACTCCACTCCTCTGCTCGGCCACCGCAGAGAAGTGGTCATGGGGTTTGGGGGTGGGGGTGGGGGCAAAAGGACACCGTGGAGTGAGGCTGTAGGGTTCTGGCTTATCGCAGGGAGCCCTTCCCCCCAGGAGGAGGCGGCAGCGGGCTTGAATATTATAAAGATCAAGTTGAGAACTCTCCCGGATGTAGAATTGGAGTTGACCAGCTCGGTGACTGGCTGACTTGGAGCTGAACGTGGAGGCCTGGTCTGGTGTGGCCCTGGGTCTTGGCTTGGGGCTGGGAACCCTGCAGCAGGATGGGGGTGGGGATGGATGAGCTCAGACTTGGACCTGGTGAGCTGGAGGAGGTGGCAGACCGGGCAGGGGGGATAGTGCAGTCGTCAGCAACTAGCACCCATGTGGCCAGGCTCAGTAGGAGCTAGGCACCCTCCTAAGCTCTCTCCTGTTAGCATCACTCTCCCAGGGACCAGGAAGGAAGGTGTTGCTATGTCTGTCCATCTGAGATCCAAACTGGACAAAGGCCTGAGCATCGCAGGAGATCTACAGGGTGGGGGTGGGGGACTCATGGGGCTTGAGGTCCCTGTGGCCAGTGAGGGCAGCTGCTGAGCCTGGGTGCTTTTGGACTGGGAGTGAGCAGAGTGAACAGCTCACAAGGGACGAGTTACGGGGACGGGCTGCGGACATTTGGGGGTTTCTGAGCACCTTCTGAAAGGGCTGGCTGCATGGAGAGCTGGTTAGGGCATTAGAGAGGTGAGATGAGGTGTGGCTGGGGTCGCCTGAAAGAGGGTATGGCTTGCAGGTAAGATAGGATTCGAGCTGGGGGGGTGTCATGTTAACCCCTGTGGGTCCCAGTGTTAGGGCAGGGTCTATAAGGCCGTTTTCTAGCCCACAGGATTTGGGGGAAGCAGAGGAGGACCATGGTCCCTAGTGATGGAGCCTCTGCTTTCCCCCCTGTGGCAACCTGACTGGGGCTCCCAAAGAGCTGGGCAGGTGAGGGCCAGGGTGGGGGAAAGGCTTGGCTGCCAAGCATCAGAGCTCCCCAGAGACTCAGACTGACCTTGGGCGAATCACATTTCAGGCCTGAGATAAACAGTGAAGCCACATGGCTGCTCAGGCCTAAATTTGAGAGGGCCAATATATCTGTAATATACAGGTCAGATAAGGCAGCAGGACCCCACCCCCCATGCCTAACCCCAGCCAGACCAGCGAACTCCCTACTACACACCCCCATTAACGAAAGTACAGCCAGGCTATGTCTCAGCAGGTCTCGTTTGGTTTTCAGAGCCAAGCCTCAGTGACCCGATGTAGCCATGACCCATGCCCTCATGGATCAGCGGTCTCAGATCATGCCGACGGAGCTCCCTGAGCAGGCCAGAGATGACTCACTGGGAAGGCATGGCCACTGTCCCCAGGTTTCTAGGGGACCCGCAGGTGTCGTGGCAGGGTTGGACTCATCCTACAGGACCCTGCAAGGCGTGGAACTGGGGTTTCTGATGCCCTAAGGAGTAAGACAACACATGGTGTGGGGGGAGGGCGCTTCCCCTGGAGCTGTCACCAGGAGTTCCTTAGAGACAAGTGGTATCTCAGGTACTTCCACTGCTTGGGACAAAGGGAGGGGAAGAGGGACTCCCTGTGAGGTCAGACTTCTTGGCACAACTGCTTCAGTACCCTCCTCTTTGCTCACCTGTGCCAGGCCCAGGCTGGCACACAAGATGCCCTCCACTCCCCTCTGTGACCCCAAAGCTTGTACCTCATCCTTATCTGCCTAGAGGGTCTGTGGTGGGTCCCTGCTGTATGGTTTCTGAGACCTGGCCAGAGCCCCGGGAGAAGCCTCAGCTCTGGCTACCCTGGGGAGACTGGATGGAGCAGCCCCACGGTTGGAAGGACAGCTCCCCTCTGCCCTCCCCAGCCTTCCCCTTCCGCGAATCAAGAAACCAGGCAGTGAGGCTCTGGGGGCTGCTTTTATGAGGGCGACCTGACAGAGGGCATGGTCCGTACAAAACCGGAAACAATACATACATATATATATTTATATACAGAGACGCGGTCCTCCGCAGGCGGCCGGGCGCCCGCGGCCCACCCCCTCCTTTGCCTCCACAGTGAAGGGCGTGGGGGCCCGGCACCCGCACCCGAGACAGCCAGCTCTTCCAGGGTATGGGGGCACATCAAGGGGAGGGGCGAGGAGGCGGGGCCAGAAATACTGAGAGATGGCATGGCGTATTTACAGGGGACAAGAAGCCAAACATTTTTTTTCCTTTTTTTTTTTTAAATGAACAGAAACCCAGGCTTGGGGACAAGGGACATGAGAAAAGTGGCAAACTGAGATGGATTCTGAAAGAGGAGGGGCCCTGGGAGCAGGGGTCTCACCTCCCTTGGTCCAAGCCCCAATTTGGGGTTAAAATAGGGGAAAGTAGGGTGGGTTTTACTTAGAAAGTGGGCTGCTGCAGGCAGGGCAGCCATGGTCTCTAAAAAGATGAGGAGTTAGTAAAACTGCCCTGCGGCTGGCCGGGACATTACAGCACAGTGTGGGGTGGGGTGGGCCAGGCCGAGCTGGTGGCAAGGCTTCCAGGTGCTGGCCCTGGGCAGTGAGAAAACTCCCCCTGGCCTGAGACCAAAGTCTGCTGCCCAGAACCCCAAAATGACCCCCTCTCCTTCCCGGCATTCCCAGGCATGACCAGGACACCCAGACCCCAGGGAGGCCCCAGAACCATTCCAGGAGATTATGGCTATTTGGCACCTGGGAAAGGGAGGCACAAGGACAATGGGGGGCTGGTGTCCGAGGCGGGGAGGGGGGAAGGAGCTGCGAAGCAGGTGTCCCGGACTCTCCCTCCCCTCCCCTAGGACACAGCACAGGAGACATCAGTGCAGGGTCAGGCCCAGCCTAGGAGCTCTGCCCCTCCCGAGACAGGAAGTGGAAGGTAGTAGGAAGGGGGGGGGGTGCCACGCCACCACCGCCCGCTCCCCCAAGGCAGGAGGGTCAGAACGCAACAGACAGCACGAGGATGAGGGATGGGGAAGGGCCAAGGAGGTGGGCTCTTGAGTCAAGGGTCCCCACAGGCAGGGTGCAGCCTCCAGTTGGCGAGATGCTGGGAGAGCCCCCAGCCCCATTCCAGTCCAGAGACAAAGGCTAGAGGTTGTAAGTCTGGCAGTTTGGTCTGCAGGTCCTTGCGTCCACCCACTCCCCGGGCCAGCCCTCAGCATCCCTTGCTACGCCCCTGGGCCTCAGCCCCATGGGGCCTCGGAGGAGGCCACCCTTCTAGCCACCTCTGTCTGCCCGGGGCCACCTGAAAGAGGCCTGTGATGCAGGCCCTCTGGTCCCTGAAGCTGGGGGAGGTGGGGTGGAGGGGGCTGGGGGAGTCGGGGCACCTGTCCCCAGGCTGGTAGGGGGTTGGGTAGGCGATTGAGGACAGGGGAGGGAGGATGATGGGAAGGACTTATAGTTCCTGTTAAGTAGAATTGGAATTCCTCAATGTCTGCAGGTTGCCTTCCAGTTCTGAGATCTGAAAAAAAAACAAAGCAGGGAGGGGCACTGGGCATGTGCCCTGCCCCTTTTCCACCGCCAGTCATGACCTCCAAGCTCCTGGCCAGTAGCAGGACTCCTCCCCTTAGGATCCCCAGGGGAGTTGGCAGATGGGGGCTCACATGCTGCCCTTCACACCAACCTACCTTGTCCAGGAGCTTGTCCATTTCCTCCTTCCTTGCCAGCTCTGACTCCTCCAGTACCCGCCGCTGTGCTGTCTCCTTCTTCAGGAACTCGATTTCCCTGGGGGCATGCAAGGGAAGGGTGTGTGGCTACGCAGTTACTCCCCTGCTCCTTCTGCCCAGGTCAGCACATCCCAGGCCTGGCCCTAGGCTGCCGTGATACTCAGTCCAGGTCCCAAAGCTTACTTAACTTGGCTCCAACCTCTGGGCTCCTTGCCTCCCTCCGCTGCTGCCCCTAGCCCCTCTCCCCATCTCCCAGTGCCCGTCCCGAGACCCGACCACGTACTTCTGCTGGTAGTCCTTGATGAGGCGCTTGGCCTTGCTGTACTTGCGCTCCAGGGCCTGGTATTGGGCCTGGGTCTCCCGCAGGTGCTCGTCCACAGCCTGGCATAGGCTCTGGGCCTCGCCCCAGTAGCCCTCCAGCTTCTCCATACGCTCCTTGTTCTCCTCCACGCTCTGCTCCAGCTGGGCCTTCTCTGCCCGCCAGCGGCCCTTCTCCTGCTCCAGGCTCTGCAGCTGAGAAAGGCAAGAACAAACCCAGGTTGGTAGGGGCTAGACAGAGCCAAGCATTCCTTACAGCCAAGACACCCTGGCTGAGGCAGAGATGGAAGGAGGGAGGCAGGAGCCTGGTCTCACAGCACCAACCCCTCCTCCCCCACTGGCTCCGTTGATCACTGATGGGCTCTGCAGTTTGGGCCAAGGCAACTCTAGCTTAGGACTCAGCCCTACCATCTGTAAAATGGGACTGATACTCACCCCCACCCCAGCACATGGGGCTATAGAGAGCTGGATGGAGTCAGACAGTAGGGCAGGTTAAGGCCATCAGTGCTCTGCATCCCCAACTGCAGCCCTAGCCCTACCCACCAGCCCATGCTTCAGGGGCTCCCAGGTGACAACAGTGCTGACCCCCGACCCTGACAGCTCAATCCTGGATCCCTTGCTCTCAGTGCCAAGGGGCATAGCCCCCACCTCACACAGCCCTGCTCTGTACTGAGCCTCAAGTCCCTTGCTCTTGCTCCTAAATTCCAGCCTCATCTCCTACCTCACAGGCACCATGCTCCAAACCAGACCTTCTATTTGCACAAACCCAGGCCTCCTTCCCCAACCCGCTGCTAACAGGCACCCATTGAGAGCCTCCCAGTGTGCAGTCCCAAGGGGGCAGGGTAGCAGATGCCTTTGGCTTTCTGTACCTCAGCCAGACTTGTCGCTACGGGACCTTTGCAGGTGCTATCCACACTGCCTGCACATTTCCCATGTGCCCTTCTCATTTCCCACTAGCTTGCCCCTTGGCTCTGGCTTTCAGAGGCGCCTCCTTCCAACGACACAGCCTCACCCCGCCCCAGCTGGACTGAGTTCCCCCCACTGCAGAGCCTGGAGTTGTTTGTAACAAGACAGGCACAAGTCTGTAGCTCCTAGCAGGGTGTGGACCCCTGGTTCTCAACTGGCACCTGCACATGGAATGCATGAACAGCGCTTGGGCCTGAGCCTCTGTTCCCTCCCCTGTGGACACCCGGGACAGGGCCTGTATCCAGAATCCAGAAATATGCTTCTTCCGCACCCTTCCCTCCCACACCCTCAGCCAGTACTCTCTGGGCAGGGCTTGGCTGCCCCTGCCAGAATGCTGCCTCCGGGTCCTGTTCACCTATGCCCTCACCCACCTAATACGCAGTTACTTTCTGAAACTCCCATGGCCATGCATCCCTGGACTGCCTGCAGGAGCCAGGATGCCACAGGCCACAGCCCAACCCTGGCAGGCCACCAGGCCTCCTCCCAACACAGCTGCCAAGCCCTAGCTCCTTTCGCTGCCAGGAACGCCCTGCCTCCTGCCTCTGTCATCTAAACCCTGCCTCTCCCCAAGGCTCAACTTTACGCTCACCCTTTGCGTGTGCTGGGTATACATACACCTGTGTGCACGGCACTTGTAGACCTGCCTCTCCCTACCACACCAGAAGCCCCAAGGGGGCTGGAGATTCAGTTTGCTGGGCCTTGGTGAGGGGGTGGGGGAAGCTTGGCAGGTTTTTCACAGGGACTGTGAGCATGCACATTCCTGCATGCATGTGTGTGTGGCCTGTGCGTGTCACAGCTGGCAGTAATGCCCATGTCCTGGGACGCCCTTCCTAGACCAGTTGCTCAGCACACCCAGGCCAATGGCCCTGGAGAGGATGCTGAAGAGCAGCCTGGGACTTAGGCCTCTGTGGCTGAGTCTGCAGAACATGGGGGTAACTGGGTATGTGGCTACCACTTAACCAGGCTGGCACGAGCCTGGATGTGTGCCACTGGGTGGCCATATTTGTCACTGGACCTGGAGGCAGAGGACATGAGGAGAAAGACGCAGGGTGATCGGTACAGCCCCTGAGGCACTGGCTTTTAAGTGAGCATCTGAGAGGCACCAGATGCTGTGCGAAGGACCTGACAGGTGCTATCCATGAACTCCTTCCTGAGGACCAAAGAGCACTGCTACAATGATGGTCCCATTTCACAGATGAAGAGGCTGAGGCACAGCACAGTGAGTGGTGGAGCGGGACACCAGACTCAAGCTCTCCTGAGGCGCATGTACCCCTGGGTGCTTACGGTGTGCACAGGTGGAGGGTGAGAGAAGATCCTTCCCCTAGAGCTGAGACACGGGTCTTTTGCCCACAGGCATGGCACACATGTGCACACACATGTGCCTTGCAACAAGACACACACACCACACTCACCTTTCTCTTGAGCTGCTGGATTTCTGCCTCAGTCACGGCGTGTTTGATCTGCAGCTGTGGGCACAAGGACAGGCACTCAGCTCCAGCTGAGACAGGTGACTGGCGTGCCCCCTCCCCAATCCATCTCTGCTCCTGCCAAGGGCTCCCACCTCCTTGAACTTGTGCACCAGCTTCTCAGGCTCCATGTCCACGGGGGACAGCGCGTCCTCGTTCTCCGCTAGCTCGAACACCTCAATGGCCACCTCGCTGCCCGGGAATGTGGGACTCAGCTCTTCCTCCTCATCAGTGGCATACTCCCCTGTCTGCCAAGAGAGAGAGGCTGCCCACGTTGGACTGGGAGCAGCCACGGCTGTGATCCTTGCCTCCCTGTCATGATTCATGTGTTCTGTGATGATCAGGGGAGGCTCCTGAAGGCAAGGGTTGTATATCCCTAAGATTGGGACTCTTTTTTCTTTTAATATATACTTTTTAAAGACTTATTTATTTTCATTGGAAAGGCAGATATACAGAGAGGAGGAGTGACAGAGAGGAAGACCCTCCATCTGACAGTTCACTCCCCAAGTGGCTGCAATGGCCGGAGCTGAGCCAATCTGAAGACAAGAACCAGGAGCTCCTCCAGGTCTCCCACATGGGTGCAGGGTCCCAAGGCTTTGGGCCGTCCTCCACTGCTTTCCCAGGCCACAAGCAGGGAGCTAGATGGGAAGTGGAGCTGCCGAGACTAGAACCGGCACCCATATGGGATCCCAGCGTGTGCGAGGACCTTAACCACTATGCTATCGCACCAGGCCCGAAGGCTGGGATTCTGGACATACAGCCCGAACCGTCCCCTTTATACAGGGGTCACCATCTGCCTCGCTCCTCAGATTAGATCTGAGAAGAGGATGCACTCCAAACAGAAGATGAAACCATTGGGTACTTGGGGACACAGAATAGCACTTCAGAATTCTAAATTTAGGGGATCTTATAAACCTGCAGAAATAACTAATGTTGTGTGTGGCCGCCAGGGGGCACCCGTGTTGCCAGCAGGCCGGCACCACCTACTTCTTCGTCATCCTCCCCATACTGGGCGTATCTCTGCTCCATCATCTCCCGCTGCCATCGCTCCTGTTCCAAGGTCTGCTGGATTAGCTGGGCCACTTCACTCTGCTCCCCGGGCCGTTCCCGGCCAATCAGAAACCTGCAGGGGCACCGGCGTCATCCTGGGACTCTGTCCTCAGCTATGTGAACCACCATCCTCCCTGCTGGTACTCCCCTCTCTAAACCCAGGCCCTCCCAGGAGAGGTGAAATGAGAGGGCTGCTGAGTGTTAATAATGAATGGAGGAGCTGGGGACCTTCCTGAGTTTCCCCCCAGGGGAGGCGGAGGGGGAGGTGGGTACAGGAAGGTCCACCAGCCAGAGCCCCTGGCCAACTGGAGGAGCCCATTATCTGCCAGCCTCTGGGCTGGGCTGCAGGGGACCTGAGCTCAGAAGCTTAGAAGCTGCTTAAGGTCCACCATGCTGGTGCTGGGAGAAAGTGAGGCAGGGGGATGATGCTGCTGGCTCCTGCCAGCAGGGGCGGGGGCTGCCAAGCTGTGCTGGGTAGGCTCCAAGCCTTGGCGCTTCAGGAAAGGGGCGGGACGATGGCGACTGGAGATTAGGATGGAGAGGAAACAGTGGGACTTCCAGGCACCAACTCCTCCTCCCCGTGGCCACCCACATCCTGTTTCTCTTCACCACCCTTTCCTGGGGGCAGCCCTGCTCTTGGAGGGGGCCAATGAGTGACCCTTCAGATGCTACATTGAAGGTGGGCCGTCCGTCCCCTGGGAGCATTGAACCCACAAGTTTGGGGTGAGGTCTTCCTGGGAGAGAAGGACACACATCCCACCTCCCACTCCCCACCCCTGCATATCTTGCTTCCTCATCAGTCAGGGTCAGGTAGCAACGGGAGAGGATGGTGTGAAGGGACATGCATGATAGGGCTGGAAACCTGGGGACTGTGGGCCAGTGCTGTCTTGGGAGCTGGGATGGGAAGGCAGGCCTTGGGCAAGCAACTGCACACACAGCAGCCAGCGACTTCCCCCAGGAGCAGGCACCCAGAACCGAACTGGCAGTGGGCAGGGGGCACGTCAGCTGCGTGAAGGCTCAGCTTCCCTCTGCCGGGGCTCTCACCGAACGCGGCCCTTGGTGTTGCGGAGCACGGAGGCTGCAAAGCTCTGGGTCACGCCCACCAGGCTGGTTCCATCCACCTCCACCAGGAGGTCATTGACCTGGATTCTAGGGCAGGAGAGCAAGGGAATTTTCAGCCATCTTGGCAAGATGAATGAATAAACACAAAGGCAATGGAATGACAAAGCTTAGAGTGACACAATGCAGCCTAAGATAACCCAAACATGTCTTAGCTATTTTTGAGAAATATTGTTACTCTTTGTAAAAACATAAGATGGGTGCTAAAATAAGATATACTTCTGTAATCCCCCAATAGACTTATCAATGTATTTCATCTTGCTGTTTCCTTCCAATATTCAGTTGAGACATAAACACACACACACACGTGTGCACATTCTCACACACAAAAGGTTGAGTAGAAACTGTGGGGCAAGGCTGACCCCTCCCTTTGGGGCTTTGTCCACCTGCATAAAATGCACCAGGCCAGGTCCACGGTATGGGTAGGGACAGCAGAGGGAGCCAAGCAGACATGGTCCAGGCAGGGAAGGACAGCAGGTACACTTCCCATGACAGTCTCACTCTGGTCTCCTCCTCCACCACAGCTGACATGTAGTGTGACACCCTTAGAACTCACCTGTTTCCACACATGACAGCAGGCGTCCAGCAGCACCTGCGTGTCACACCACCCTCTCACACAGACCTTTCTACATGTACCTGAGTCCACAGGTGCCCTGGAGGGCACACTCTCTGATCCCTCTCTCCTATATATACTCTGCTGGACCACCCCACCACACCACTTCTCTTTGCCTGAAGGGCACAGGGGTGGGGGGACCTTCTGGCCACCTCCTGCTCCCACCATTGCCTTCCTGGGAGATCCAGACATTCCCTTGGGGGTCTGGCACACACACACACAGCAAGAAATGGCTCACCCATCCACAAGGGCCTGAGTCTGTGGACAAGCTCCTGTGCACACACGCACACCCCCAATCCACCAGCAACAGGGGAAAGGCGCTGGCAAGTTTGGCTTAGGGACAGAGGATGCTGTCACCCTTCCTTTCCCTGCACTCCCCACACCACCCGGACAACAGTCAGGAGTCCCCTCTAGCCTGGTGACCCACAGTCCCCCAACTCTGGCTAGATCTCCCATCATCTCTGTCCCAGGGAGGGGCTGGGTTTGCTGCTGTGCTGGGGTATGCCTTGTGGCCTTCCCCAAACACCACATACAAAGTAGAAAAGCCAACACTGGGTGGTTCAGCTGACCATCCCTGAACCTTTTTCCCCCAAACTCACCCCTCTAGACAGAGACATGCCATGCTAGCCCATGTACATGCAAACAGTGGCCCATCTCCAGCCCACCTCCAGGCTGGGCCGGTCATATACACACAACTGGATATCCCCTCTGAGCTGCAATCAACCTCCTGTGCTAACTCCTGCTCATGCTGCAGCACTCAGTCTGCGTGAACCTCCTCCCAGAGGTGCCCCGAGGGCAAGTGTGTCCGTCCACAGGCTTAATGCTGTCTGCCTTGCTACACCGCCAACTTCCCCAAGGAGTCATGGAGGATGCCCAAATGTACTTCGGACACAGCTTCCATGCTGCACACTCCATACTCTGGCCTGATGCCTGCCCAGAGCCAGGGCAGCTGTACACTCCCCTCCCTGGAATGCAAGCAGAAGTGCCAGGGCCTGGCACAGCTGTGGCCCATCCCCAGAGATGATCCCATGGATGGCAGCTGGCAGAGGAGGGAGGGTGGGGAAGTACCTGCCGTCCCGATGGGCCGCACCACCCTCAGTCACGGTCTTGACGAAGATGCCCAGCTTCTCCAGGCCCATGTCAGCCCCAGCCCCCATGCCAATGATGCTGATGCCCAAGCCTTCGGAGTCTGGAAGGGAAAAGGAGACACTAGAGCTGACGGGAGGGCCTTTTGCTCCTCAGCCCTCCCTGTAGGGCAAACCCTGTTTCAGGAGTCAAACCCTATGCCCAAGGATGTCCTGTTGCTGGGGAAGGGGCACGGCTGGTTGTGCAGTTGGGCTCCTGGGTCACTTGCTGCCCTTTGCCCCGTGTGTGGAACTGACAGGTAGGAGAGTGTGCCAGGGTGGCTTATCACCAGGTGGAGCTTGTGCAGGCAGAAAGTGTGACTGGAGTCCCCACCCCATCCCACCCCCTGGGGTGGCAGTGATAGGCTTGTTCCTAAGCCCTTTGTTCCCTCTCCCTAAGCGGTCCCATCTCTCCAAACAGCTGCAGGGACCAAAGACCTGATTTCCTCTGCCAACCACACCTGCCCACATACCACCCAGGGCACTGACATCTGAACTCCCAGCCAGCCTCTCCCACACCCTGTTCCCTGGTGGGACCGGCACCACCACCCTCCAGCTGCCAGCAAGGAGGCCCCTGGATTCCTCCCACTGGCCTCCGCTCAAGCCAAACATCCACCAGCCCCCATGACTCTCTCCCCAGTCCACACCAGTGTTGTCTCTCCACCCACTGGCATGCCTGTCCCTGCCTCACAGCCTGAGGCTGTCCTCCCAGCACCCCTTTCCCACCTGTTAAAAGCTTCCAACCTACCTGCCCAGTGCCTGTAGGTGTCATGCTCTCACTGTGAATATGCGGTCCCATCTCCTCTTCTGTCCTGGACTCCCGGACAGAAGCTGGGTCCCCAAAGCTCAACTCAAGCCCTGCTTCCTTCCATGAGAGTCTGCCCCTATTCCAGGCCTCCCCTCTGCTCAGGCCTCCAGACAGATGTGTCCTCAACAGCCTTCTTTCTCCATCCTTGGGCCTCCCTACCAGCATTCTCAAAGTGACACCTCACAATTAATCCCTCAGCACACAGGGAGCCAACACGGCTCTATGGCCAGGTTGGAGATATGTGCCCAGGCCATTTTAAGGCCTTCCCAGGGCTGCAGCTGGTACCAGAGCGGTGGTCCTGGAGTCAGCCCAGCTATGTACCTGCTGCCCGGACCCAGTGGCTCACCCTTCTCCAGCTCCACGGGGAATAGCTCCAGCCGCTCCACACGCTTCTCTAGTTCATACTCTGCGGAAGCCGCCATGGGGTCCACATCCTCGTTGCGCCGATCGTAGTCTTCATTGGAGTAGGTGCTGAACACCTGGGGAGAGGACCACTCATCAGAGGATGGCAGGACAGGGGCGGGACTGGTAGCAGGAGACTGAGGGGCAGCTGAAGCCCTAGCTCCATGCCCTGCTCTCCACTGCCATGTCTTCCCTGTTCCCCAGGCAACCAAGACACAACCTCAGATCTGAGTGAAAATCCCTGTCATTCCAGAAAGGTGGAAGGGAGGGGTGGAGGCACAGGTGGAAAGAAAAGGCCCTGGCTTTTCCCGATTCACTCTGCAGCACTGACCAGCATGGGGGCCTGTCTGCAGTAGTGGCAGGACAAGCCCAGATGGAAGGTCACTTAGGAACCAGACCCCAGGCCAGAGAGAGAGAGAGATATTGGGATTTAGAGATCCAGGCAGAGAGAGCCAGATGCCAAGAAGCAGGCTGCACAGAAGAGGGGGAGACAAGAATGCCAGCTGGGCAGGGGGAGGGTACATGCTGCCAGGCGGAAGGGAACAGAAGCCAGGGGTGCAGAGAGGCAGAGGCACATCCAGGAAGGACCCTGCCTGCCCCCACAGAGGAAGGGCAGGACCCCCAGGGAACAGAGGGGTGAAGACTGGGTTCTCTGCTCTGCTCCCAAGTGGGGTACTCAAAAGTACCACCTGGGGTACCGGGTGGCAGCCCTTGGAGCCATGAGGGCAGGAGCGGCTCCCCCATGGCATGGGGATTCCTTGCTAGGGTCCTCTCTGCAGCAGCACAGGCCCCATGGGCAGGCAGCAACACTATACTGTGTCCCAGCCTTTGGGCCGGCTCCAGGTCATCCCCACGACCATCACCCCAGCAGAGGCTCCCTGAGCTCCACGCATGAAGGAGGTGCAGGCACGGGCCTTCATCGGGCAGCAGCCGGTGTGCTCTCCTCCCATCTGACAAGTGGCCCCAGACCCCTCAGAGACCCTAGTTTTGCAAAACAATCAAAGATGCTGGGTCTGATGTCCAAGGTCATGGTCACACATGGGTTAGATGGCACAGAAGCAGCACAGGACCGGTCTGTACCCAGCTGGGCTCTGTCCCCTGGTTCAGGTGCCCAGGCCAGGGCCCCTGCAAACCAACTCTGGCACACTTTCACATCTGACCCCCTAGGCTACAGGAAAGGATGCCCTCCTTCTCATCCCTCTCCTGGATCAACCAAACCCCTCTGCAGGCACATACAGGACACCCCTCACCCTGGCTCTACCCTCCTCTAGTCACCTTCTCTACCTCAAATCCCCTGTTGCCCGCGGGTATTCCCCATGTCTCCCATGGCAGCAGGATGGCTGTGGGTCCTGCCCTACTTCTATAGGTGACCATCTGGAAAAATCAGGCTTCCCGTCTATACCTGAAGCTCCGTCCTTTCCAAGGGCAACAATTGGGTCATTTGTGGGACATGGGGAAGGGGTGGGCCCAGAGAGAAGAAAAACCAGGGTCCCTGTGCCACAGTGGGGCGGAGGAAATCCCCAGCAAGTCCGACACACGGGGCCGCACCACACGCCCCGGCTCTGTGCCTGCCGGGCAGGCCAGCTTCAGAGGCCCCAGGGAGTCGGGAAGTACTGCTCTAAATCAGGTGCTATTTTTTGCCAGAAAATCAGGGTAAGATGTCAGATATAGACAGAAGCCTGGACTGCACTCATCTCTGAGGGCAGGAGATGGTGGGATCCTGAACCTCCCTCCAGGATCCCACTGCCTGCACACAGGAAGTGTGGATTGGAAGGTCCTGGGCCAGGGGAGGAGGGCAGCAGTCTTGTACTTGTGACCTTGCATGCTAGGAGAGGGGCAGAGAGGGACAGGATCTTGGTAGCTTCCTCCTCTAGAGTCGTCATGGAAACTACAAGCAAACAGAAGGGGGTTGGCTGGGATGGGTAAAGGCTGGGCAGGGTCCAGCCTAGGAGGTCCAGCAACCTGGACACTCCCCTGGGCTGAGGCCTGGGGTAGTGAGAGAGACCTGCAGAGGCTGCCTGTGCAGGTCAAGTGGGGGTGGGGGTCGCTTGGCTGTTGGGGTCTCCCTCACTCCTTAGTGGCAGTGCTCCAAGGACCTCAAACCGCTGGCCCCAGCCTACAACAAGCCTTCCACCAGCAGCAGTATTGGGTACAGGGGTCCCCACCAGTGGCAGCTTCCATCCATCTCCCAGGCCACCTGACAAAGTGGCAAGAGCACCAGGGGAGGACAACTGCCAAGACCTTGGGCACTGTCCGGTGTGCAGCCAAGAGCAAAGGCATGTAGGTCACTGCCAGGCACCCTGGGGGCTCTGCCATGCCACTCTTCTTCCTGCCCAAGGCCTGACCCCCCACTGCCCTAACCAGTCACATGGTCACACAAGACCTGCGCGCTGCTTCCCTCTTTCAGTTCTGCAAAGCTGGGGGTGGAAGGGGAGGCACAGACAAGAGGGAGGAGGCCTGCATTTCCCTTCACCTTTTTGGGAGGTTCCACCCCATACCACTTTTGCCTGCGTATGGGGCCACCAGCGCCCTGGCCCCAACCTCTGCAGAAAGGAATGTGTGGGCCAGGAACACAAAAGCAAGCATCCCAAGCCCTAAGTAGGCAGGACGGATGCAGAGGAGCCCAAGAGTGCCTAGGCCAGGCAGCAAGAGGAGGAGCCTGAGGGCAGGTCGGGGCAGGTCACCACCTGACAATCGCCCCTGCTCTGACAAACAGCTGGCACTCCCCCTACTCCTCATCCCCCCCCCAAGGGTGGGAACTTCTGGGAAGGGGGCTGGGCAGCAGGGGCTGACTCAGCCTGCCAAAGCCAAGCGGGCTGCCTAGCTGGCTGGCTGGCAAGGGGGGGTGGGGTGGCGTGCACGTGGCGGAGGCGTCGCGGGCGCCCAGCGCACTCACTTGGATGGGCGCAGTGCTGAAATGGATCTTTCGGCTCGGGGCTGGGTCCTCTTCCTCCGACAGCCCCGGGATCTCCACGCACCCCGACTCGGGCTCATAGGGAGGCTCACCGTCTTCCTCATCGTCTTCGTCGTCCTCCTCCAGGGCGCTGCCCGCAGAGTCCTCCCCGAGCCCACTGTAGGCGCTTACGTCCACCAAGTCCGCCTCTGAGAAGTCCTCCTTTCTGGACTCCTCAGCCTCCTCGGCAGCAGGGGCCAGGTCCGGGGCTGGGCCATGGCCTACCACCCCCCTCTCCAGCGCTGCCACTGTCACCGCAGCCTCATCCTCGGGCACAGCTGGGGCCTTGGGCTCTTCGGGTGCAGAGCTGGCTGTGGTGGCCGCCGTGACACTACTGCCATTCTCCAGAGCTGCATGGACCGTCACCTCGGCCTGGATCACATCCCCGGGTGCCGATTCGGCCTCCGACTCCCCGCTCTCCTCTACTTCCACCGGCTTGATCTTGCGCACCTCCCGGGGCTTGGGGGGCGGCCGGGCGGGAGCCACGCGGTGCTGTGGTGGCTGCTGCCCCCCGGGGCCGCGCTCCTTGTCAGACGGGGCCTCCCCCGACGGGGCAGATGGCGGGGGCGGCGGCTGGGGCGAGGGCGTGGGTGCGGGCCCGGGTGGCTGAAACACGCGGGACCGCTTACTGACCAGCTTGGAGTTGACCTGGGGCACCCCTGCTGCGGCGGCCCTGGAGGGACCAGGTCCTCGGTGGAGGCCGGTCCTCGAATCGGCCTTTTCGAAGACGGCGCTGAGTTGGCTGACCGTGGGCGACACGGCATCGGCGTCTAGCTTGTCCAGAGCCTCAGTGCTGCCGTTGAAGCGGACCACGACGTCCAGCTTCCGGTCCTGCAGGCCGGCGCGCTCCTGCCTCAGCAGCCTGCGCGCAGCGGCCTCCTTGTCGCCGCCTGCGGCCGCCGGGGCGCTACGCTCGAACAGCTTCCGCGTCTCCTGCAGCCGGGACGGCGGGTGCGGCGGCGGTGCGGGCTGCGCCGAGGGCGCGGGCTTGGAGTCGAAGCGGCTCACACGCTCCGACACGCTGGTGCCCAGCTTGAGCAGGGCGCTGTGGTCCACGTTCTCGTTGAGGCTGCTGGCCCGCGGCAGCGACAGGCGCACGCCGCGCTCGGACGCCCGCGGGGCCTCGGCCAGGCCCGCGCCGCCCGCCTCCCCCGGCGGCCCCGCCGTCGTGCCCATCTGCAGAAACATACTTTTGATGCGGTGGACGTTGGAGCCATATTTCTTGTGGTGGGCCACCTTGGGGGCTTCATCTGGCCCGGACGCGTCGGGCGGCTTCAGCGCCTGGATGCCCGCCTCGTAGGCACTGCGGTGCGGGGAGGCGCTCCGGAGGGGACCCCCGGCCCCCCGCGGCTCCGTCTTCATCATGATGGGGGGAGCCGGGTTCGCATCCCCCCGCTGCTGCCTGCGCCTCCCCTCCCACAGGCGGCCGGCCAAGTCGGGACCACCGCCCCCTCCCCCCGAAGAAAGGAACCCCGACAGGCTTTTTTTTTTTTTAAGGTCCTTCCAAAACCAAGCTGCCAAAATCAGTTAACCCCCTCGCTTTGAAAAAAAAAATTTAAAGCCACCCTCCACCTCCCAGCGGGAGGGCGCCCAGTGTGGGGTCGCCTCCCCCAACCTAGCCGCCCAGGGACAGGCCAGTCCCCTCGCACCCCGTGCGGCCTGGCCCGCTTGCCTGCACCCCAATTTACGAGAGCGGCGGCCGGGGCCGGTGGGACCGCGCGCCCTGCCCGCGAAGCAGCGGCCGCGGCGCCGGCTCACATCGTCCGAGGCGGTGTCAGCGGCGCTGGCAGCCCGGGGGCCTCGGCTCTCCGGGGGCCCGGCAGCCCGGCGTCCATGGCCGCTCGGCGGGCCGGGGCCGCTCCGCCGCCGCCTCCCTCCCTCCCTCCCTCCCCCCCGCGCCCCGAGCCTCGCTCTTTCTCTGGTTCTGCCCGAGCGGCGGCTGCCGGAGACCGAGCGGCTGCCCTTCTCGCCGCCGCCGCTGGGGGACTGGCACCTCTGGGTCCTAAAGGGATCGGATTTCCGGGGCCGGAGCCTTTGAGCCCTCCCCTTCCCCTCCCCTGCCCACCGCCAGAGGCGGGGGAGGGGGCAGCGTTCCCCTGCCCTCCCGCTTTGCACCTTGTCGCTCCCGCCGCGAGCGGAGATTTATTGGACCCCACGTCACCCGCGACCTCCAAGACACGCTGAAAGGAGGCCCTGGGGGGGTCCCAGGACGACCCCTCTCCTCCCTAGACCTGAAGGGCAGGGCGCGGTGGGGGGAGGTGGCCAGGGGCGGGAGCCAATCACTTCCCTCGGCCTGTGGAGCTCCGTGGTGAGCTTCAAGGCCCTAAACTTGGGAGGATGCCCTGGGCAAAAAATACAGATTTCCAGGCCCTTGCCCCAATCGCCTGAATCAGGGAAATTGCAATGGCAGGGCCCAGGAATCTGCATTTGAACACCCTCCCCCGGGGCCCTTGAAGGTGTCAAACTTGGACCCAGCATTGCCCTCCTTTTGTGACTCTAGAAGGTGGGGGTGGGGAATGCGAACAGGAGGCAGTTCCCCCTCAGCCAAACGTCAGGGGGCTGCCCAGGCTGCCCTTTGCCCTTTGAGAGCCTCTGGAGAGCAGCCAGCTGTGCACCCCAGGCTGTTCAGAAAGGCGGGGAGGAGATCCAGCTCCAGGCCCCCAGCAGGCCACTGCAGCTGCCCACAGAGGAAGAAAGGGTTTGTAGGGAGGAATTTGGAGGCCTGGAGCCAAAGTTTCCCCAGTGACAGCTCTAACTTGAGTCTCTGATTTAAAGGATCCTGGCCAGTGTGTGCCAAGGGGTAGACCTACAGCTTCCCCCCTACCCCTGCACCAAGTGACCCAGAGAGCTGCTGTCATGCTCCCGCCCTCCCCCCCACCCCCAATGCTGCCACACTCAGACCAAGGGGCCTGGGGCTGCCCTATATGCCAGGCCCAATGCTTGGGTCCTGGCCGTCCAAGTCTACCCTCTGGACAGATCCAGAAGCACCACCCCATTCCACAGAGCCCAGGAACTGAGAAACAGGGTGGATCCTAGGACCCAGAGAACAACTCAGGCACAAAGCCTCCCCCCCTCTCCCAGCTGCTTCCTGCATCTTGGGCCTTCCTGCCTCTGCCTCCTCCCCCGCCCTCTTCCCCTCCATCCTCTTCCTCCTCATCCTGATCTCCCACTCTGGAGCCCCCGGCCTGCCAGGGCTGGGGCCCTGCCTGCTCTGTAGGAGTGTCTGTGTGTGGGTCTTGTGGGCTCTTAACCAGTTCTGGGTTCCTGTGCCAGAGCTCTCTCTAGCATGGGGGGGGGGGATGGGAAGTGGGGAAAGCCGCCTGGGAACCCTGAATGTTGGGCTGGGGAGGAGCCAGGAACCACGGGCCCGGATCCCAGGGCTGGTGCTGAGGGGGAGGGAAGATGTGGGCTCAGAGCTGTGGCCAGAAATGAACCCAGACCTCTGGCTTTCCCATGCCACCTGCACTTCCCCCTCCCCAGTTTGGCACTTAGGGGTAGTACAGAGTGGCGAACCTCCCTCAGACCCTTGGCTTCCCAGGCCTTCCTAGAGGATCCCTTTCAGAAACCACCTTTGAGACCTGGATTTTCAAGGTTGGGACTTCCCCAGAAGCCACTCCCTGCAGCATCACACACACACACACACACACACACACACACACACCCCATCCACCCCCAGCTACAAGTCCGGAATCTCCCCAACTCTGGGTTCCAAGTTTGGGCCACGTCCTCAGAAGCTCCTGTGCTGACTGGAGGAGGGTGCAGGCCCCTGGCTGTTCTCCCCAGAATCTCCCACACCCTTAGTGGTGAGTCATGGCAGCTAGTCCCAGCCCAAGGGGTCTGTGCCCACGCTGTTGGCCAGGTGGGCACAGCCCCCAGTTTAGGAAGGTGGGATGAGGTGCCAGAGGCCCCGGGACACCCCCTACTCCCAGTATCTCCTGCAGCTGCTTGGAGGAAAGTAGGATAACTTCCAAGGATAAAGCCCTTTAAGGGCCTTGGGATAGTCAGCTGTGGGTAGAAGCCCAGATGTGAAGTGCCTGGGGCTAATGTGTGAAATTTTTACTCTCTGGGTTGCATGAGTAACAACCCCAGCCAAAAATCTCGCAGAAGCTTTCCTTCAACCCTAAGTGCTTTAGCAGTTCTCTATCCCCAGGGTCAGCAGGGTCAGATGGGTAGCAAACTGGGTGGTCATCTTCATCCCCCTCCTAGCTGCCTGGAAGAAGAGGGGCCAGGTCCAAACTGAAGACCCCAGCTTCTTTTTCCCAGGCTGCCCTCCTCATCTGTCCCCTGGGGTCCCCAGGGTCATTTGACCATCTCTGCTCTGTCCTTGTAGAGGAGACCTGCGTGGCCAAGTTGCCTGCAAGTCCTATTGGCTCCAGCCTAGGAGGGCGCAGGGCTCAACCCTGGGTTCCTTGGCTTCCTGGCTGGGTGACCTTGGAGAAGTCACTCACCCTCTCTGTGCACTGAGTGGACAAACCTAGGCCATGAGCGGTTCCCAGGCCGCAAGCTGTGGAGGCTGTCTCAGGCAGAGATAATTGGCTTCCAACTCCCCTGCTTGCGAAGCTCCTCCCTGTTTTCCCACACCTTCCACTTCTGAGGGGGGCCCTCTGGGAAGATGCACTTGGAAGCAGTCCCTGGAGGCTTGCTAGTTTTAAACACCAGTTTGTAACTGCAAAGAAGGTGATGAAGGTGGGGAGAGGCCTGATGGGTGATGATAAGCCCCAAGCCCTGGGCGCCCTGGACTCAGCCTGGGCTGAATGCCAAAGCTGGCAGCCCTGGGGCCTTGAGGCAGCTCTCTGAGCGTGGGTTTTTCCCTTGGCCGCTGCCACTTGAGTTGAGGCTAGTCTGGGCCCTGCCCTTCAAATATTTTAGAGTGAGCCAGTGGTTCCATGGCTTTTCCTTCCCCATCCCACCCCAAACCCTCCGCTGGGGACCAGACTGGCACAAAGAGTGTGAGTGTACCCTCACAGGCAGGAAACTCCACTCCAGGACTCCTGTGTTGGAGGGGCCTTTAGCAACTTTGAGGGGAATGAGGAAGGCCGAGCAATGGCATACCCTATTTTGGAGGAAAGAGACCAGGCTAGGATTCTTGAGGTCCAAATGCAGCCTTAGCTCCACCCACTTACTGGGTGACCTTGAACTAGTCATTTCCTCTCTCTAAGCCTTAGTTTTCTCAAAAAATTCAATCTGAATGTCTGGGTGTCTCCCAAAGCCCCAGGCGACCCTGGAAGTCCCACTGTGTATGTGGAACAGAGCTTGGAGACTATACCATTTTTAAGTTTGCAATCTGCTACTTCCTGCCAAAAGGACTTGTGCAAGTTCTGACATCTGTAAGCTGGGGCAAACACAGCAACGTCAGGATGCTCCAAGTGTACAGGGCACAAAGAAGGAGCTGTCAGTTGAGGGCACATGCGTATCTCCGGAGATGGCCGCGTGTGTTTATCCATCCCTCGAAAGGTGTAGCTGAGAGGGAATATACCTGTTTGTATTTCAAAGTGTCTCTTAAAGATTTATTTATTTATTTTTATTGGAAAGGCAGATTTTACAGAGAGAAGGAGATACAGATACTGATGCTGGTTCACTCCCCAAATGGCCGCAATGGCTCAAGTTGAGCCGATCCAAAGCCAGGAGCCAGGAGCCTCTTATGGGTCTCCCATGTGGATGCAGGGTCCCAAGCCTTTGCGGGAACATCCTTGACTGTTTTCCCAGGCCTCAACAGGGTGCTGGATAGACATGAACTGGCACCTATATGAGATCTCAACTTACACAAGACAAACATTTTACCACTAGACTACCAAACTGGGCCCCTCTTACTGCCTTTTAAAAGAGAAAAATATTTATTTGAAAAACATAGTGCCAGAGAAGGAGAGAGACAGATCCTCTACCTATCTACCAATTTACTCCCCAGGTGGTGCAGCAGCCAGATCTGGACCATGCCAATGCCAGCAGCCATGAACCCCATCCTGGCCTCCTACATGGAAGGCAGGGCGTCAGGTAATGGAACCACCTTCCGCTACCTTCCTAGATGCATTAGCAGGAAGCTGGATTGGAAGCAGAGCAGCAGGAAGAGCCACAAAACTGGCCCCGCCTTGTTCCCTATTAATGCACATTATGTGTCATTCAAAAATACCAGAGGCCTTCAGAAAATTCAGAGAAAATATGTATTATGGGAAAAAGAACGCATAGATGTAAAACATTCCCCTCCCCCCCCACGCACTAAAACAAACCTGATCTTATCATGTTGAGTGTATCCATGCACTGTTTGAAGTACCCTAGCATAAGCACCTCCTTGCAGCTCCTCCAACTCTTTTTCAGGATCTTTCTTAGCCTGAAGGTGACCTTCCAAAGGATTTGTCATTCCTGACTCTTGGGGCCTTGAGTTTCCCTCTGCACCTGCGGGGGGAGAAGTCCTGTGGTAGTGGCAGGGGGTTTCCTCCCATTGCCAGAACAGGCCCAATTGCCTGTTTCTCTATGTTGTCTGCCTTTCTTCTAGTCACTGTACTTCACTCCCATGCTGCTTGGCAAGTCCAGATCCCTCTGGAGTGTGGGGAGAGAGACAGAGGGAGGAAGGGCCCTGTGCGCTGTGTGTGTGTGTGTGTGTGTGTGTGTGTGTGTGTGTGTGTGTGTGTGTGTTTGGGACACACACTGCGGGAGGAGGAAGGGGACAGAGGAAAGATTTCTCCAAATCATCAGTTTCTTTAAAAGAAAGCCTATATTTAGCTGGGCTTAGAGGGCCTGTAAATATGTATTTTGCAACACAGACAGCCGTAGCTTGTGGGAGCTTCAGATTTAGGCAGGGAGGTAAAAAAAAAAAAAAAAAAAGTGGTGGTGGAGGGGGAGATTGGGCATGTATTTTATCATCAATGTATTTGAAGCTCTGCCTGCTTAGAATACACAGGTTTGCTTTGACAGTTTATCGTTTTCCTCTGCCCTCTGGGGCTCGTGGCGGTGAGATGGGGCTGACTGACAGCCACAGGAAGGAGTATGTTACCCCTCCCTTCCCCATCCCCACTGGCATAGCCAGCTTCTGCCAGGCTAGCCTGGTACGCAACACAGGTCCAGTCTGCCTGACTCTAACTTTCTAGTCTCCCACATTCAGCTCAGTGATGGGGGTGGGGTGAGAATGCCTGCCACTTCAGAGAGTCAGGGAACAAATGGAATTTACCAGTGCCAGTCCTGGGTCGTTTTTCTTCAGGTTTTCCCACACACAAGAACAAGAATGTTTGTATTTGAGCGAGGACCTTTTTTCTTTGTACCCAGATGTGTTGTTCTCACACATTCGCAACACTCCTCTCTAACTCCTTGGCTTTTTTTTTTTTGCATTATTTTGTTCAATGTAGCAGATCAAATGTATCTGAATTTCACTGCTACAACCATTTAAGTCTGTCTATCTGAAATTGTACATCTAAAGAGAGACAGAGATCTTACCAAATACCTACACCAAGCAAGATTGGACCCAGGTCCAGGAGCCTGGACTCAACCGGCTCTTCCAGGTAAGTAGGAAAGGACTCAACTCCTGCTGCCTCCCAGAAAGTGCAGTCTGCAGCAAGATGCAATTAGAAGCAGAGGCTGGGACTCAAACCCAGACCCTCTGACATGGGATGTAAGCATGCCAGGCAGCCACCTCATTGGGGCACCTAACATCGCTGCTCCTTCAAGCCCTTTGATGTGGACAGACAGGCTGTTGGCATTCAGCATCCTAACCGTGTTGTGCAGTCATCACCATCTGTTTCCAGAACTGTTCTTTCCTCTTTCAAAACTGCAACTCCATAGCAATGTAGCTCTGAGTTCCCCTTTGCCCGCCCCTTAGCAACCGCCACCCTCTGATCTCTAAGGATCTGGCTAGGTTAGGGCCTGGGGCGTCAGTGGACTCAGGTAGTGTTTGTTCTGATGCGATTGGTGTACTTCACTTAACATATTGTCTTCCTAGTTCATCTGTGTGGTGGATTGTGTCAGAATGTTTTTTTTTTCCCTCATAAAGCACAGCCCAGAACTTCATATTTCCCCGACATAGTGAAGCATTCATAAATGTAGTAGTATTTTGAAAAGTTATGTAACAACTGTCATGTGACATGCACAATTGTGTGTCTTTTCCCCACTTGGTGTGTTTTCATGACAGAGTCACACTGTTAAGAACTGTAGCTTGTCCTTGTGAACTTAGGTTTATTTTATCACATGAGTAAGTTATAAATTATTGACTCATTCCTCTATTGATGGGCATTTAGGTTGTTTCCATGTTTTGCTATTATAAGCAATACATGGACTTTTCTCTGAACCCATTTTTATATTTTTAAATAATTATTTTTATTTTTTGTTGCAAAGTCAGATATACAGAGAGGAGGAGAGACAGAGAGGAAGATCTTTTGTCTGATGATTCACTCTCCAAGTGACCTCAATGGCTGGTGCTGCGTCAATCCGAAGCCAGCAGCCAGGAACTTCCTCCAGGTCTCCCATGTGGGTGCAAGGTCCCAAGGCCACAAGCCGTCCTCAACTGCTTTCCCAGGCCACAAGCAGGGAGCTGGATGGGAAGTGGGGTCACTAGGATTAGAACCAGCACCCATATGAGATCCCAGCATGTTCAAGGTGAGGACTTGAGCCGCTAGACCATCGCACCGGGCCCCCTTATTTATTTGTATTGGAAAGTCAGATATACAGAGAGGAGTAGAGACAGAGAGAAAGATCTTTCATCCGTTCATTCACCCTCTGAGCGGCCAAGATGGTTGGAGCTGAGCCGATCCAAAGCCAGAAGCTTCATCCCAGTCTCCCACATTGTTGGTAAGGCCCCAAGCACTTGGCCCATTCTCTGCTGCTTTTCCCAGATGCATTAATAGGGAGTTGGATTGGAAATGGAGCAGCCCATGAGGGATGCTGGCATCACAGCTATGGTTTTATCTGCTAATCCTATAGCAGCAGCTCCTAAACCCTTCTCTGAGTAGGCAAGTTCATGTTGCACATGATCAGCCTTGCAAAAACAGCTAATCTTCGTAGCAACTGAACCAATTCACCCTCTCACCACCTGTGTCAGTACAAGACATTCTGTGGATCACATCCTTGCCAACATTTGCTCTTTCTGCCAATCCACTGGCTGGGAAGTGGAATCTCACAGGAAACTGCCATCCGTTCCTTCTTAAGCCAAGTGTCCATCAGCCATCTGGGGTTCCTCTGGACACCTCATGTGTGCTGTATCCTTGCCTGCCCTTTGGAGCTTTTCCTGCCAGTGACAGAAAAATCAGAGGACACAAGTAGATGTGGTTCGAGCAACAAGAAAATCCCATTTCACATCACAAGAAGCCCCAGGGTAGGCTGATGCACAGACTCCACTGGGCTGTATTCTTTTCATCTGCATTGGCCTACCTCTGGGACTTGGCCCTTGTGGTCCCTGGGGCCCTTCAGCCCCAGCTGTCTCATGGAGATCATGTCCATGGACAGAAGAAAATTGTGAGTTCTCTTTTATTTTAAACTTTAAACATTTTAAAAATTAATTTATTTTTAAAGATTTACTTATTTACATAGGGAAGGAGAGACAGAAAGACCTTCTACCTGCTAGTTCATTCCCTAAGTGGGCACAAAGATTTGAGCAGAGTTTCCATCCTGGAGCCCACCTCTCCCTAGGGGAGAGGGACAAGCACTGCAAACTTGCCCACATCTGCACCCATCAGTGACCAGAGGACCAAAATGATCATTGTTATAGTTAGACTAATCCTACCTGATGGGGCAAGGGAAAGCCCAGCCTCCTACGAAACTCAACCACCGAATCCCATCAGGGTTTTGTGTTCAGGGAAGAGAGGAGAGGCTGTCACTTGCAGTGGTGAAGGGCCCTGCTTTCTCCATGCTGGTCCCTGTGAGGTCCTCCTGTCCTCTGATCATTAACCTCTCATCTGCTTTATATGTTGCCAGCTTTGCCACCCAAGTTGTTGCTTATATTTCAAATTGGTTTATGACAGCGTGTTCATTTGGGAAATACCATAATGAAATCTGTCAGTCCTGGGTGAGTTGTGCTCCTTGCATGTACCAATCCCTTTTCCTCCTGCTGGATCCTAATTCTCTTAAAATTGTGTTGTTCCCTGTTGGGTCTTGAATTCATCTGGAATTAATACTTAGCGCACGGTGGGGGAGTTTCCGCGTGCAAAGCCCATGGTCCCAACGATCTGTCTTGAATGATCTCCCCTCTCTCACTGATTTGCAAGGCCACGGTCAGCATAAATCAGATTCCCACATCTGCTTAGACCTGGGGCTGAGCCTTTTACAGGTCCCTTTGTCTAGGCTGACACCCATCCCAAATTGTTTTAATTACTGTCCCTTTCATGGAAGCCTTGCTATCTGTTTGGGAATCTCCCTTCTTACTCTTTTTCAGAGTTGCTTAGTTATGTGAAAGATCCCATCGGAATACTCACTGGACACGCGTTTTCCCAACAAATCACCATGGACAGAAGTGCCTTCACGACAATCTTCTCAGCCCTAAACATTGGGTATCTTTGAACCATCCCATGCCTTGTAGAACCTTTGATAAACATGTGTTTATATCTTAAATACATCTTTGTAAGTTTCTTTCTAGGTTCTGTACATCTCTTACAGTATTTTTTTTATAAAGAGGCCATACTTTCTTTTTTTAATGCTTTAAAAAAAAAGATTTATTTTCATTGGAAAGTCAGATATACAGAGAGGAGGAGAGACAGAGAAGAAGATTTTCCATCTGTTGATTCACTCCCCAAGAGACTGCAATGGCCCAAGCTGAGCCAATCTGAAGCCAGGATGGTTGGAGCTTCTTTCAGGTCTCCCACATGGGTGCAGGGTCCCAAGGCTTTGGGCTGTCGACTGCTTTCCCAGGCCACAAGCAGGGAGTTGAATGGGAAGTGGGGCCGCCAGTATTAGAACTGGTGCTCATATATAGCAGCGGACGCAAGGTGAGGATTTTAGCCACTAGGCAACTACGCCAGGCCCAAGAGGCCATAATTCCTAATAAATTATTACTAGCCTATGGAAGTGCTGTTGGGTTGTGTCCTGGGGTTGAACGTTTTATCCAGCTATCTTTGCTAAACTCACTCATCTGATGGCCCCTGTACAATCCCTGGACTTTTCTCAGTAGCCACATCAGCTCCTAGAGATGCCTCGCGGGCAGCGACTTCTCAGCTTGGCTTTAGGCCTGGGCCACTCTGGCTTTGCCCTGGTATAAATAAATAACAGGCCCTTGGCTTTTTCCAGAGCCTTCCCGTTCACAAAGCACTTCTTCTCCCATTACTCCCATTGATCTTCAGGTCCCCACAGACAGACAGGGAGTGTCTGGTGGAAACAGCTCCGGGGTGCGAGTGAATGGGCTGAGGCACCTAGGCTTATCCCGGCTTCTTCCTTCTGAAATTAAATTTAGGCCACGAATGTTCCTTGACGTTCTCCAACTTCTGCTTAACGGCCTTGGCAGGCAGAGACTTGAAGAGGCCCTGTTGGGGCGTGAGTCCACGAGGGACACGGCGTGGGCGGGGGTGTCTTGGGTGCCCCAAATGGCAGAAGGGTGAAACTGGGAAAACGCTAATGTCCTAAATTCAAGCAGGGGCCGGGACAGCGGCGGGGAAGAGTCCACTACGCGCGGCCTACGCCTGCATGCAGATCGCCTATTCCACAGGGCAGAGCCGCCCTTCTCGGCCACCGGCCGACGGAAGCCGACCGTGGCCTTCCGTCGCCCACTCCGAGGGCCGCGCTCCCGCACGCACGCACGGTGACGCGCGTCCCGCCCCGCTCCTCCCCAACATGGCGCATGCGCGGGTCCCGCTGGGGCTGGCGATCGCGCCCTCTGGTGGCGGTCCGAGCGCGTCGCACCCTTTGTTGTGGCGCTGGGGTCGCCGAGGCGACGACGGGGGCGGGTGGTGAAGTGGGCGGAGTCTGCGTCGCAGCTGGGACGCTGACGCCGAGAAACCCTTTCCTTTGTCCCCTACGACAAGAGTGAATGCTCCGTTTTAGGTGCAGGGGAAGGAGAGCAAGATCGCGGGGGAGACATTTCAGAGAGATTTGGGGGGACTGACGCTTTCCTTCGCTGGCATGCGCAGAGATGGGGACAAAGGCACAGAGGGATGACTTTTAGGGGTCCAGGGGCTGACAGCCCGGAGACAGCTGCAGGGGGCGGCGCCGCAGGTACAGAGGAAGTGCAGGCTGAGAGGGAAGCGAGGGTGTGACACCCCAATGCAGGGAGCCACCAGCTGTGCTTAAGCCCTACATTCCTACTGATTCTGCTCCTACAAAAGCTCGTTGGGCGCCGCATTCCCAGCCCCACCTTGCACTGAGTCAACTTACTTTTTCGAAACTGGGAAAGAATCAAGTATTTATTCTGCCGTTCATGTCTGGACCTCACCTCTCAGGAACCAAAGTAGGATATCAGGGCTTTGTGTCCAGCTAATTAGGAAGGTGTACTCACATTTGGCCACCATTTGGAAAATAAAAATAAAAATAAAAACAAACCCTGATGGCTAAGGCTGTGGCACTGCCAAGACCACAGCGACGCCAAGCTGTGCCTCCAGATGGAAGGACCCTACCATCCATGAAGTGACCTGGCCCTCCAAAGTTGAGTCGGAGACTGGTCGTGCCTCTGGATCCAAGCAGGATTGATAGGAGGGAATAATTAATGGGAGGAGTTAAAGAACACCATGGAGATGCAGTTAGCATCTGTGGAAAAGCCACAGCACACCTGAGCTGGTTCCTTCCCCGAGGAAGAAAAGAGGGAGAGGAAGAGGAGGGGAGGAAGCCAGGCAGAGGAGAAAAGGAGAGAAGAAGAGAAACAAAAGGATTTGAACCGTGGTGTAAAGCTTTCTGAAAGATCTGTCCATCAGATCCAGTGGGTACACTCATGGGCTTCAGATCGCACAAACACATGACAACGAGGGACATTTATGAGTAACTGGAAATTTACACTGGAAGTTGGATGTTAAGGAACTATTATCTTAATCATTGGTTGTTATGTGATCATGTTGAGTCATTATCTTTTTGGAAACACACACTGGAACACTGACAGGAAATTGGACAGGAGGGAGTAGGGAAATCGGGAGGGGGAAGACAGGAGGTGTTTCCTGGACAGGGAGACTCTTTATTGGCTATTCTGTGGACTTCAAAAACCTATTTCAGGGCTCCACTGGGTAGCCTAGTGGCGAACTTTTCCTTGCATGAGCCAGGATCCCATAAGATCACAGGTGTGATTCCTGTCTGCCCTGCCCCCCTCATTGGCTGCTCCACTTTCCATCCAACTTCCTGCTTGTAGCCTGGGAAGGCAGTGGAGGACGGCCCAAAGCCTTGGGACCCTGCATCCATGTGGAAGCCTGGAAGAGGGAATTCCTGGCTCCTGGCTTCAGATCGGCTCAGCTCTGACCATTGCAGCCAGATGGGGAGTGAATCAGTGGACAGAAAATCTTTTTCTTCAAATCTCCTCCTCTCTGTATACCTGCCTTTCCAATACAAATAATAAATAAATAAATCTGAAACCATCAAACAAACAAAAACACCTGTTTCAGAACCAGAAGCCTAAAGACCCTGTTGTGACCTACTTCTCCTGCCCACTGATGGACCCCAGCAGACCTCAGGGTGCTAGGTATCAAGTAGCAGGTTGGTGTCCAGACAGCTGGTAGGTGGGAGTGGTGGTGGAGGGGATGTCCTGCTGCCCCAAGTCTGGGGAGGCTTTTTGGAGATTTCCAATTGGCTCCTGGGACTGACTCTTCCCCTTGAATAGGGTGAAGAAGGAAAATGCTGTGGTTAAGGCAGGCCGGTCCCAGTGGGTACCGGTCACATTGGGCTCAGGCACTGCCACCTTAAGACAGCAGAGGGTGTAAGCTGGTGGCTCCAAAAATAGCAGGGGCAGCAGCAGGAGGGAGTGAGGGGTCATGTGCAGAAGCTCCGGGACTGAGGCCTGCAGGGCTGCCTGGCTCTAGCATCTCCGCCCTCTGACTCTCCCTCAGCCACCAGACCCTTTTTTTCCTCTCTCTTTCTCCATTTCTGGGAAGGCGGAGGGATGCCAAGGTGATTCTGGGACAAACACATGCCCACATGCTGACTTTGGAGTCTGGTGGCTCTGTAGGAACCCATGGGGCAGTCAGGTGGGATTCAAGGGAGAAAAAGCCAAGGACTGCATCACCTGCCCACTCTGCAGGGTTACCCAGGACAGTTCCCGGGACTTGTGGTGGCAGGGAGGGAGGTGGAGCTCGGGGGAGGCAGCAGCACTGTTTGTCTGGAGGCCTGATGGGATGCTCACTCTAACACCACGGGTTTGGAACCTTGGCAGCCCTGGATCCCTGGGGACACAGCCTCGCTGCTTGCTGTGAGTGGGAGGCAGGAGAGAGATGGGCACCCCCACCATCTGTCTTCTTCACACCTGGACCAAGGTCCTTGGCAGAGACAGGACCCAGTGCTGGGGCAGTGTCTCAGACAAGTCCAGCCCTGTTGGGGTTCGTGCAGTAGATGTGGGGGGCACGAAGGTGTGAAGAGTATTGTTCCATTGCAGGCAGGGCCGCAAGGAACTTCCCGCTGTTTGGCAGGGTCCGCCTGCCCAGTGGACATCACCTGAATGTAGCTCCACCTTCTTTTGCATGGACACCGGACCACCCTGCGAAAGAATTTTAATCCATCCAGGCATTGTTTGCTACTGTGAGGCTGGCCTCTCACTCAACGTGAGCTTGGAGGTTAATGTCAATACTGATGTCTTGCAAAAGGACCTTCTATTATTCCTACTGTCTTGGCTGTCCCCATCGACCTTATGCTAATCAAGGGACCTATATTTAGGGTTTCATTCTTTCCTCATTCTTTAGATTCCCCTTTTCTTTGTGATACAAGATTGAGTTGTAGGATAAGAATTGTAGCAGGAACTTCTATTGTTTCTAGATAAAACTAATGGCAGAATTATCCTTAGAATTTCCCAACTTGACCATGATGTAAAAAGTCTGAGCCAGAGTTTGACTGATTTTGTATAAATAAAGCGGACAGCTTTTATGCATTGTCCATTATGATCATGAAATCCTAGTCGTCCGTCTTTCTTTCTTTCCTCTTTGCGCCTCATCCACTCACCCTTCGCGAGTTCCGAACTCAGCTGGAGCTGGACTCCAGCACAGCCCTGGCTGTCATTTTCTGTCAGGCACTTGGCTAAGCACCTGCCATCCACTGGTTACAAGCGGCCTTGGAGAGGTGATACCCCCATGCGTGCATCAGTCTCACCATCTGTAAATGGGCCAGCAGTAGTATCTGTGTCATGGAACAGCCCAGCTGTGATCGCTCCACAGCTGCATGACATCTCCACCGTCTATTTCCTGTCTCTATGTGGCTGGTCTGGAGACAAAGGGCTGGGCGGGGGGGGGGGTGGGCAGTCAGCTTTTATCAGTAAGGAAACTGTCACACGGCCCATTTAGTCCAGGGGAGGGGAGACACTAACATCACCAGATCAGAGCAGTGTGAGTGCTGTGTAGTGTGGGGTGAGGGCCATCTGCTGGCTTAAGAGTAGGCAGGGGGTCCAAGAGCTGGGGCGCCCTGTGCGTGGTCTAGAAAGGCGAGTGGGACTTGCCAGCTGGAGGAAGGCAGGTAGTGGTGGACTGCAGGTCCAGGGACAGCTTAAGAGAACCCACCAAACCAGGAAGGAGCTGACCAGGGCTGGACAGGAACCTAGGGACTGGGGCGGGGAGCCAGGTATATGTGAGGGGGAGTATGTGTGGGGCTTCTGGAAAGGATGATCAGGTAGAAGGCCCTGAGAGCTGCCAGCAGGGGTAGAGTTTGGAAGTCAAGGGCGATGGGTCATGAGACGACTGAGATGGTTTAGAAAATGCAGTGTTGTGAGATGGCTGGAGGGATGTTGTGGCAGAGGACAATGTCCACACCGACTTTGGGCCTGCACTGGGCTGGAAAGGAAGCCCAGTTGGGTCTGCTCTGGGCAGGGAGGGCAGACCCAATTGCTCTGGGACACCTCCCTGCTCCTCCCTCCTTCCTCACCCCTCCTCCTGCCCCTGTCTCTGTCACTCATCGGGCCAGCTGCCTGGCCAGCCATGGCGGCGTTCCTCTGGCTCGCTCTCCTTGTGGGCAAGTCGGGGCCTCCTGGGTGGGGAGGGAAGGGAGGCCTGGGAGGAGGTTTGGAATTAGGGGTGATGTGCTGAAGTAGATAGGGCCTCTGGGGAGGGGACTGAGGGTGCGGTAGAGCCCCAGGGACTTTGGGGTTCCTGCTCAGCCAGCAGGAGCTGCGAGGGTGGGAGGCTAGGAGCTGGAGTGTGGGGGCTGGGTGTGCTGAGGACTGCAGATGTCCTAGGGCCCCCGGGGTGCACCTTGAAGTGCAAACCCATGGGACATGGGCCCTTTAACAGGGCAGGCTGGGGCTCTGCTCTACGGAGCTCAGGCTAAATTTGGCCTGAAGAGGAAAGGGGGGTAGTAAAGGGACAGGGCCCTGTTGCTGTCTCTATGGCAGCCTAAGAGGCTGTGTTTGTTTGGGAGGGCAGGTGGGGGTGCTGGGTCTCAGGATGGCTCCCAGTCCTTAAAGGCATCTTCTCTGTCCAGGTTTTGTTCTAAGTACCCGGAACATGCTCACATATGACACATGCACACACGAAATAAGCACAGACCTCCTGGTCTCACATCAGCCCCTGCCCGCTGTAACCCCATCAAGAGAAGGGGTGGAAAGGTTGTTGGGGGCCAGGAGGGCGTGTCCTCCCATGAGGACTCATGGGGGTTCTTTTCCTGGGAGCTGAGGGGGAAAGGCTGGAAGACTGGAGGGTGCTGTGTGTGTGTGTGTCTGAAGCTCCTGGGGTCCTTGCAGGTTGTCTGGCAGAGCTGGGGGCCACCGAGGCCCAGCGGACCAGCCTGTACCCACTGGTGGGCCGTTTCTTTGTGCATACCTTGGAGCCTGCGACCTTCCTGAGCCTCCCAGAGCACGGTGAGGGGAACCTGGTGATAGGGGGTGGCTGGGCTGCCCCTGAACCTGGTTCCTGCCATGCCCCAATGCCTTCTGCTTGTCCCACCAGCTGTCCCATCCACCATCCCCGTCACCTACCATGCCCACCTCCAAGGACACCCAGACCTGCCTCGGTGGCTCCGCTACACCCAGCGCAGCCCGCACCACCCTGGCTTTCTCTACGGCGTTGCTACTCCAGAGGATCTGGGGCGTCAGGTCATCGAGGTGCTTGTGGGATGGGGCTGGGAGGACCCTTGGGAACTTCCTTCCTAACACAGAGCCCTGCCAGCCCAGAGTGGGGGTTTTACTTGCCTTCATTTGCATCTCATTTACATGTCACTAGTCCAGGTCCTCAGTTCCCAGCTATGCCACATCCCGCTTCACCTTACCCCTCAGCCATCTTCCCCACCTGTCCCCAGGTCACAGCCTACAACCGCAACACCTTCGACACCGCCCTGCAGAGGCTAACACTGCTAATCCGGGACCCAGAAGGTACCTGCCGTCCAGCCCTGCTGCCTGCCCACTCACCACATTCGGGGGGGGTGGGGTGGGGTTCTCCCCTGGAAAGGGAAGGAGTGCTGTGGAAGGTAGAGACCTGGGGATGGAAGTGGGGAACAGGGTGTCTTGGGAGAAGGGGTTCCCCTCCAGTTTGTGGTAGTGAGCACTGGTGGATAGTCAGTGCTGGAGTTTTTTCCTGGGCTGCTCTGTACACATACCTGGACAGGCCTTTGCAGGGCACAGAGGCTGTGGGTGCTGAGCAAGGACCTTGGACATGGAGGTGGGGAGGAGGAGCTGGGTGAAGTTGGGGGAAGATCTGGGGCTAAGGGTAGCTGGGAATGGCACAGTCTGAGGTGCTCCCATCCCGGCTTCCCCAGGCCCCCCACTGCCCTACCAAGCTGAGTTGCTGGTACGCAGTCATGATGTGGAGGAGGTGCTGCCTTCGACACCTGCCAGCCACTTCCTGGCTGCCTTGGCAGGTCTCTGGCAGCCTGGGGAGCTCAAACTGATCAATGTCACTTCGGCTTTGGATCGTGGGGGCCGTGTCCCCCTGCCCATCGGAGGTCAAAAGGAAGGGTAAGGGTATGACCCAGGCTTGCCTCTTGTCTGGGTGGTGGGCATAGGACAGGAGGCTCCCTAGGTTGCAGGTGGATTTGGCATACCATTGGGTGCCCACAGGGTGTCAGCATTTATCTCTGCTTCATCATTCTCTGGCCACAACCTTATCATCCTCTCGTGCTTCCTGGGCCCCAACCCTACTTGCTCTGAATTCTGCATCTTGGTGTCCCATGAGAATGTAAACATTCCACCCACCAGAGGATGTTCCTGGTGGGCTGGGACCATCTTAGAGTGCAGGAACCCATCTTTGGATCAGTCTGGAACTGCCCAGCAGGATGGGACCCCATGCCCTGCCTCCCTCCCGGCTAACCATGGCTTCTGTTTGGGCCCAGGGTGTACATCAAGGTGGGCTCTGTCTCTCCCTTCTCCACCTGCCTGAAGATGGTTGCGTCCCCTGACAGCCATGCCCGCTGTGCCCGGGGCCAGCCTCCACTTCTCTCCTGCTACGACTCCTTGGCACCTCACTTTCGCATTGACTGGTGCAATGTGTCCCTGGTAAGGAAGGACCTGGGCCTGGCTCCTGGGGTGTGGCAGGAAGGGTACCCATCACAATCCCTGACCTCACCCACTCACTCTCCCACCTCTTCCTGCTTCCATGTCTGAGCTCTCCAGCCTGTACCTCTGTATATCTCTGTCTTGTCTCAGTCTTGTGAGCTAGCTTTATTACTCTCCCTTTGCCTTCCTCCTTGCCTCATCTCTATTACGCGCACGGGCGCTCACACACACACTGAAGTTCCACATTGCGCCACAAGAGGACGACAGAGCCCACAATCCTCTCATGGGATCTCCAGGTCCTTGTCCCAACTCTATTGTCCCCAGAAGCTAGTTCTCTTCCTCTCCCATCCCGAGGGGGAGCCTTTTGTGCCACAGCCCAGTCTGCTCCCCTCTGACTTGTCACCTATCTAGTGCCACCTAACATACTTGTCTGCCATGAAGAGCAGATAGCTCTCCATATTGTAAACCAAAGCTGCTCTCTCCACTTGGGAACGTGGAGCTGGGGGCAGGGTGTCGTTTGAATCCTGCCCCACTTGGGCAGGAAGCTGTGTGCGCTCTTCCTGTGGGTTGGCCAGTGTAGATGTAGTAGGAACTCGCTTGGGGTCACACAGCTGGAGGCCAACGCTACATGCTGGCACTGTCCAATTACATCATGTCCCGCTGTCACTCATAGGGACAGGCAGTGCTGTCATTGTTCTGACTTTGCAGCTGAGGAAACTGAGGCACTTAAAGGCCAATCATCAGCCAAGCACTGGCTGGAGTTGTGATTCGAACCTCAGAGCTGTGCGCTAACATCTGTGTTGTCCTGCCTCTCCTAGCATTTATCCCCTGGCTCCTTGAGGAAGGCAGGCAGGCAGCTATGGTTGCTCAGCACAATGGGCGAGGCTCTCTCCTCTGGGGTCACTGTGTCCAGGAGCGACCATTCCCTGGGTCAGCCCTGGCTCTCTGTGCAGGTGGACAAGTCGGTGCCAGAGCCTGCAGATGAGGTGCCCACCCCGGGCGATGGGATCCTGGAACATGACCCGTTCTTCTGCCCGCCCACCGAGGCCACGGCCCGGGATTTCCTGACCGACGCCTTGGTCACGCTGCTGGTGCCCCTGCTGGTGGCCCTGCTGCTCACACTGCTGCTGGCCTATGTCATGTGCTGCCGGCGGGAGGGGCGGTGAGTGTTGGGGAGGGCACCCACTGGTGCTCATAAGCCACAGACTTTGTGGCTCTTGGCTCAAGGAGTGGGGTTCTCAGCTAGAAAGGGGCTGAGGGCCCCTTTTCCGGGCAGCAGGAGCTGCAGTCCAGCCCGGCCTGGCACCAGGAGAAGGGGGTGGATAATGGTGAGCAACCTCAGACACCCGAACCCTGGGGACCCCTAGGAACAAAGTCTCCAGCCCCACTAACATGTCCCTTGTTATTCTGCAGGCTGAAGAGAGACCTGGCCACCTCTGAGTGAGTAGGGAAAACTGGGTGCTGGGTGGGGGAGCCCCCCTAGGATGCTCCTCCTCCTAAGTCTATAGGCAGAGCAGATTTCCCTGGGAATGACAGGAGTCACTGGGCACCACCAAACCCCAGCCCTGGGCTGATTAGGTGTAGTGCCAATGGCTTGCCCATTCTTGCTGTTTTGTGGTTGGTTGAGGATGGGGAAGGGGACTTGCTCCCACCTTGGGGGAGATGTATGATGAGACCCAAGAGATTCCCCAAAGGTACTCCTCCTACTCATTCCCACCATATGTCAGACACCCAGGGCTGCAGGCCAGGTTCCGCCTTGCTCTTGTTTGGTCCTTCCCAGCCTCAGTGTTTCCACCTGGAGGCAGTGGTCAGGCTGGCAGAGGTCCACAGGTACACCCCATTTGGCTCACCTTACCCCAGACCATGACACTCTTTGTCTTGCCAAGCCTCTCCTATCTTTCCTGCCTAATCCCTCCTCCTCTCTGGCCTTTCCTGCTCCCTCAAACCCCAAAGACTCCAGGAGACAGTTATGAAATAATTTAGGCTCCTTTTATTCTCGCTGCACTGAGCCTAAGGTGGGCCAGGCACCCCCAGCTCGCTGGCCTGGCCTGGCTCATCAATTGTGGCTGCGTTTGGCCACCTTGCGAACTCCTTTGAAAGGCCGCTTTCGGCCCTCTGTGGAGTCTAGTGGTGACACGCTCTGTCTAGCCTGACGGCGCCCAGCCCGGCGCTGCCCAGACTTTTTCTGCTTCTGTCCTCTCTTGGTCTTGAGCTTGAACTTGGAGGCTTGCTTCCTGCTCAAGCGGAAGGAGCCCGTGGTACCCTTGCCGGTCACCTGCTTGAGCAACCCCTTGTCCATCAGCTTGTTGAGTGCGAGCTTGAAGCGCCACGTGTTGCGGGTCATGTCGTAGCCTGTGGCAGCCAGCGCCTTCTTCAGGGCAACCTGGGACACGCGACTGCGACGCCCCTTGTTGGCAAGAAACCCCAGGATCACCTTGGACATGCTGGGCTTCCGCTGGACTTTGGGGTGGCTGCGAGACCCTGGCTCATTGTTGGTGAGCCCCGATGTGCTGGCCTGCTGGTTTTCACCCAGGCTGATGTTTGAGACCAAGGGTGCAGAGGGTGGCAGCGGAGATGTGTCTTTCTGCATCTCTTCCCTGGCTTCGTGAGGGGAGTTAGGCGAAAGGACCTCCAGGGTGGCGGCTGGAAGTCTCCTGGGGCTGCTCCTTGGTGGGTGGGTAAGGGGGGTCCCAGCTGCTGCTGCCCTCCGAGGCTTCCTTGTGGAGCTCCAGCCCGCGGCTTTCTGTGGACAGCTAGAGGGAGGACCACAGATGAGCAACCCCAGCTGGCCCCAGCAGACTTGTGCCAGCAGTGCAGGGGGACAGTCAGGTGATCTCTGTGGTGACCTCAGGCAGACATTGTGAAGCCACCAGAATCCTGCAGGGGTCACAGTGGGTCATTGTTCCCTCCTGGGAGGGGCCAACCTGGGATGCTAGGTGGCTGTGGGCATCTGACTTACTGAGAGGGTTGTGACCATGGAGCCTAGAAGGGTGTGCTCACATATGTGTGTCTGTGTATGTGTGTGTGTGTATACCTGCAGGTGCAACTCATTTTTTAAAAAAAATTATTTTTATTGGAAAGTCAGATTTACAGAGAGAGGGAAAGACAAAGGGAAAAATCTTCCACCCGCTGGTTCACTCCCCATGTGGCTGCATTGGCTGGAGCTGAACCGATCCAAAGCCAGGAGCCAGCAGCTTCTGAGTCTCCTATGCGGGTGCAGTGTCCCAAGGCTCTGGGCTGTCCTCGACTGCTTTCCCAGGCCACAAGCAGGGAGCTGGAAGGGAAGTGGAGCAGTTGGGCTACAAACCAGCGCTCATATGGGATCCTGGTACAAGCAAGGTGAGGATTTAGCCAATAGGGTATCATGCTGGGCCCAGGTGCAACCAATTGCAAGATATTCTGAGTCCCATTAAAAATTTTGTTTTGGGCCTGTTGGCATGGCCTAGCAGCTAAAGTCCTCACTTTGAACGTGCCAGGATCCCATATGGGTGCCGGTTCTAATCCAGGCAGCTCCACTTCCCATCCAGCTCCCTGCTTGTGGCCTGGGAAAGCAGTCTAGGATGGCCCAAACCCTTGGGACCCTGCACCCGTGTGGGAGACCTGGGAGAGGCTCCTAGCTCCTGGTTTCAGATTGGCACAGCACCAGCTGTTGTGCTCACTTGGGGAGTGAATCATTGGAAGGAAGATCTTTCTCTTTGTCTCTCCTCCACTCTGTATATCTGACTTTGTAATGAAAATAAAATAAATCTTTTAAAAATAAGTAAACAAAAAGTAGGAGCTGGTGCCTTAGCTCAACAGGCTAGTTTCCAGGCCACAAGCAGGGAGCTGGATGGGAAGTGTAGCTGCCTGGATTAGAACCAGCGCCCATATGGGACCCTGGCGCGTTCAAGGCGAGGACTTGAGCTGCTAGGCCATGCCGCCAGGCCCACTTTTTGTTTATTTTTAAAGGCTCTTTATATTTATTTGAAAGTGGGGAGAGAAAGAGAGAATGAGAGAGAGAGAGAGAATCTTCTGTTTCATTGCTGGTTCACTTCTCAATCACCGACAACAGCTGGACTGGGCCAGGCTGAAGATTCCATCCAGATCTCCCATGTGGGTGGCAGGGACTCAAACAATGGGTGATTAGCCACTGCCTCCAGGGAGGTGGGCGAGACACAGAGAAGTTGGGACTTGAACTGGCACTCCCATAAAGGGTGTGGATGTCCCAGGTAGCTTAGTGCCTTGAATGGTGAGGTCCACTCCTATGTTTATTTTCTATTTCCATTTTTATTTTGTAGATCCCCCATCGAGATCAGTGATCCCCATGTATATTTCACATGCAGGATTTTGTACCCCCTCTCCCCAGTTTGAAGGTTGTGCCAAAGTGGATCAATTATTATACTGCGGTGGGGGACACTGTCTTGGAACCGTGTCCTCGCTCACCCCCTCTGACCTCCCTGGCTCAATTTTGTGAAGCCCAGATAGTGCAGGAAAATGTGCTTTTTTCCGCCATTGGAATCGATAACCAGTTTTACTGCTTGTGGTAGCAGCCTTCCCTGCTCTGCGTTTTGTGTTGATTTACTGTTACAAATCCCCACATCTTTGCTGCTTCAGTGTCTTTCATTTTTCAAGTTGTCCACACCCTGTGATTCTGTTGCCTGGCTAGGCACCTGTGTCAGGCGGTATCGGTCATAAATACCCCTCCAAGCCCCAACCACTCCTCCTGTGTCTGTAGGGGCGAGGGAGGCGGGGCCAGGGCAGAGAAGGCAACTCAGTGTGTGGGAGGTAGAGCTGGAATGGGTGAGTCTTGGGGCCAATGTGCTTGTGAGGGATGGCTGTGTGGGTGTGTGAGGGCTGCAGGTCATGATGGGGTCTGGCTTCTCCCCTTGCTCTAGAAAATCATCTCCAGAAGATTTTGCACCTGTGTGTTGTTGCCAGAGTAATGAGACCCAGCTGTGGGGCTGGGGGTGGAGAAGGAGCCCATTGACTCAGCCCCTTCCGGGCCCCAGGGCCAGCAGGGTGGGGATGGAGACAGCACCTGCTGGCGCTCTCCATTTCAGCCTCCGCCCACGCTTTGTGCTCTCTCTACTCCAGTGTCCCCTTTGTCTAGGAATGGAAACTTGTGTTTTTGAACTGCTCTGCTTGCCAAATTCCAGACTGGAGAGCTCATCTTGACCCTCCCCCTGGCCTCCGACGGTGTCTCCCGCGCTTCCCGCCATGGCCCCCAGGGGGCGCGTGGCGCTCAGTGGGGAGCTGCAGACTTCTGGGCTCTGGCCTTCAGCTGGAAGGCCTCTAGCTGGACAGGAGGGTGGGGAGAGCTCTGATTTTAACGAAGAGTGGCAGGTGGGGCCCCTTCAGCCCTGCCTGGAGCCTGGAAGAAAACTGATTTTTGTTTTTTTGTAATGGAAACTCTATACTGTCTGATGTCACCTCGGTGTAGCCTGGACAAATGTCACCAGACCAGGCAGGCAAATACTTCTGTTTAAAAGGGCTGGGGAAACACCTGTTGAGTAAAGACCAGATTAATCAGTGCTCTGGTTATGATGAAATAACAGTGATGATGGCAACAGCAACTGGAGGCTTCCTGTAGTAGCAGCTACTGCTTGCTGTAAGGCTGAGTGACGGATGTGCCACCTGCTTTTCATTTGTTAACTCACTTGACTCATGTCGCTGTTTACATCTGAGGAAACCAAAGCACAGAGAGGTTAAGTAATTTTCCCAAAGTTACACAGCCATGCAACCTGAAGTAAAACGCAAAGCAAGCCCAAGTGTTTAACTGTTGCGGAACCCTCCCTGCCCCTCAGGGCTCACGTAAGGCTATGAGAAGGTTGCTGAGAACGAGGCTGAGCTTGCAGAGGAAGCCTTGAAGCTAGAGCCAGTGAAGGCTTTTCAGACCCCAGTGCTGCTGGGGTGTCAGCTTGTCTGGAACTGAGATGGGGGTCAGCTCTGGTGTTGGGAGGTGGTCATTTGCGGGGGAGAGGGCAGGTTGGGCTGGGTTTGGGAGGGAGCCGGAGCTTAAAGAGCAGCCTGAGGAGGCATGCACGGGATGAGCCGGCACAGGTTGACTGTGCACAGGGAAGTGGTCTGAACAGTGGTAGGGAAGTAAGTGGAGGTGGGAGGGGAAGGCAGATTTGCTAGGGATGAGTGTGCGAGTGTGTGTATGTGTGTGTGTGTGTGTAGGAAGCTGGGGCACAGAGTGAGTGGGCAGTTTGAGGCCGTCTGCATGCAGAGCCCATGCCTCCACGCACCGCACCAGGCAGGTGCCAAACAACAAGTTTGTTCTCCGCTCCCACGTGGAGCTGCCAGGGGTTGGGGGTGGAGTGGGAGAAGTAGAGCAGGGGCTGACTCTGAGGCAGTGCAAGCCTGGGGTCCTGCAGGACTGGCTCCCCGCTGACCACCACCCCTGCCCTGTGCTGCCAGCATCCAGATGGTTCACCACTGCACCATCCATGAGAACACGGAGGAGCTGCGGCAGATGGCGGCCCGCCGCGAGGTGCCCCGGCCGCTCTCCACCCTGCCCATGTTCAATGTGCGTACGGGCGAGCGGATAGCCCCACGCGTGGACAGTGCCCAGGTGCCCCTCATCCTGGACCAGCACTGAGAACCCAGACAGGTGGGTCATGCGGGGTAGGGCCAGTCTTATTTCTGGGACCAAGGGGGCCTCCATCTCAAGGCTGGGCAGGTAATGGGGTATGCCAGGGCTGTACCACTCAGTCCCACGCAGAGGTGGGACAGTAGGAGGGCTGGGGTCCAGCTCGTTCACACCTCCCTTCTGCTGCCTCTGTACTGCTTTCAGTTCTAGTCTTGGCTGGATCTTCTTTTTTTCTTTGCAACCAGAGACCAATGATGACCACATCCCACCTGCTGCTTCCGGCTCCTGGACCAGCTAGACTTCATGCTCTGAGCCAGTGGGGTGTGTGGGGGATGGAGAGGGGTGAGAACCGACAGAATAAACAGCTGCTCATCTGTGGTGCCCTGTACCTTCTCCTCTGGTCTCCCTACTCCAGGACCCAGCAGGGCTTTCAGCTGTCCTCTGAAAGAAGAACGGGGGAGGGGCTGCCACTTACAGCCTTCATATGCACCTGGCAGCAAAGGAATAGCTGGGGTCATCTCTCCTCATAGACCAAGGTCTAGGGACAATGAGGGATACAGCACGGGTTGGAACTTGGCAGGTCTGCCTCTGCTTCGTTCACCAGAGGCAGATATCTGGGAGGTTGTGTCTGGAGCTGACCAGTTGCCTTGGAAGGAGACATCCTCTGTGTGTTAGGTCAGTGCTGGTCACCGCAGTGCTGGGCTCTGCCCCCCACGGCACCTCCTGTGATCCTAAGGCTCCTCCCAGGCTGCCTTCCCGGCACCCCCTGCTCTCTGCGAGAGGCGCCTGCCAGGCCCAGTTGTTCCCATCTGTGGCCAGCTCTGGATTGCGCCCTAGGAGATACAGCGTTTGTTCACAGGAGGCGAAAGGCAGCCTGAGGGACAGTTGCAACTGGGCATGCTTACAGCTCTCAAGAAGTTGCTGCTTCCTTGGGCCCAGTTAAAGCTTCTGCTGGTCCTGCCTTCTGGGCAGCCCCCAGCTCAGTTCCCGGAGTCACCAAACATGTTAGATCCCCAGGCATTTGCAGTAGCAGGCAGGCAGACAGGGCGCAGCTCCAGCCAGCGTGTGTGCTCTGTTCACGCATGTGGTCCCAGCCGCTCTATGGGTACCTGCGCAAGCTGACACATGCAGCCTCTGCCTCCTGCCTGCTTAGGCTCATCCGACCCCACACAGGAGCTCGGCAGTGTTGGCTTTGGGAGGCTGGGAGCAGCCAGGCCAGCTATCTGGGGAGGCTCCTTGCCCCGTCATCATCGTCCTCTCTGTTCTGTCTGCTGCCTGCCCAAGGGCCAGGGTTTCTGTCTGCTGGCCAGAGAAGGAGGTGGGAGGCTATTTAGGGCCTTGGCAGTGCTGCCCTCCCTGTCCAGCTCCCAGGAGCACACGGGAGCCTGGCTGACGGCCCAAGAGGAAATGGCCCAGACAAATAGCCGGGAGGATGGTGTGACTGCTGAGGACACAGAGCTGTGCCCGGCGCGTACACACACACACACACACACACGCAGACAACTTGAGACTTACTAGGGTGAGCCTCTGCTGGATGGACAAGAGCCCACCCAGCAGCCCCACCCACCCTCACCACCCCCTATAGTTTCTCTCCTCTAGTCCCACTGTGGCACCACCCACATAGTATCTTTCACTGTCCCCAAATAACTCCTAGGAACTGAGGGACAACCACACCTCCATCAGACGGCCCTGCGGGCACAGGTGGCCCCAGCTCCAGGTGCTCACTTACAGACTCAAATCACAGTTCAGCTGCCCTACAGCTGTCTCTTATGGCTGCATTTGAATTGCTCATCAGTTAAGAGTTGCAACCAATGCGGTACTGGCTGGCAGGAAAGCCTGTGAGGGCTGAGCCTGTGGGCACGATCTGTGCCAGCCCTTGCAGGACCCCCGAAGCCCACAGAGTGCCCCTGCTCCCCAAGATCCTACATACTAACAGCCTGCATTTTCATGTCCTATGGGATGGGAAGTTTAGTCTCTCCATATGAACTTGCACCACCAACCACAGCAGCCACTGGCCACACAGGGCCACAAGGGGCACTGAAAATGTGGCTGGCCCAAATTGAGATGGAGCATAAGGAGGAAATAATCGTCTTTCGGGATAGAGTATGTTCAATTAAAGACATTTATAGTAATTTTACCTGTTTGTTATTTAAAAAAAAAAATAGGTGTTAGGTCCCAGCATAATGGCTCAGTGGCTAAATCTCCTCCTTGCATGCACCGGGATCCGTCGCATGTGGGTGCGCCGATTCATGTTCTGGCTGCTCCACTTTCCATCCAACTGCTTCATTTGTGACCTGGGAAGGCAGTGGAGGATGGCCCAAGGCCTTGGGACCCTGCACCTGTGTGGGAGACCTGGAGGAAATTCCTGCCTCCTCGTTTCAGAATTGGCTCAACTCTGGCAGTTGCAGCTACTTTAGGGGTGAACCCATGGACAGAAGATCTTTCTCTCTGTATCTCCATCTCTCTGCAGGGTTTGCCTTTCCAACAAAAATAAAAATTAAAGATGCTTGCTAGAAAAAATGTAAAAGGAAAGCGTGTGCTGCATTTTGGTCGGGGAGTGCTGACTTCGTGGCTCTTTTTCTCTACCCTAGGTTGACCACCGAGACCCTTTCCATGCTTCTACAAAACATCTGCTCCATGCACACAGTCACGAATGGAATGGGAAGTTTAGTCAGAGCTGGGAGAATCTGCTCATAGCGGGGAAGCCCCCGGACTTTGACTCTATGACCTAGTGGTGCTGCGGTCTTGGCTATGGCTTTCCTCTGCTTCTGTACTTTGCCCTTCTAGCTCCTCCTACCATCTTCACATGCAGCAAAAACCCCACTTTCTCTGGCACCTGTGGGTATCAAACTTACCTCCCTCCAGGCTGATGTTATCTGTGCCTGGCCCGGCCTGGAGATCTCCAGATGAGTAAAGGTCCATGGCTTCCTGGCCAAAGCCAGCCTTCTTGCAGAGTCTCCCCTCCAGGATCTTCCATCTGCCTTCAGCCTGATGCAGTGCCCTCAAAGGGCACACATGAAATAGACTCAGCTCTGGCCAATTGCCTGGCTCCTATAGATGCTGGGTACCCCTGCAACCACACTCCGCCTCTCTGGATTTCCCTAATTCATCCCCATTCACGTAGGCCTGGGCCTTCATCATCCCTGGTGCCACAGCCCCCTGAATTCTCAGGGGTTACCTATAGTACAGGTGCCTGCCCATCCCAACACACCTACATCGAGGCAAGGTCCCTTGTGTGATCAATACCCCAAGAGGCCTAGAAGGGACCTCTGTGGCACCTTTCTCCTACTCAGATCCCAGTATCAGCCTCCCTGGGGGGCGCTGGCACTGGGGGTGGGAGGTGGTGCTAGCTCAGTGCCCTCATCATCACACACCCTCGGGCCCTCATCACACCCAGCCTCTTTATTCCCCCTCACATAAGGCTGCCACCCTCCAGCTAAGAAGCCCTTTCACAGCCTCTCCTCCCTCAGTCACACTCAGCACTGTCTATCTAGAAAAGTTTCAGAGGCACAGCAGGGGAAGGCAAGACTAAGAAACTGGAAGAAAAAAAATAACATAGGCCAAATCCACCCTCTTCTCACCGCAGACAGTCTACCAGGAGCCAGGCTCTAAAGGGGCCCAGAAATTCAAGACCGCAGTACAAATAAAAATTCCAGAGGAAATGTCTTCTCTTTCTAGACGTTTCCATATTCAGTCTCTTGAAAATTCATCCCCAGATGTGTAGAGTTCCTTTCCAAACAGGGCAGACGAAGCTGAGTTCTGCAGAGCAGTGCTGGGGTGGCCAGGGGCAGTGGGGTCTCCGGGGGAGGGTCCGGGCGGCTGTATTTAGGGCGGTTGTGACGTCAGCAAAAAGGAGGGCTTCAGCTGGCGATTCAGGACAATAGCTGCTTTGTCCCCCTTTCCTCTAGTCCTGCTGATGCTGAAACCACACACCAGCCCCCTCCCCCCATGCTGCGTGGCATGGCCTTGGAGCTGCCTGTTGGGACCCCACTGCCACACAAGCCAGCCACACGGGGCCTGTAAACCCCTGCACATACATGTGTGCACAGCACATGTCCTTTTACACACCCATGTGCAGGCTTGTACATGGGACAGCACTGCCTATTTGCTCCTTGGCCCCGGACAGTTGCCCCAGCCTGATGCAACCCCCAAACTGATCACAATTCAATGAAAACAGAACTTGCCTTCCTCAGTCACAACAACCCCATTTCAAGTGCGAGCAGCCATTGTCCTGGACAATGGCAGCGATCACAAAGTGGGTCCACCTGTCAATCAGCAGGCATGGCACAGCCTTGGGGGACTTGTGCACAAGTAAGCCTTCATTTCTAGGTCAGAGTTCCGTGTCCTGGTGGACTAGTTCCCTTTCTACAACAGTCCACGTTGTGGTAAAAGTGCTCATGATGAGCACTGTCACAGAAGATGGCATCTCGGCTCATCTGTCACTCTCTAGTGCCCCCCGCCATGCCGAGGGGGGCTTCTCCTGCCTTTAGTCGGGGAGCCCAGGGTCTCCTTCCTGTCTCCCAGTCTCTGGGGGTCCCATGTACTCCCAGCTCTCTGATCCTCTGTGGTCCGCTGACCATCACTATTGTCACCTTCCTCAGGATGTCAGCAAGGGCAAGTCCAGGGCAAGGGAAGAGAGGAGGGAGAATGAGGAAAGACAAAGAGAGAGCAGGAGGAAAGGGCTGGACAGAATGACTGACTCCCTGGGCCGAACTGCTCCTAAGCTCCGAGAAGTCCACCGGCCTGGAAGTATTTTGCAGGTGGGCCTCTTTCCTTCCTAGCATCGCCCTGTGAGCGCCTTGGCTGCAGCCCCTTCCCACCAGGACTCCTTGGGGGTCCCCCAGGAGTGAGCCTGCCAGGTCCCCAGAGGCTCAGCAGTTCCTATGCAGGAGCCTGGGGGGAGACAAAGGAAGAGGGAGCAAAGGCTGGGTGAACAACATGTGTGTTCCGCAAGAGCTCTTTAGAGGGGGCCCCTGTGCTCCTCACCCACCCACCCACAACTGAGGCCATTGTTGGTGTTT